TGTCAGCACTTCTTGCCTTCTTCAGTCCCAGCCATGCACCAATGGAGGTGTTATGGTGTACTGAAGAGAGAATTAAATGCAGTAGTGTATAAATGCTATGCGAAGTATAGATAATGATCCTCACAGGTGTGGATGTTCAGTTGTATTGTAGTGTTAATTCCTGAAGTACAGTGAAATGGCAGGGCTGGGAAGGGAGACGTAGCAAGAGAGTGGGATCCCCTTTTGTCAGCTTCTACCCTACAAGCTTCAGGCTTCTATTTTCCTCAAATTCACTCCTCAGCTGTTGACTCAGCTGCTTAAACTCCCCTGGCAATAACCGTGAGTCGTTATGCAATGATGCCACCACTTAAAGCTATGCGAAAGAAAAAGATCCACAACAGCAAAATGCAGGAACGCAAATGAACAAACCACTCCCACTCCCACTTGGACCTTTCCTAGGAAGAGAACGGCTATTTTTACTCACTTGAATTACCAGATTATCAACAAAGAAGTCCCCTGTACCAAGTCTCATCCTTTATCTGCCAGTTTACTTTTTCACTACATTTCCAAGTACGATGGATCCATAAATCTGCCACCTACATAAAGATGGATGGGCGATGCTTTCAAAGGGTCCTTGGCAGGGAGTGCCGCCAGAAGCCAGAGATTTGGGTGGCCATTTGGCTTTCAGATGCCCCAGCAAATTTGAAAATTTAGGAACACAGGAAGCTGTCATAGCCGAGCAGGATTTGTCCATGTGGCCTAGTAGCACCTACACTAACTGGCAGCAGCTCTGCAGGATATCAGGCAGAGCTTTTTCACTTTGTATATCTTCCCCCATTCCTTTTAGCCTGCCATACCCTTTCAGCTAGGGACGCGGGTGGCGCTGTGGTCTAAACCACTGAGCCAAGGGCTTGCCGATCGGAAGGTCGGCGGTTCGAATCCCTGCGACGGGGTGAGCTCCTGTTGTTCGGTCCCAGCTCCTGCCAGCCTAGCAGTTCGAAAGCACGTCAAAGTGCAAGTAGATAAATAGGTACCGCTCCAGCGGGAAGGTAAACGGCGTTTCCGTGCGCTGCTCTGGTTCGCCAGAAGCGGCTTAGTCATGCTGGCCACATGACCCGGAAGCTCTACGCCAGCTCCCTCGGCCAATAAAGCGAGATGAGTGCCGCAACCCCAGAGTCGGCCACGACTGGAGTTAATGGTCAGAGGTCCCTTTACCTTTACTCTTTCAGCTACCTGAACTTTGGAAATACGGTACTTTGGATCTCAGCTGGTGTTGACTGTCTACTGGGATTTTGAGATGGATGTGGAGTAAATGGGTGGTGTGCCACTAGGATTTAATAACTCACTGGGGCAGAGGTAATGTGTCCAGTAGGTCCAAGACTCCTTCCCCATGAGTGAGAGTCTATGGGCAATATGAGACAGATAGGGCACCATTTCATATTTTGATTCAGCTGCAAAATTGTCCTGATTCCAAATTTGAATATGATGTCATTATTAGCACAGGCATTAGCTGGGTGAAGCTGAGGCCCTCTAATTCCCCACCTCCCCCCAAACATGCTAGTTTATTTTGGTATCTTTCCTTTCCTACTTATGCCTTGTTCCAAAATGCCACATCATGTAATAGGAGCTGGCATGTGACTTTCAGATTATGGCTATTTTATTCTGTTTGTTGAATTTATACACCACCCTATATCTGGAGGTCTCAGGGTGGTTCGCAGAACAAAATCAAAATATAAAACCACAAAATATATAATCAAAATAAAAACAACCACCCAATAACCCCCCCCCCAGAAAACCCCCACATTTTAAAAGGGCCTAGGATGTAAAATCAAATCAATTAAAGGCCTGGTTAAAAAGGAATGTTTTTGCATAGCGCCAAAAGGTGTATAATGAAGGTGCCAGGCGAACTTCCCTGGGGAGAGCATTCCACAGATGGGGAGCCACTGCAGAGAAGGCCCTCTTCTCGTGTTGCCACCCTCCGTTCCTCTTGAGGAGGCGGCACATGAAGGAGGGCCTCAGAAGATGATATCAGGGTCCAGGTAGGTTCATATGGAAAGAGGCGTTCCTTGAGGAATTGCGGTCCTGAGCCGTTTAAGGCTTTATAATCAGGTCTCTGCTGCTTTTTCGCAGCTCCACAAAATTCAATCCGGAATCTGTACAAAATTGACAAGTCCATGATGATCACTGCAGCTCAAGTAGTAGTAGCAAGACCTGGTGAACCAGAGCTGCCATGTCATGCCCTGCAAACCATCAGCCAGAAGCTAGTGGGTTTTTTTTTGTTTTTTATTTACTTGGTACAAGACTAATTTTTTTTAAAAAGGCCAAAGACACCATCCCTTTTAGGAGTCTGTGAAAACAGTAAACTCCAACAAACTTTATCTTATGCATACATCAGTGGAAAAATAGTGCAGAAAAACAAAACAAAAACAAAAAAGAATGTTAGAAACTTGTGGACAGGCTGTGAAGAAAAGACAACAGAAGTCCTGAAACACACACAGGTTCATACTGGAGTGAAGAGGCCAAGAATGTAGTGTATCAGTGGATCTCAGTACTTTATATTAATCACAGCACCAACAATTTATTATAAGCATGCAGAAAGGCAGTCAGACAGAAAGAGACACATGAGAGAGATCTCTGAATGGAGCATAGCATATAATTGAATTTGGAGAAGAAAATGGAGGAAATGAAGCACTCTGAATTTTAGCTGCTATATAAAGATGGTGGGAAGCCTATCCAGACAATAAGCAAGGTTTCTGGCGGTAGTCAAGCTGTGAAATAGCTGTATGCAAGTTGGACTTGCAGCGAAGTTCTTGCTGCACATCCTCACCTGAAGGGTATGTTCCTGTTGGTTCCAGCCAGCCATGTCTTCCTGCGGGATACTCCATTCTACCTTCTCCCCTGTTTTCTTCTGTTCTTTCTTCCAAACTGGCACTCAATTGTGCATGCTCAATCTTCATTGGGTTGGACTGTTTTGTTGTTGTTGCTACTTGTTTCATTAATTTTAAAAAATGTGTGTTATTTTACTTCTGCGGTTGGGAGGGACAGAAGAGTGTGATTTCTCTCACCTTGCTGTGCATTACCTTTACACACAGTGAAGCTCCTCCAAGCAAGCCCTGTGACTACCAAATGAAAGCATCCTAACAGGAACCAAATATATCCGAAAAGATTTGACCAGAAAACAAAGTTGTGCATGCCTGCGTGTAAAAACTGTATTTATTGAACACTTACATTTTAAAAGAAAGCTTCTTCTTTTTTTAACATTTTTATAAAAGTGCTCCATGGCCAAGACATAATATACCAAGTTTATCCCAAAGTGAATACAAAAACAAAGAATTTACATTTCAAAACACTAACAACTTTGGGCTCAATTCATCAGAAATTTCTGTGCAAACCTTGCTGAAATTTAAGCTGCTTTTTCCCCTTTTGCTTTTTGCAAGGACAGCCTGTGCAAGAAAGGTTTCTGACAAACTGGGCCCAAAATGTATGGTAGGTGGTGGCTAAGTTACATGGTTCATTCTCTGGTTCAGAGTGTGTTTCTCGGCTCAATTAGAAATGAATTCGTATTTGTCATTCAAGTTAACTGAGAGGAGAATATTGCTGTACAAGTATGCTCTTCTGAAGTTATTGGGCTCACAATGATAAAAGCCACCCTCCCCCTTTGGTATAAATAGATCATAAATAAATGTACAGCTGCAGCTATGAATATGTTACAACAGGATCTCAAGAGCATATTTTAGAAACTGGAGCTAAAATAACACTTTGGTAAAAAGACACATCAAGGATATCTTGCTGTTTAGCGAAAATGAGGGGCAGAATCCAGCCAAAGTCAAGTATTTCTTAGTCCCATGTGCTTTACATACTCTTCAACTGAAATCAAGTGCACACTTTGGGTTGGATCATGTCCCACGATTTTTTAAAAAAACAATGCTATTTAGTAATGGAACACACCTCAGCAACGATTAAGCACATCTCACCCCCCAACCCCACCCCAGTATTGACAAGGAGGCATTTTGTGGTGCAAAAAGGAATAAATACATCAAAACGTTAAAATACTTTTACCCCATGTATAATGCCTCGGAAATCAGATAATTTATATGACTATTTAGAAAAATACTTCACATCTAACACTTTTTTTAATTGGCTAGACTTTGGGTGCAAGCCAGAGAAATGCAGGTCCAAGAAAAGAAAAGGCACAGGAAAGGAACAGGAAAGGAAAGAGAAAAGGATGGAATTTAAGAATTTAGAGCAAGATTCTGCCAAACCTAAGCAAGCTACAATCTCATTGGTTTCATTCTCATTAAAACCAAGAGGGCTTCAGAGGGCTTAATTTTGGCTGGAACATGCCCTGAGACTATACTCAAGTGTCACTAATTCCAACCAGACGGAAGAGATCCAAGTTGCAGAGATTATGCCCTTATGTACACCACGGTTTTTAAGAAGGGGAAAATATTAAATTACCAATAAACCATGTTTTAGGAATACCATCTCAGTCTAAATGTGAGAAAAAGCATCCCCTGGCATGAAAGGTGCAACCACGAGCCATAATAATAATAATAATAATAATAATAATAATAATACGGTAGCACTGCCACTCAATTCAATAGCAAGTGAACTGTGTGCAAGAATAGGATATTGTACCAGCAAAGCAACGATGTGTTCAAGTGAGCAGTCCGGTCTATGGCACAAGTTTTCCCTATCCCAATGTAAAACTTTTTTTTTTTTGTCAAGGCTCTAAACGACCATCACACTTTGTAAAAAGGAGGGCTACATTTGTAAAGGTACATTACCTATCCGTCGAACCATAATTTGTTTCAAAAATGCACAAACTGAAGGTTGTAGGAAAATATTCTTGCAAATAAACTATATAAAGATAAAATACGCTTTGAAGTTAGTTTTTACATTATTCTATAAAGTGCAGAGAAATCCTTCACACAGGGAACGAACTACCCCCTACGACAACAGGAGAAGTACAGCAGCTTTTGCATAGCATTACTTAGAGAAAGGTGATTCCCTTCAGTTCTTCAGGATGTAGGCGGTAGAGTCTCTTCGCGTTCTGATTGTTTCTTTGACACCAACAGGGCTGTGTCGGAAATGGTTGAAGGCGCCAAGTCTCCATTGAGAGTATGCCTGGAACAGTATGCTGGTCCTACAAAGAGACAGATTGGGGTTTGTTTTCAACTGTGCCTTGGAAAATGTTGCATTTAGTCATTTCGGCTTGATGGCACACAAATGTTGTGCTCCATCCTATCCAATGTGCTCAGCACAGAACTCTAGGGTCGGAAGAGATCAACATATGGCTGAAAGAAGCTTCTTAACCCCCCTTCATCTCTCCCTGCTGGACCTTGACAAGCTGGGTGCCTTATATAAAGTTAGACTATTTGACCATCCAGCCCAGCCTTGTCGACCCTGATTGACTCTTCAGATGTCCTTTTCCACACCTCCAAATGGGGCAGGGCATAAAGAGAAAGGATCTAAGTTCGGCCCAGTAAAAATATACAGGCATGATTTCAATTCTTAAAAATTATTTGCACTCTATGTGGGCTACTTTTAAAGTGGCTTGGAAACTACAACTAATCCAGAAGGTGGCCACTAGACTGGTGACCGGGAGCAGGCACCAGGATCAAATAACACCAGTCCTAAACGATCCACATTGATTCCCAGTATGTTTCCAAGCACAATTCAAGGTGTTGGTGCTGACCTTTAAAAGCCTTGTCCCTGTATAATTGAAGGAACATCTCCACCCCCATCGTCCAGCCCAGACACTGAGATCCAGCTCTGAGGGTCTTCTGGTGGTTCCCTCGTTGTGAGATGTGACGTGACAGGGAACCAGGCTTCTCGGTAGTGGTGCCCTCCCATCAGATGTCAAGGAGATTAATAACTATACAACTTTTAGAAGACATCTGAAGGCAGCTTTGTATAAGGAAGTTTTTAATGTTCAATGTCTTATTGTGTTCTTCTATCTGCTGAAAGCTGCCCAGAGTGGCTGGGGGAAACCCAGTCAGATGGGCAGAGTACAAATAATAAATTTATTATTATTATTACTAATATTAAAAAGTCTAGAGCAAGTCTCCCAAAGAAGCATGAACTAGTGCCAAACCTATTTCCATCAAGCACCAAATGATGAATACTGATATTTAGATACCCCAAATCTCTGAATTTAATTTGTGCTATGTGTGCGCAGAGCAATCACTTGCAGGCAGCACATGTATGTTTAAATGGCCACATTTCCCTATGAGAAAAACAGATGTGATCATCATTCCTGTATTTATTGCGAAGAAACTCACTCCTATAAACTAACATGCACTTCACAATGGGCAGCAGCATGCCTGTGCTTTGCCATTTTAAAAGTCTCCTACTTTTTCATACCTATGTTCAAAAAGTATAGATGGAGTCCACATGGAGGCTCTTGAATGTGCCAAAAGGCAAGCTGCAAACTCCTTGAGCACCCAGCTTGGCTGCGGCAATGCAGGAGACTACGTTGCTCATTTCTGTAGCTGATTTGTTATAGGATAGATAATGGCCGCGGAGTCTTCTATCTCAAAGTAGAACAAGAATCCAACTGAAGCACAAAGATAGTAGAATGCACATGGGTACACCAGAACTTACTGTCTATATCATCAGGGGGAACATCTACAGAAGGTTCTGGATCTAAGACTGTCCTTCTCCACCTTTGGGATAACCGGTGAGAGGATGAATTTGGTTCTTTTACAGAGTGACTGCTCCTGCAAATGAAATAGCATTGCACATTTCATTACGTGTCCTTAACACCCAAAGTTCTCTCCAGCTCATCTTACTTAATTTTAAAAATGGTCTTTGTTTGGTACACTTTCCTGAAATAAGGTACCAAAAATATTAAAGAGAGACAGGAGTTCTGTATGTGGAAGGGATCTCCATGGGAGACACATGGGCATCCACTCACAACAAGAGGAGACGACCATCTTGTGTCACATACTTGGAAGTCGAACGGAATCCATTCCGGAAGTCTGTTCCAACTTCCAAAACGGTAGAAAACCAAATCGAGGCTTCTGATTGGCTGCAGGAAGCTCATGCAGCCAATCAGAAGCCGTGGAAGCCCCATCGGACATTAGGCTTCCAAAAGAACGTTCACAAACTGGAACAGTCACTTCTGGGTTTGTGGCGTTTGGGAGCCAAAACGTCCGAGTTCCAGGGTGTTTGGGATCCAAGGTACAACTGTGTCAGAAGCATGGACAGGGCTTTGTGTGTGGCTGGTGGCACTGCAGCATTTAAAAAAAGAAGAAAATGTATGCCCCACTATTCAGTGCCCAAGGTGATTCAAAGAAAATTAAACAGAAAGCAACCCAATGAAGTTAAAACAATGCAAAACAATTTCTTGAATAGGCAGGCAAACAATCCAAATTCAACCCCCCAAAATCAACTAAATAATAGTCGTGGGGTTGGATTTGCCCTTTCTGGATTTGCCCTTTGGGGAAATAAAGAGCTCTTTCCGTTAGTGTAAGCGAGTGAGATCCAGCAGAGGCTCTCACTGAAAGAAGCAGAAGGCCATTTCTCCCTTCCCTCTGAAATCCCCACAGTGCCACCTCTCCCATTTGTTCTGCAGGGTCCTTAACCCTCTGAAACATGTTTTTTTGGGGGGGGCATAGGGAAAAACAAATGAACAAAAAACCCCTCTCCTGTCCTTCCCTTTCTTTCATCGAGCGCAGCACTGTTGCAATGTGCCTAGTTAGCTGGTGACCAAGAGTTGAAGGCCCAGGCTCAGAAAAACACCTATACAGAGGATAGGTACGAGGATAAAACTGGGAGTGAGAGGACCATGTATGCCACCTTTGGCTTCTTGGAGAAAAAAGGCATTATCTAAAAGAAAGATAAATATATAAACAAGAGCTGTAACCAAGGCTGGTTCTTGGCTACAACTGGTGGTTAGTGAGAACAGAACTTAAACACAAGTCCTGGTTCAGATGACATGCTATGCCAAACCTTGGTTTAGTGTGACAAAGCAGCAAATAAAAAGTACCGGAGAGAAGCATGCCATCTGTCAGCTCCAGGAATCTGCATATTTGTGCCCGTCATGCAAAGAAGCTTTCTGTGGGTGGTATTCAACAATTAAATTTTACTCATAGTAGATCCATTGAAGTGAATGGACCTGACTTTGCCATGCTCATTCATTTCAATGGGTCTGGCTCTGAGTGAAACTTGGCTGAATACCATACTGCGAGTTTGGATTAACCAGGAAACAGATAACTGCTTTTTTATTTGAGACGATACGGGGCTTCATATAATAATAATGAAGAACCTTTCTATTTATTGGTTGGCTGGTTGGTTTCCAGACTTTAAAAAGTAATACGTTCACCATTTTGTACTTACCTCTCTGGATTACAAGTACCTGGGTGGCTAACAGAACGTTTCATCTAGAAAGTAATTTTAAAACAAAACAGGTTATTACATACTTCCTAATTCTTTGTTGGTTATCTGTATCTTAAGGATGATGCTTTCTTTAATAAAGAAAAAATAAGGGATGGATTGGGTGGGTGTTTGTTTTATTTTGAAGCAGGTAATTTTAAACATAGGATGCTGTCTCATATAGAGTCAGACCAGTGGCGTAGCGTGGGGGGTGCAGGGGGGGCCGGCCGCACCAGGCGCAACATCTGGGGGGGGGGAGCGCGCTCGCACTCGCAGCTCTCTGCCCCTACTAAAATCCACGGGTCAGGGGGCGCAAATTACTTGCCTTGCCCCGGGTGCTGACAACCCACGCTACGCCACTGAGTCAGACTACTGGTCCATCTAGTTCAGTATTGCCTACACTGAACTGGCCAAACAATTAAACCCCTGTGTTGCAAACAATTATCAGTAATATCCAAGGCAAGTTTACGAAGTACAACAATGCGATGTCAATATAAACAATATAATCTATACACAACATTGAACAGTATGAAATATATGAAATATGCATCTGTACCAAATGTACAGAAATCTTATAAATCTCTGAAAATCACAAATTATGCACTCTTGATGGATTCTCTTGGAAACATAGAACCAAATAAACATAACTGTACATTTGGTTTTGCAGAGTGTTTCCTTGGATATTACTACAATGAACTAGCAGCAGCTTTCCTGGGATTCAAACAGGAAATTGCCCAGCCCTACTTATTTATTTCATAAAATTTATATACCTCTTGATTGCAAAATAAATAAATAAATAAATAACCCCCCCAAACCCTCAAAGCAGTGAATATATTGAGGACTGGACCAGGGTGCGACCTCCTGTGTACAACAAAGCAGATGTTCTATCATGGCCTCCCCTTTTGGAGGAAGGGCAAGGTTAAAAACAGAAATACATAAAATAAAACAATAAACATAGATCCAGTGTGGCCAGGTGGTTAGAGAGTGCTAACTAAGGCTGGGGGTGGGGAGGGGTGGCCAGAGTTCAAATCACCATTCAACCACAAAGCTCCATGGGTAATTTTGGGCTCTTTGCCTACCTCACAGAGTAGTTGTGAGGATACAATAGGGAGGAGCCATGTAGGCCGCCCCAGAGCTCCTTGGAGGGAGGGCAGGAGAAAAATGACAAACGTATTTCGCTCACAAATAAATCCCACTGACTTTATTGGGCACTGAAAGGCCTCACTGACTACCCCAAAACATATCCAAGTTTGCTTCCACACGCACATGCAGCCAGGCACTTGCAGATGCTTAAAAATGTAGACACTTATTTCCTGGTGAGGATCACAGCCTTAATTACTCTTGAGAGAGGATCAACTCATTGACTTGGGAAAAGCAGACTATGGCAGTTTGGGGAAACCTCTCCTTTTGAAAACTATTCCACCACCATACTCTCTCAAATTCTCTTCAGGCTGGGGGCGGGGGGGGGGGAGATTAAAAAATGTCCAACCATTTGCACAGGTGAAGGCGACACAGGAGAAACTAAAGGATCCGGATGAGGCAACTGAAACATCTCTGGCTTGAACTTGGCATTTGCTATTTTCACACATTCTTCGAGGGTCGTGATAAACGTGTCACAGGTAGCGCTGAGCAAGGAGGACGCTTCGTTCATATTCTGGAAACATGGGAAGCAATTGAGAAAGGTGAATTCACTTAACTTCTGTTGCCCAATAAAAGCTTTTTGGTGAAACAGGAGACGGTGGCTGGGCAACATGTCAACTCTTTAACGAACTGCAAGCTTGTGTAGCATTCTTCTTGGCTCGTATTTTAGACTGACTCCGAGGAACATTCAGCATTTGGGTAATTATCCTTGACTATTGGCAACGCTGCCTGGGGCTGATGGTGTCCCAGCAGCCTCTGAAGGGGCCACAGATTTCACATCCCTGCTGTAAAGGCAGACAGAGACATAAAAGTAGGCCAAAACACCGCTGGCGTTTCTGTTGTGGTGTAACAATTTTCTCTGGTGCAACGGAAGGATGAGCATTTTCATTTGCGAATGCCAAGGACCTGAAATTCCTGCTAACCAGGGTGGATAATAAAAAATAAAAAATCAGATTTTTTAAAATTTAAATCAGATTTTGAAAATAAAATGCTTTTGGAGGAAAAATCTTTCTAAAGTTAGTTTTCTATTTAAGTTACATTATAGTCCAAAGACTATTCATCAGGAAATAAGGATCTGTTTAAGTTTTTCATGTGTGCTAAAACTCAGTCTAGGTTTTTTTTAAAAAAAGATGTTTAACCACATCGGCTAACAAACATATGCTATAATGTTATTGTTTTAGTTAAATAAATTGTTTAAATTGTTATTAAGGGAATGGTTATTTTTCTCCTTCCAATAAAGTACAGCAGAAAAGTTGTCCAAATATAAAGTTAACTTATTAAACCTCACAATAATTTCATAATTATCACTGCATGTATTTCAAATAGTATAACCAAATCAGTAATTTTTGATATAACTGTAAAAACTACTCTAAAAATTTATTGTTCCAAAAATGAAGCCTTCATCTAGTTGTAAATATTAAGATTATAACAGCAAGAATGAGTCTTTCTGTAAATATATATATATATATTTAAATCAAGTCTTACTGACTAGTGATTTAAATTGTGATTTAAATCAAATCCAACCTGCTGCTAACTGTGCAATCCTATGAAAGTCTACTCAGAAGCAATCTCTCTTGAGTTCAGTGGGCCTTCGGCATGCACGCAACTCTCCGCAAGCCGCAGGAGCCCAGCGCCGGGCTCCCGCGCCTTGCGGAGAGCTGCGCGAAGTCTGGGCGCACTGAGCTCAGCGCGCCCAGCCTTCAGCATGCAGGCAACTCTCCGCAAGCCGTGGGAGCCCGGTGCGGGCTCCCACGGCTTACGGAGATCTGCGCGAAGCCTGCATTCGCCCCATAGGACGCACACACATTTCCCCTTCATTTTTGGATGGGAAAAGGTGCGTCCTATGGGGCGAAAAATACGGTAATTTTATTTGTGCAGGCCCCTTTCAGTAGACCTGGAGATGAAAGAGTGATGTGTTTTTTATATTTATCTAAACATTTACATGCTGCCCCATAACAAAGTTCTGTTGGTGACTCAGAATAAGTAAGTCAAAAAACAAAATAGGAAATAGGAAGTCATAAAATCAAAAGCAACCTACATACAACAGGAAAATAAAAACACACCAACAACTCCAAAGTTAAAAACACAGATTTAAAAACTCGAGAAGACCAGACTAAATAGGCCATTTAATATATACATAAACCAAAAGTAATTATTGAAACTAAAGAGTTGTATTTGGGCCCTACTGGATAAAGTGGTGGGTCCAACTTGATGCTTCTCCTCCCAATCCAAAACAAATAATATTAATTGAAAAAATGATCCGATACCTCAATGCTGGGCGACAAGTGATTTTCATCATGGTGAACGTATTCTTGAATTGTATGGACCTGCTGCATTAGAAGGTCACAGTAGAGACGAAGCTCAGACATTTTGGTTTTCAGAGATTCATTGGTTTCATTAACTTCTGCAAGGACATTGGGAAGCAGAAACTTCACTGGTCAGGTATGTAATTTCCCGTGACAAGTTTTAAGATGTAGGCATTTACAGTGGTACCTTGGTTCTCAAAACGCTTTGGTTCCCAAACACCAAAAACCTGGAAGTAGGTGTTCCGGTTTTCGAACGCTTTTCGGAAGCCGAACGTCCAATGCAGCTGTCGACTATCGTTTCCATCACACCTTCACCAATCAGAAGCTGCGCGCCTTCGTTTTCGAACATTTCGGAAGTCAAATGGACTTCCGTAACGGATTAAGTTTGGCGCGTTTGTTTTTGCTATTTATTTTGCATTTTTGTTTTTGAGGCTTTTTCAGTGCATTTGTTTTTGTGGCTGTGTGGAACCCAGTTCAGCTACTGACTGATTGATTGATTGATCGATTGATTGATTGTGTCACTGTGGAAATGGATAAAAGCCCCCCATCCAAACAATGACTATCATCAGTGCAGTAAGAAAAAATACTTTTAATTTTTATCATCTACAATACTGTCTTGTTTATTTTATACTATAGTACATTGATTATTGGGAACGCGGGTGGCGCTGTGGTCTAAACCACTGAGCCTGGGGCTTGCCAATCAGAAGGTCGGTGGTTCGAATCCCCGCGACGGGGTGAGCTCCCGTTGCTCTGTCCCAGTTCCTGCCCACCTAGCAGTTCGAAATCACGTCAAGTGCAAGTAGATAAATAGGTACCGCTCCGGCGGGAAGGTAAACAGCGTTTCCATGCACTGCTCTGGTTTCGCCAAAAGCGGCTTAGTCATGCTGGCCACATGACCCGGAAAACCCGTCTGCGGACAAACGCCGGCTCCCTTGGCCAGTAAAGCGAGATGAGTGCCACAACCCCAGAGTCGTTTGCGACTGGACTTAACTGTCAGGGGTCCTTTACCTTTACAGTGATTATTGCTTTTATTTTATGGCTCAAAGGTCTCATTAAATAGTAAAATTCATGTTAAATTGCTGTTTTAAGGGTTGTTTTTTAAAGTCTGGAAAAGATTAATCCGTTTTGCATTACTTTCTATGGGAAAGTGCACCTTGGTTTTGGAATGCTTTGGTTTTGGAATGGATTTCCGGAACGGATTAAGTTTGAGAACCAAGGTACCACTGTATATTCCTCTAAACAAAAGGAATGTCTGACTTTTATTATTATTATTATTATTATTATTATTATTAGTTACATTTGTTAGTCGCTTTATACAACAACAACAACAAATGTCTCCAACTGACTTGACTTAAGATAAAATCCAAACAGGAGCCAGGGCCAATGAGCCAACTAATTTTTGCTCTGTCCCCATCCTCCTCCTATGATGGCAACACTGAGACTAAGGTGGAGGAAGCTGGTCGCCAGGACCACTGTCTAGACTGGATGTAAATAAGAAGATAGACAGGTGATGGTTGGCTAAGGGCAGACTGAGGTAGCTGGGGCAGGGCCCTATCCGCCCTAACAGACCAGCCTCCACTCACCGTGTGCAGGGCCCATCTTGTCTTTTAATATCTCTAGGGTGCTTAGAAAATACTATGGGCTTTGCTAGTGTTAAGAAATAATAATGTAAGGAGCTGTAAACCTCAAAACCCCTCAAAAGTGTGCCACCTACTGCCATAAATAATTACTTTACATTTGATGGGCATTTGACCGATAACTACAATAGTTAAAAACCAGGTGTTTTTAATAGGTTGTTTTTGCTTTTGCTTTTTTAAAAATAGAAAGTATGAGTACCTTTTTCTTTTTTTGTTCTGGTGTCTGCCAAACAGGCTTTCGAGCTCCCCAGGGCTACCAGCCACCGCTGTCGTTCAGCTGCATTAACGGCTTTCATGTAGAAATGCTGTTCCCCTGGGATGATTAACTCCATCCTGGTGCTGTCGGTCGGATGAACTTGCGACAGGGGCGAGATAAATTAGAAGCACAGATTTTTCAAAGACTGCCTGGAATTACAGAGTTAGTATTTCCCAGTTACGACTGTCCTACTTCCAATATCTTGCCACTGTGATCCATGCGACGGTCACCTCCAGGCTTGATTATTTTAACTCACTCTATGTGGGGCTGCCCTTGAACCTGATCCAGAAACTCCAGCGGGTGCAGAATGCTGTGGAGAGACTCCTTACGGGGTCCTCACCACGGGATCACATTTACCCAGTGCTATACCAGCTGTACTGGCTCCCGGTGGAGTACAGGGTTAGGTTTAAGGTGCTGGTTTTAACCTTTAAAGCCCTATACGGCCTAGGACCCTCATATCTACGGGACCGCCTCTCCTGGTATGCCCCACAGAGGACCTTACGGTCAGCAAATAATAACATTTTGGAGGTCCCGAGCCTCAAGGAGATTAGAGCCAGCCTGGTGGAACACTCTGTCACAAGAGACCAGGGCCCTGTGGGATTTGACATCTTTCCGCAGGGCCTGCAAGACAGAGCAGTTCTGCCAGGCCTTTGGTCAGGGTTCAGTCTGACTCCCCCTCCCCTTTCATACGAACTTGCATGACAGTGGCCTCCCAATTTTTCTCACAGGCTCATATAAGTTCAGCACAAACAGTTGGGCCTGGTAAGCATTTAAGGTCCCCAACCCTAATCTGCGGGTTGCCATCTGATTGAATGTTATTCTGATCCTGATCTGATTTTAGGATGTATTTTAATTGATTGCCTGATTTTATGTTAATGGGTTATACATTTGATGTTAGCCGCTCTGAGTCCGGTTTTGGCTGGGGAGGGCAGGGTATAAATAAAAATTATTATCATCATCATCATCTAGTATATCAGTCCAGCATACTGTTCTCACAGCAGCCAACCAGATGCCTTTGAGGATATCTGCAAGCAAAACCTGAGCACAACAGGGCTCTCCCCATCGGCAATTCCAAGCAATTGGTATTCAGTGGCAATGCTGCCTCTGATAGTGGAGGTAGAATACAGCCATTGGGTGGAATTCAGTGTTGCACTCTTCCAATCCCATGTGGATAGCTCAGTTGGTTACAGCATGGTGCTGGTAACACCAAGGTTGCAGGTTCGATCCGCAGGGTCCCTTCCAACTCTACAGTTCTAGGATTCTATATCCCAGTCGGATCCAGCAGCACAAGCATTCCAGCCTGCCAGATGGAACAATACCCTCTCCCCTGCACTATTCTGGGAAACACCTATTTCAGGGGGTGTGGGAGGCAAAGAGGGGGAAAGCCCCATTGAAAAAGCAGAAGTCCATGCCCAGGGTGGTTAGGTGAATCCTGCCCATTGCATATCCACTGTTAGTCATACTCTGCATAGACCCATTGAAATTAAGGGACCTGACTAATCTAGGTTCATGAATTCCAATGGTCTACTCTGAGTGGCACAACCACCAGATATAACCCACAGTTTTTCACCTGATGAAGGAAGACAAAGGCAGCAGAGCCTCTCTGGGTGATTCTGGAGAACAGCGGGGTGACATTGGGTAAGAAAGAGGTGGGAGGAAAACCCAAAAAAACGAAGGAGCAAAGGGAGAAGCAGACCCTCAATTACTGGACCTGTGGCTATATACAGTAATAACATTTGTACTTGTACTAGGCGTCAAGCTGATGCTTGAAATAATAGGCTTATTTTGCAACGACTGCCTAGCAGGACTGGGCGATATATCCTCCAAAACCGGTTTGAAGTCCATATTGTGATAGTTTTTGACCTGGCAATATATTGCGAATCGTTATGTGTGTGCAAGCGTGCAAAAATCACAATGTGGTAAAAACTGTGAAGCCAGGCAACGCCACTACATAGCTCCATCCTTATTTCAGAAATTGTGATATATCGGTATATCACGATGTTTAGCTGGCGATATATTGCAATACTGAAAACCAGGTATCGCCCAGCCCTACTGCTCACGTTAGAGACCTCAGCCTAGAAGGTAAGGAGAGTTTTCTTATTGAGAGAGCCTACCTTTGATTTCACACACTGCCATCTTTATGCTGCCTTTGCTGCCTTTGCAAACATCATCCTGTGAATCATAGTAAGACAATATCCCGTTATCAAGAACAAACCAGCGAGGCTGCCAACCTAGGGAAATGGTGAAAACAGAAAAAACAACATTAATTTGCTTTGTTTCAAAATGCAATTATCACACACAAGCAACAGCACCGTTCCTCAGTTTAGACCCCTTAGTTGTAAGCAAGATTTAAGTCTGTTTATACAATCTTCAAAATCAAAACAGACACACACATTAATAACATACAAATATGAATCCACATTTCCCAGACGACTGTATCTTTGCCAGCTCTGTCAAAGTCCCGTACTATTTTTAAAAACTCATGAAATAATTGATGCTATTTGACTAAGTTATAGTAAGAGAGGATCCACTGAAATCAGTGGACAAGTTACATACTGACCAACTTAAATCCACTGATTTATTTGAGTCTACCCTGAAAATGACTTAGTTAGTTAAGGTAGTGGGGAACCCTTTGCCCTCCAAATGTCGCTGAACTAAACTCCCATCATCTACAGAAAGCATGGCCAGGGATGCTGGGAGTTGATGTTAAGCAATACCGGGGTGGGGATATATTGGGTACCAACTAGCACTTTTGGTTGTTCAGATACTATCAGTAAGATTCAGTTTAGTCACTATTCTGTGGGCCACTGTGCTGGCACAGCAGCACAAATCAGGATGAAGGCACCAAACACCAGTACAAGTGGGAATTTTTTTAATGTTTGGTGTTTTATTATGTTCTTATATTTGCTGGAAGCACCCCAGAGTGGCTAAGGCAACCCAACCAAATGGGCAGGGTATAAATATAATTGTTGTTATTGTTATTATTATTATTCTGTGTCCTGGGCTTGTGACTGCTCCTGTCTCCAACATGCATGAAGTTACTAGGATGGCACTGGTAAAGGCAGTCAAGGGATGAAGATGGGCAATGGTCCCCCAATGTAGCTCTAATGAACAAAGCTGTGGAATCTGTTTAGATCTGCATTTGGGGTGGGGAGTGGAATTGACATATACAGTGGAACTTAATCCGTTCTGGGAATCCGTTCGACTCCCGAATCCGTTCGCAAACCAAGGAGCAGCTTCCGATTGGCTGCAGGAGCTTCCTGCATTCAAGCGGAAGCTGCGTTGGATGTCCAGCTTCCCAAAAACGTTCGCAAACTGGAACACTTACGTCCGGGTTTGCAGCGTTCGGGGGCCGATTTGCTCAGTAACTAAGCCATTTGGGAACCAAGGTTTGACTGTACACAAGCAGGATGCCTTGTTCGGATGGAAACTGAACCAGTTTAATCAGCAGACTAATTAATGTGTCCGTTAATCAATGGGAGGAAAAATTTTAATTGATAAGACAGAATTCAGGGCACACTTTGGGAGGGAGTGTCTCTTTTTATTCCGACATGCAAAAATACCACCCTGTGTTGAAAATACAATATTTAATGTGTACTGTATTTTTTTAAAAGTGATTTATCATGAGACATAGATCTGTAATTAGTAGACCACCCTAGCAATATGCTGAAGTCCCTGATCACAAATGCAGAGAGTGGAGGGACAGAATCCGAGTGTGTCCTTTTTCCCCACTGGCAAGGGGCAGGTAGTTGAGTACTGTAGTGCTTTAAACAACGAAAAGATCAAGAGGGAGATGTAAAGGATGCTTACTGTGTAGATTTCACAGCTCTGTGCCTGTTAATTCATGCACAACAAAGCTGATAAGGAAAAAGGATAGCTCACATTTACCAGCTGCTTTTAGGAGCATATGAGATTAAATCTGTAAGTGCATTTAAAGCACTAAGCCGACACATCTGTCTCGCAAGTCACTGATATCTCCACCTAAAGGAAGGCTCTATGAATCTGGTATGACAGCCTGTCTGAACAATACAATGGTACAAGTGTACATGTGGCACTGGAGGAGAAAATGCACAGTTACTACAAGGAAACCCAATCTTATAAGCAAGAACTGTCCGCATTACAGCCGAGTGTTTTGTTCGCCATGTGTTCCAACCAGTCAAGATCTATTCATGGGAACGATGACATTCCTGAAGGAAAGCACATAGGTGAGTATCACTACAGATCATAAAAAACCCCTAAATCTGGTGCACGCCACAGCGCAACAGACGCTACTTCCCAGTGGAGTGTTTTTTGCCACCTGCAAATGTGCTTTGGTCAAAACAGTATGAGGAAATATGATAAAGAATGTATGGGTTAATGATCCAAGACAAATCAATTCGCAAGTTCAAAAAGACAGACCTTGGTATCTAAGCATATTGCAGGAATTTGAACTTGATTCAAGTTGAGAAGAATGAGAAAGGAACTGCAGAATTAAACAAAGTCAGTGGTGCTGCAGTTAAGGTAGAGACCCGATGAAGCAGCTTATGGAACTCATATGAGATCTGCTGCAATGGAACAAAACAGCCCTGTTTTTCTGGCAAGTAAGAAAGCCTTTTCAACAGAATAAAAGGAAACAGCATCCTTTGCTGTCCCAGTGGCCAGCCCTGTAAAATGAGAGAACAAACTGGGACGAACGAATAAATCAAATAACATCCTCATGAGTTGGTGGAATTTATTCAATGATTCATTCTACTTGCCCTCTATTATCTATTATCTCTTTATGCTTTAAAGTGCAAATGTATTTTCAGCAAGTATTTCACTTGTATACTCCTTTAAATTAATAACCTACTCAAGAAAATTTTTGTAGAGTGTTCTCTCTTATCTCATTGCACAACGTTAGTACACCCAGTCCTTATCTAGCGAATGTTGGTTACAGACACAGTTTCTTCGGAAAGGCCCAAAAATTATTAAAGTAAAAAAATGACAAGCTGAAACAGTGCTAGTAGAATATCAAATTTCTCCAGTATGGTTTTAAAAAAAAACCCAAAACCCCTCAGTATCTACCAGTTTGGGATTAACAGATCTATTTTCTGCCTTGGTCAATTTTGCATGTGTTCGTTCCATAGTCTGGCTCTGTCCATTTCTACATTAATCTGCACCTTTTTCCCATTCAGAAATTAATATTTAAATGTGCACTTAAGTATGTACCTTATCACAATATGCATATTTAAATACCTATTTTAATTTCAGTGTTACATTTCTAAATGTATTCTGTCCTAACGTATGCATTTTGATACGCTTTCTGGGTGGGAAAGTATATTGCAAAATTTGGAAATGTACAAAACCCCAAGGATAATTTATGGTGTGATATGTATTAGCCTAGGAGTTCCAAATTAGGTAAGTCTGCTTAAAAAAATGCAGACCAACCAAAAACCTCTTCCATCTCCTACTACCACTACTGTATTGTGTATAATTGGCATGCCTTGCATGGTTGTCTTGCCAGCAGGGATAGTTTAGTGGGTGGGTGGGTGGGTGGGTAGGGGCGTGGAGGCTGCAATGCGAATGATCTTGCCTCCCACAAATAAAAACTGCAAGACCCGACCACCAGCCATCCTTATCAGCAGAATCAGTCATTCGTCTAGGTTTTCAGTCATGTATTGATATGACACACCAGCTGCAGCCATAGTTATCGAGCATCACTGTATACACACACAAACATCTATATGGCTGGCAGGCAGGCAGTCACAAGCCATTCCTTCCTAACCAATCTCCCCCAACCAGCTACTTCCTCCTCAACATTCCACCGGCCAAATCAACCCAAGCAATCCTTGTTGCCTTGGAGCTTGCCTGTTTCATTATATTTTTGTATACATTTTTAAGTTGCATTTTTTAAAAAATCCATTTTTGAAAGCTACCCTGAAAATTTCAAGGAAGGGAAAGGTATAAAATGAACAAATAACAACTTGTGCGACTTTCTTCCCCTGCATTTCTGCCAAGCGATGGCTCCCACATCTTACTAGCATATGGTGACAAGGAGGGTCAAATATCTATTGTATTCTCAACATACTTGCAAAGTAGGGGGTTCTTTTTCATTCACATTTACTTGCTTCCTTGAACTTCCCCAAAGGCAACTTTGAATGTCAAGGTTCATCACCAGGGTCTTATTTGTTCAAATAGCACCATATGTGTGCCGGGGCTGCTTACAAAGAAGGAGAAGACAAGTCTACTCCAGGGCGCTTACAATCAATGGAAGTGGAGTGAAGTGGGGAAAAACATGAGATTATTTCTGTTAGGCTTAGTTCCTGCAGGGTATTGGCTCTATGGGGTTGTTCTGATAGCTCCATAGAACAAGTATATGAAATGTTGTCTGTCCTTTCAGACAAGATACCCTCTCTGTCTACATTCAACAGTGTTTGCTGTGGTCATGTGAAGGCTCTAAATTTGCCGAACGGGCCTGGGTATAATTAAATGTCATATCATGCTAGAGATCAAATAGTGTCATGTTAGGAACTATGGCTGGGGCAACCCTACAAAATGCTTCCCAACCCTACTGTACCTTTTACTGTAATTATTTTTCAAACGTTTCCTTCCTTCCTACTGTAATTATTTTTCAAATGCTTCCTTTCCCCACCCCCAGCGATGCAATGCAACTCCAAGCCCCCCTTTTATCTGTCAGCGGCCATATCTGCCATTATCTCTGCGTGCAGCCTTATTTACTCAGCCAAGTTGCTAAATTTAAAGCAGGGAAGTCACTGTTAAAAGCACAGGCAAACAGAGTGCAACTTTAATTACACCTGCAGTCACCATATATATTTTGGGTAACAGCTCTTGAGATACAGCAGGATGATAGATAATAAAAGAGGGAAGTTCTGGTGAGAACCTAGATGTGATGAAGGCAGCCAATTTGCCCTTTAATTGTCTCCTATGCTTGCATTTAAAACTGGCAAGTGAAACTTGGTAGAATCAAGGTAGAGAACCTGTTTCGGCACGAAAGCCACATTCCACTCAGGAGACACAAGCCGGTGCCCCAGGGCATAGCCATAGCAAAAAGTGGGGGAAGCAAAGAATGCAAACATCACCTCTGTACAGTAGATGAGCTCACTCATGTACCCTCAGCTACCCTCCATTCCGGGAAGCAAGAGGCATTGTCAGAGTTCAGGAACACATTCCAGCCAGGCAAGAGCACTCAAAGAGGGTGTGACCCAGGACCAGAAAGGGGTGCATCTGGGAGGGAATGGATTGGCCAGGAAAGTCTCAGGGGCCAGACAGAGCAGCTTGGAGGGCCGCACCCAGCTCTCAGGCCCTTGGTTCCCCCACCCAAGTCATGGAGCAAAAGGGCAGCCTTCGAAATTCGCCAGGCACATTTTGCACCTGACTATCGGCCACTTGCGACCAAGTGAAGCTACCTGATGTCTCTGCCATCTGAAGGTGCATGCCTGGGGATCCTTGGATCTTGACTATTTTCACACACTAGCAACACATCCCGCTGAATTCAGCAAGTTATATTTTATCTGCACCGTTAGAATGGATTTCAGGAACCCAAAAGTCATACTGAGAAATACGACTTTCGAGCTGTCTGGCAGAAACACGGCAACAAGGCATTCTGTTTTGGTGACTGTAGCCCTGATTTAAGGAGCCATTTGGCACCAAGCTTATATGAGTTTCTAACACTGCAAAATGGGCATATGAGGGAGCCCCCCCCTTTCCACACACAATCGCCTCTCCTCTCCGCCCTGTGGGGCTGCCAACTATTTTATCCAGTCCAGCTCTAAGATTTCATTTCATTTCCCTTTTAATTTGCATACCGCCTTTCTATATTACTATACACATGGCAGCTTACAAGCTGAAGAAACAACAAAATAAACAGCAAAGATCGCACATCTAATAACAACCCGGTATGAAAAGAAACTCATGATGACTTAAAAACAAACGACTTCTATCAAATGAAGCAATATCCCATAATCCATTAGAAGGCAAAAAAGAAAGATGAGGTAAACTTAGAGGGGGGGAGGGAGATGGATGCACACACAAGCCCCTATCCTGGAGCACTTTTGACAGGCAGCAAGGATTGTTTCCCACCCCCACCCCCATTAAATGCCCACAGACTAGCATGTGTGGGAAGGGGCTCTCAGATTAGGGGGCTGACAGCACTAGGCCAAACGCAGCAGCGCACGCTTTGAAGCGGCGGCCTCTTGCTTCCTCAGCCCTAGCCAAGCGCGCCTTCCATTCTGCCAGGCAGAAACCCAGTCCAAGCCGCCAGGCAGCCACCCCCAACCCGGAAGCCGGCGCCCGGGCTCCAGCAGCGTCGCCAGGGACGACGACGGAACAACAACAACGGGCGGGCGGCCCTCGCCCCGGTGCCCGGGACGCCCCTCACCTGCGATGTAATTGGTCCACTTGTACAGAACTCCTTCCATAGTTCAGCGGCGCGCTTCGCGCAGCATCCTGCTCGCCCTCCCCCGGAGAAAAGGCAGCAGGAACGGCGCGGGCCCTCTCTCCCCTTCGGCGCTCTCGAGCAGACGCGGCGGAAACCGGCCCCGCTATGTACATGGACGGCTGGGTGGTTTAGCTTAGCGGGGAAGCAGCGGCAGCGGCAGCCGCCTTCGGGTCCGGCTGGCTTTGGGGGTGCTGCGCGGACTGGGTTGTACGGACACGTGCGGCAGGAAGAGGAGCGGCGGAGTCATGCATTGCCTATGCACATCGCAGCCACTGGGGAAACAAAGCGGTTACCAAACCCTCTCGCACAGGCTGCGGCTGCCTCCCTCTTCTCCTCGCCGGCCTCTTTCTTTCTTTTTCTCCTTCCCCTTTTTCCCCTCCCCCCACCTTTCTCGGGCCTTTGCGCTTGGTGCCATTGACCCCGACGTCTCATTTACTTCCTGGATGAAAGGGGCTGGTGGATGAAACAAAAACAAAAAAAGCAAGCTACGCGCACACGCATTTGGGCTGCTTGCCTCCACCGCCGGTCCGAAAACTCGAGCGCCACGTCTGCACTGCAGCCTTCGCAGGGCGTAATTAATATATATTATATGGATCTACCCTGCATATATGCGATCGCTCGCTCTGCGCATTGAGCACGGCGGCTTTCCACGTTTAAATGCACCCGCTCGCCTTTCTATTCTGCCTGGCCCGCTCGCTGGGCATCCCGCTCGAGGCTGCAACCCTTATGCTCTCATCTGCTCGGAAGCAGCTCTCCAATGAACTTGGCTGGACTGACTTCCGAACAGGCACGCACAAGATCGGGCTCCGGCTTTTGTTTTTTAATTTTAAAAAAGCGTCTCCTTCGGCCTCCCCCACCTCGAGCGCAAAATGACACCATCGCGCAGAGAAAAAACGCTGCAGCGACGCCAATTTGCAAACCAGGAGGAGCTCTCCTTCCCGATTACAAATCTGCAATCTCTGCATCCACCTGCAATCCTGCCCACTTGGGCCATCCTTCCCCAAACGAATAGCTACCATCGCTCTGCCTAGATGGGGATGCGGGAGGAGACCTTCAGCTCCGGGGATTAAAGCGGCTCCGCGCCGTCGTGCCACCTCCCGAAAGACCTACATGGGGAAGGCGGAGGAGGCAAAGCGGGCCAGCAGCGCAAGCGGGACACATCCCGCGCCGCCCGCGCGTCCGCCGGAAGGAGGCGAGGCGAGACAGAGGCTGGAGCAGCCCCGGGCCGCGCCCCTCTCGGCTCCCGTGACGTCGAACAATGCCAGTGCCACGCAGCCCCGGCGAGCAGCGAGGCAGATCCCGCAGCCGCGATCTCGTGCTCCAGCAGCTATGCACTTCGCCGCGGGGATCTGTTTCTTCCTCCAGGCTTTCGCCCTCGTAACCCTCCGGGCGGACGGGCAGAAGAAGGAGGAGGGCGCCTCCGACGACGAAGTTCAAATGGAAGTCGTGCACGTCCCCGAAAACTGCCATCCGAAGAGCAAGAAGGGGGACCTGCTGAATGCCCATTACGACGGGTACCTGGCCGGGGAGAAGTCCAAGTTCTATTGCAGGTAAGGCAATCCCAAGCTTGCCCACGCCGCCGGATATATAAAACACAAGGAAGCGGTACTTTGAACGCAAAAATAAAGGTTTGGCAACCTGAATGTTGGGTTCCAAAGTCAATGTGAGTTGTGCCGTGCAATTTAGGAAGTAAAACTTAATGTCTTTATGGGAGGGGGGGTGTTATTCCAGCCTTGTACAATATCTTTCCTTGATCATCCGAAAATCAAAGATGCTTTCAGAATCGCTTGATAACATGTATGCATATGTTTTACATGTGCAGTACAGTATGTATGGGTCAGAGGGCCACCCCCATTATTTTCTTAAGGCATGTGGAGAGTGGGTCATAGGCCCTAGTGGGTCAAAGGCCCCTAGATGTATTCTATCTAGGCACGCACGCACTATGGCCCATCATTTGGAAAATAAAACTGTAACTTTGGTTTAAGAAGGAATTTGGATCCTAGCTTATATGTGTGTGCAGTGTTAGAAACTCAGATATACAGGGTGAGTCCTTTAAAAGAGGCTCTGTGGATACAGAGTACACATATTCCACGGGGCCTCTTTTAAGAGACTCGCCCTGTATAAGCTAGGTGCCAAATGCCTCCTTAAACCAAGGTTACAGTTGCCAAAATGCCATTTCTTGTGATGTGGGTGGTGCTGTGGTCTAAACGACTGATCCTCTTGGGCTTGCTGATTTAAGGTTGGCGGTTTGAATCTGCTTGACGGACTGAGCTCCTGTCGCTCTGCCCCAGCTCCTGCCCCAACCTAGGAGTTCAAAAGCATGCCAGTGCAAATAGGTACCGCCACAGCAGGAAGGTAAACAGCGTTTCTGTGCACTCTGGTTTCCGTCACAGAGTCCCTTTGCGCCAGTAGTGGTTTAGTCATGCTGGCCCCATGACCCAGAAAGCTGTCTGTGGACAAACACTGGTTCCCTCGGCCTGAAAAGCAAGATGAGCGCCGCAACCCCATAGTCGCTTTTGACTGGACTTAACTGCCCAGGGGTCCTTTACCTTTTTACCTAAAGTCTTATTTTTCAAATGATGGACTGACTGATTAAACGATGGACTGGCCAGTTAAACTTCTGGCTAGTTCAGATGACAACCTTGAGCTGGGTTAAAAACTCTGAGAACTTAATGAAGAAAATCACTTTATCCAGGGATAGCCCAGATAAATTGGCCTATTCCGACCTCTTTTTCTTAATGGTGACACAGGCCATTCATAACGTAAGAATATCCTTCACAGCTGTGAGCACGGCAATTCGGTGGCTTTAAAGACAAGCTACAACAGTTAGCTATAACATTGTTCACCGCTCCTGCTGTACAGAAAAAGCATTTTTGTTCCTGAAATTCATTCTGATTGTGTAAATAAAATATAACAGATATAATTCTACAGGATGTGGTATTAGTGTGTGAAAACAGTCCAGATCTTAGAATCGCCAGGCATTTAAGTACTAATAAATATTCACCAAAAATGATATGCTTATATACTGAACTTGTTTCTTAAACCTGTAAAATATTGAATGTCTCTCTCTCTCTCTCTTTTTAATATTTCTTTGTAGTCGAACACAAAACAACGGCCACCCAAAATGGTTTGTCCTTGGTGTCGGACAAGTAATTAAAGGTTTAGATATTGCAATGCTGAATATGTGTCCTGGAGAGAAACGGAAAGTGATCATACCTCCATCACTTGCCTATGGGAAACAAGGATATGGTAAAGCAAGGCTGCATGTTAAGGCGAATAGCCATTCTCTCTACTTTAGCTGTATTGCTTTAGCCTATAGAGAAGGAACTGGGATCTATCTATCTATCTATCTATCTATCCCATTTCCAGCCTCTTCCCTACATGTTACTTATTCATTGGCATTTTGTAATGGTTGTAACCATTCCATACTGGTTTTGTTGCTTCTGTACCTAGCTTTATGGTTCAGTTCAAGCATGTTGCCAAACCATTGCTTGTTTGATGACCAGAAGTAGCCCCACAGGTTTGTTTATAGCCTCCTTTTCCTCTCCTCTTAACCTTCAGGTTTCTTCCTTCGCTTTCAGCATTTTCCTGACCCTAGTTTGTCCTGATGTTGAAATTGGCAACCTTTGGTTAGTACCTTGCCTTCATGAAACCACTGCTTGGATTGAGTTTCTAAATCCTGGTTAGCACTATCCATAGTTTGTCAGTTTGAACATCATAGTGAATTAGTAAAATCCAGGAACTGAGGAAGGGAACCCCGTGTGCAAGAAGGGAACATTAAAGCCTGCAGGGCTCTCCCAGTCCCTGCAATGGTTTGGCTTTATGTCTGAACTGATCTTAATTTTAGGCCCATACCAGAGTGATGTTGATCACTTATCTTCCCAGTCAGAGTGATGTTGACTAAGCCTTCACCATGACTCCAGTCCAGCTAAACTTAGTTGGAACTTGAGATAATTGTGACTGACTTGTCCAATGGGACTTAATCCCATCTAACGTTATTGGGCTGAAACCTTTACCTTTTGAATCTTAGCTGGAACTGGTGAATCTTTAAATATCCAGGTGCCCAGCTTTGACCTCATTGTGATTTGACATCTGACATGCACAACATCTCTGTAGGCCAACTTGTGATTCAAAGTCTGCTGAAGCGAGTGATAGATTTGGCCATCATACCTCAACCAGATTTAACATACCTTGATTTCTCAATAGGTATTCTCAACGTGCAAAGATGCATTGCTTGTTTGCTGAATACTAACTGTCACTATCTTTTTTAGGCTGAACTTTTGAAGGAGGCCTTTCTTCCCACGTACAGCACTCTTATATTCTTTCAGAGTATTGTTTGTGCATGCTGAGCAAGATGGCAATAGTTTTAAATGTCAAGAATGCATGTGGCTTTCTAGAACTTTTCACGGGTTTTCCTGTGGTATGTATTACTCTCAAAACTGCTTGCGCTTAAATGTTTTTTCTTTTTTTTAGTTTAGCTACTAACTCTAGAAACCGAGCAGTTGTGTTGCTGCAGCGTGTGTGAGGATTTCTACTAAACAATTTTCAAGGGGGGAAAGGTATCTGGGCCCAGCACGGGGAAACTTGTGACCTATTGGACACACCAGGCCAGATACATAGAATGATCACCCATACACAGAGATTCAATTAAGTCTCCTATTGTTGCTTCCTGAGACATTTACACAAGGAACGTGTCTTATCAACCTGACAGGCTGGTGAGCTCCGTTCAGTGTAGGGGATCACACTGTCTTAGCCTCTACATAAAAGTTTATAATTTCATTTTTATTTATTGTGAGTTCTGTATATGTCATTTGATCTGCCTTTGTTCTCGGAGAGGATATCTGTTGCAACATTTAGCTTTCAGTGCAGTATGTGGAAACTCAAAAATAAATTATAGGACCATCGGCAGCTGCCTTATACACTGAGGCAGATCAATGTCCCATCTAACCCAGTATTATCTTCATTGACTGACAGCAACTTTGAAGGGTTTCAAGTTGGATACCTTCCCAGCCCTACCTGGACATGCCAGTGATTGAACCTACGACCTGCATGAAAAGCATGTCACTCTAGCACTAATCTTCTGTCTGAACTGCCATACTTTTAGTCTTCATCATTTTAGATGAGTTCCCAAATTCTGTATTTGGCAGCTGCAGGTGCATGGCTTGCAAAATACTTGTTTCGGACTGACTTTGGAAGCTTTCTCCTTCATTACTGGTACCTGTCTGCCATTATCAGTATGCTTTCTTTCTCAAAAGCTGCTAAACTTTGGTACAGTGGTACCTTGGTTTACGAACTTAATCCATTCCAGAAGTCCGTTCTTAAACCAAAGCTGTTCTTAAACTGAAGCACGCTTTCCCTAATGAGGCCTCCTGCCACCAGTGCCCTTCCACCGTTCAGCTTCCATTCGTAGACCGAGGTAAAGTTTGCTAACTGCAACACTACTTCCGATTTTGCGGAGTTCGTATACCGAATAGTTCGTAAACGGGGCTGTTCTTAAACCGAGGTACCACTATATCCCTTTTGATACAGGAAGATATTGTATCAAACCAGAAGATAAACATGGATTTCCTTTGAAGCCCATTTTCCTCCTTGAGGTGGAGAAACTTTTATCCCTGAAATCTTAACCTTGCCTACTCCAAAAATCGTATTTCAAGTTATGGTTTTTTTTAGTGGAATGGCTGTTCATGCTTGACTACATAGCCATTTCATATTTATCAAGTAGCTTTCTGACATTCATGAGAAAAGTGCTGGCGTTAGTCCAATGTGGGGGCCCCTGAGTGAACAAGAGGGATGAAGTTCTCCCTGTGGTCTTCCCTGAAGCCTCGCCCACCAAAGACCAATTGGCAATGCCGATGGACAAAGGCAGGGCCTAGGCCAGGGGTAGGCAACCTAAGGCCCGGGGGCCGGATGTGGCCCAATCACCTTCTCAATCCGGCCCGCGGACGGTCTGGGAATCAGTGTGTTTTTAAATGAGTAGAATGTGCCCTTTTATTTAAAATGCATCTCTGGGTTATTTGTGGGGCATAGGAATTCGTTCATTCTCTCCACCACCCCCCCCCCCCCCGATAGATAGATAGATAGATAGATAGATAGATAGATAGATAGATAGATAGTCCGGCCCACCACCGGTCTGAAGGATGGTGGACCGGCCCACGGCTGAAAAAGGTTGCTGACCCCTGCCCATGGCCATTGACTTGCCATCCCCCATCCCAGCCATTACTGATGGCTGAAGCACAGACCACATTTTCCAAGCAGCTTTCTGAAAATGACAAAACGAATCTGGTGGAACTGTTGTTGTTGTTTTTTGCAAGTAAGCAGTTTACTAGTTTAGAATGGCTTGCCAATATACTTAGGGCACAATCCACGTGGGAATACACCCCAAAAAAGAGTGTGTATAAGGGAACATCCAGTTGTATTTTGCCCCTAATAATCAGGAGGGCTGCCTCAAATTCAGAGTAGTTGAACAAAGCGAAGTATTTAAAAAACAAGTGTTTATACCAGAGTCCATAATTTACACATTTCCAAATAACCATAAAAAATACTCCAGTTTGTGGTTAAGATTATCTGTCAGATGTGTGTGCACAGTTCCCAAAATGGTCTTGTTACATTTTTAGAACCTGCAAAGATTCCACCTAACGCAACACTGATCTTTGAGATTGAACTGTACGCAGTAACGCAAGGACCCCGCAGTGTTGAAGCATTTTCTCAAATGGACCTGGATAGTGACAAAAAACTCTCAAAACATGAGGTAACACAGGTCATATTCTGATGTTCCCCGTTATAGCATCTAAACCTAAATTAACACCATTTTCAATACGTAACAAATCTGTCGATTGTTGTTCCTTTAGATAGACCATTACCTGAAGAAGGAATTTGAAAGAGATGGCAAGAAACGCGACCCTTCCGTTCATCAAGATGTCTTGCTTGATATATTTAAAAAGAATGACCATGACGGAGACGGCTTCATATCTGCCAAGGAATATAACGTCTACCAACACGATGAACTATAACAGATCATTGCTTAAAAGTCTGTGTGGCAGGAATGGGGAATCTGCAGCCCTGCCAATGTTGTTGGACTTCTCCTCCCATCAGCCCAAATCAGCTTGGCCAATGATCAGGGATGAGAGGGGATGCAGTCCAACAGCAGCTAGAAGGCCACAGGTTCCCCATCCCTGTCTGTTTTATGGACATTTGGATCCCAGTTCGGCAGTTCCTCCCATGCGCACATGGAGCTTTCACAAGGACTTCCCCATGCCCTTCAGTGGAGGGGACAAGGCTTTGTTCACAGCGTTACCCACTGCATTGAAGGTAGTAGGAAATTCTACTAGTGAAGCCCCAAATACACATTGAAGTGAAGATGTACCTGTGGAGCTGTCACTACATTTGTAACCAAGTACACAGCTTTTTGTGATTACACTCTTCAGCCCTGTTTGATTTCCCTGGGATTTGTCCATTAGATTAATGGCTTTAACCAAAATGGAATTTCTTTGTCACATAATATTTCGTGTATGTTGGTTGTGGGAAATTTTTTATACCTTTTTATCATGATTAAAAATGTTACTGAAATGATAGGGGTGGCTCCACATTCCTTGTAATTCTTATGAAATAATCTGAATTAAAGTTGTAAGAGTTAACGGGGAATTTACAGCTATGCCAAATATAGTGTTGTTGCTGATGAAGTAATTTCCCCTTTTTTTGTGTGTTTTCTCCAAATTGCCCCCCACCCCTGTGGCATCTTTACTCCCCTCATGGTTAACATTCATTCTGAAAATCTGTGGGAGCCATTTTTGGAGCAGATCCAGAGTTGCCGTAATGGCACTGAAGCTCAGTTGCACATTTTCACTTAATGGCCTGATTCACACATAATGCTAGCCCATGGTTTGTTTAGCCAAAGTATGGCTTATTGCAGTGTCCAAAAATTAGCCAAGTAGACTAAGCATGTGGGGTTTTTTGTCTGCTTTTTTGGCAACAAACCAGCATGAAACCATAGTTTTGGCTTATGAACTGTGGCTTGTTTTATCTGTGATTTAGTATTCTGTCTGAACCATCTCTTTTTTTAGCCACCCCACCCAGATACTACAACATTTGGGGCTCTTAGTTTGGAGAAAAAGGCGCATAAGAGAAGATAGTAAGAGATGTATAAAATTTGTACACTCATGAGGCAGTGAGAGTGCCAACCTGGATGGCTTTAAAAGAGGTTGACAAATTATCCGCCGCCACCACCGCCATGTCCTCCAGCATATGGAGAAAGTAAAGTGTGTCATCTGTGTGGAAATAGCTATGTACAAGCTAGGTACTGTATTACTGATTAAATGCACAACTCTTGGACAACTTAAATGCCAGTTAGTTCTCCCCCACCGTGTTTATATCAAAAACCAAACAGCACTAGAGTCAAGAAAGAATCCAGGGCTCAGTGGGTGTGCTATATTCGGATCTAAAGAGAATCAGGTGTTTAATCCCTTCTATTTTTACAAATGCATTGGTAGATAAATATGTAGCAGAAATTCTAGACAACCCCAGCAGTGCCAATTTTAACATGCGGTTTTAAACACAGTGGCAGATACTGCCACCTAATGGCTAGATCTCAATGATAATAGTATTGCATACGTACATCAGATATGTAATTGACTCGTTTATTCCAAAATTATATAGCTTTGTTACAAAAAATATTGTCAAATACATCAAAAGGCACCAAATAACAGCAAGTCTAACATTTAAAAAATACTGAACTTGCTCTATATTAATGATAAATATGGACTAAATGGGAGACAGATGTAATTGGGGGTGACATTGGCAAATTTTAATGGAAACATGTCATACTAAGATTCAATTCACTTTTTATTTCTCTGTTTAACCAGAGCAAAGACAAACATGTTCGTAATCTGATATTTCAATTAAATATTTATGTCATTAATAAATAATTCGTATCATTTCATTACTGTCTTACTGTGGTGTAGTTAAGGTGAAACACATTCTTGCCTTTAGACAAAAGCCAGTGTTTCCAAATTACTCCTACAAATAGTTACTTCTAAACATAATTTACACATTTTTTTAGATTTATTACAAAATGCTATAGTGAATTTTTTAACTCGGATGTGTATCTCTTAGCTATGTTACATTATGCAGTTAGAAAGAACTAACCAATAACTGAGCATACATGGGAAGCCATTATATCAAGTTCTATTTTGCATTCCTTTAAAAACACGGAAGGAGAAAAAAGCATTTGTGGCTCCATATTTCGCAATCAAAATGCACGAGAAATTCCATGGCACAATCACACCTAAATATATGCATGGGTTTAATCCAGGCCAAGTCGGTTGTACTTAGGTCTTCCTGACCTCAAAGTGGAAAAGTCAGGTGTGACTTAATTTCAGTGGATACTAAGTGCAAGCAACAATCTGGATCCAACCAACATGCATTTCCAAAAATTTTCATTTCACTCTCTTGTGCCAGAGGTCAAAACAAGGCACAGCATGTAGTCGTACAAACTTTTGTCCATTAAAAGAACACTCAAGACAACCATAGACAGTTTCTCTTCTGGAGCTTCCCATTCCACACAACGAACAAGGACCTTTGGGGATGTGATTGTTAAGCAAATTCACTCGTATATGGGCCCCTTCTCGGAAATAGTTTGTGGAGACATCCGTCATGCTTGCAGCTTTCTCATAGTAGTCTGTGAAAAGGTCATCTAAGTAATTGTCTGAGTGAGCAATGATATCCATTACCCTTTTGTCTGAAGGGGGAAAAAGCACACAGAGACACAAAGAAGAAAGATTGTTAAATCCAATAGCACATTATCTGGTCAACCACTGACAAAAATACAAACTCTTCATTCAGCCCAGAGTGTGGGATTCCACAACTGATTCCTGTAAGCAGAAGCAAGGAGTTTCACTTGCGTAATGGGGCTTTCCCTCCCCCCCTCCTTCCCCCAAAATTGACTCTGATGTGAAGGGGAAGAACCCCCGGAACAGTGATGTGTGCGTTCCAACTGGCAAGCTGAAATGTCCTGATGGAATGATTGCCTTAGCACGACATTGAATTCCTCCCATAATCTACGGTCACTGTTAAATCCTAACAAGTTCATAAATATAATAGCATAATTTTACCTTTAAAAGTATCCATCTTTTTGCACAATGGGTTGATTGACACATCCCTTGCTTTATTACTTACAAATGCAGAACAAGTATGTCACCTGCAATACTGTCAGTTCCGAAAATCGAAACAGTCAAGTTAAGATGTTTAGGTTTCATATGCCCTGCCTCTAGTTGGATATATTATTGAATTTTTGTTACGGTTTAGTTGTCTTTGTGGTTCTATAATAATTTGAAAGCTTTTTTAATAAAATGAAATACGGTTTAAGAACAGACCCAGTTTAAGAACGATTTGGTTTACAAACTCTGCAAAACCAGAAATAGTGTCTTGATTTGAGAACTTTACCTCGGTCTAAGAACAGAATCTGAACGGTGGAAGGGCACCGGCGGCGGGAGGCCTCATTAGGGAAAGCGTGCCTCAGTTTAAGAACGGTTTTGGTTTAAGAACGGAATTCTGGAATGGATTAAGTTCGTAAACCGAGGTACCACTGTATATAAAAAACATGGAGCAGCTTTGAACCAGTTTATTTGTGGGATAACCTTACCCTCTATATGCCTGTTTGACTACAGTACTGTGGTCAAGTTCTCTGGGTTCACAAATGGCCACAGCTGCAGCTGGTTAAAGGTACTTCTAGTCAGACTACCTGGGGGACGCGGGTGGCGCTGTGGGTTAAACCACAGAGCCTAGGACTTGCCGATCAGAAGGTCGGCGGTTTGAATCCCCGCAACAGGGTGAGCTCCCATTGTTTGGTCCCTGCTCCTGCCAACCTAGCAGTTCGAAAGCACGTCAAAGTGCAAGTAGATAAATAGGTACCGCTCCGGCGGGAAGGTAAATGGCATTTCCGTGTGTTGCTCTGGTTCACCAGAAGCGGCTTAGTCATGCTGGCCACATGACCAGGAAGTTGTATGCCGGCTCCCTTGGCTAATAAAGCAAGATGAGCGCCGCAACCCCAGAGTTGGCCACGACTGGACCTAATGGTCAGGGGTCCCTTTACCTTTACCTGGGCCTCCAATAACAAAGCTGGACACAGAAACACTCCCAGCCTACATACCTGCTCTTTCAAGGAGAGTGCAGCCCCATTCAAGACATGAAACTGACCAATTTCTCAGGCATAGGACATGTATAATATGACTAATGTCGGACAGGTCCTGACTCAATTGCTGTGCACTAAGCCCTACCTGTCCATCCAAATACATCCACAGCTCCAAATGAAAAGAATCAATTGTGTGAATCAATTGTTCAGTAGCTTGACCATATGACAAGCATAGCACAATATTGTTGATTTCCAACTCTTATGATATCTTTATTAGGCCAGCAAAAATATTTAGGACTCTTCATTAAGATACACTGCAAGCAAAGCTAAAAACAGGGGGGAGAAAAATATTTGGTGGTAAAGCCATCTCTGCATCTTGATCACAGAGTGGGCAGATTCACACAATACATTTAAAGCACTGTAGTTGGGGGACACGGGTGGTGCTGTGGTCTAAACCACTGAGCCTAGGGCTTGCCGATTGGAAGGTCAGCGGTTCAAATCCCTGCGATGGGGTGACAAAGTGCAAGTAGATAAATAGGTACCGCTCCAGTGGGAAGGTAAATGGTGTTTGACTGGACTTAACTGTCAGGGGTCCTTTACCTTTTTAGTTGATTAAGGGTGCTGGAATCTGTAGCTTGGCAATGGGAAACAACAGTTCCCAGGATTCCTTGGGGAACGTCAAATGCTTTAAATGTGTATTGGATATGCTTCAAATGTATGGTGAGGTTAGGAGATAACAGACATACAAATGAGGCCCCTTTGGTGTCATGTAGGTATCAGGCTACACTAAGGTGGGCAAAACAAGGGCTGATTCTGGGACCACAAATACTAGGTGTTGTAGGCGCAGAGATGGTTATATACCCCCTCCTTTTCCTTCTTTTTTCTTTATTTACTAACTAGCCTGATGAAGAATTCTGGAGCACTTAACACTATTTTGCAATATTTTTCTGCTCTGCTAAAAGTATTTGCTTAATAATGGACTCTGGAAATATTTTAACTATGCCCCAATCTGGCTACCTTCACTTTTGTGTGTGTCATATTATTGCTGTACATCATGAAAGGTCTTTAAAGAGTAATAAGTATAATCTTACTGTACAACTGAAACAATTAAAAATTTAATTTTTAAATTAAGCAAATTCATTACTATGCTAATTATAATTAAAAATTGATGCACTCTGCATATTTTGAAATCTCTGCAATTATTTTAAGTTTTTTTTGTGTGTCTATGCATGTGTGCGTGCATGTGTGTAAAATACTTCTCAGTGCAGCTATAAGCATGGACTTCAGCACCAACCATAATATGAAATACTATTAAATACATTACCAATCAAATTAATTAGTGTAATGCACATAAATATCAAACCTCATACTTCGATAAAACAGATTCCTTAATTTAACTAGTGAAAATGTTCTTGATGGCTCTCTTTCAAATCCTCCTTTTGATTCTGGAGTGACACAGAGCTCTGGAAAAAAATTACATATATTTTAAGTATTCAGAAAAAGAACAATTTCATAATACAGTTTATTATTATTAATGAAAATTAGTTTTTTAATTTTATAGAAAAGTTATATTAAATAAGGCAAAACTACCACACAAAACTGAACACAAACCAGCTGATCCAGCAAGGGTGATTTTTTTTTTTAGGTGGAAGCAAACTTCCAGGTACAGAATCATTTGCGTCCATTATCATCCAAATTCAGATGCAAATCTAATACAATATCCATCACCCTGCATGGTACGGATGAGGCTCTGATTTCCATCTGTCTTGCAATGCACATGTGAATGTCTGTCCCACTACTGTCCCTGGATTTGAATCTACTGGTAGATGTTACTGTGTGTGCCCTTGCAGATGTGTATACCTGTAGGGTATGGATGCAAGCCCTGAAGTGAATGAGATTGCTAACTACAAGCACACAATAAAGCATGGATATAATGTTTATAGCATTCCAGATTAAACATTCCCAATCTCAGAACAAGAAGAATGTAAAATTGTAATTGCACTAACAACTGAAAAACAGACTACTTACCAAAATTACCATCCAAGTGAATATAAAGCTCAAACACACTAAATGCAATAGTTGTATGAGCAGGAAAGACAATAGCTTTGTCACGTCCTTTGTAATTATAGTCATCAATAATATGAAACTATTTTTAAAAAGAAAGATACAGTGTTAACATCTGTATTGAAAACATTTTTAATAAAAATGCAGATTAAGCTAAATAAGTATTGGAAATATAACACATAATATGACTCTTTTAATTTTAATGTCAAAGCCAGCCAGTGGAAGGCTAGTACTTCACTATGGTAGAGATGATGATGATTATGATGTTCTAGTGAAATAAGATGCCCTTCAAAACTGAGAAGCAAATCAGGAAAAGAGGATCCACAAGTCTGTGCACAAAATGAATTATAGTGCTTACAAAACTCCCACATTATCTCAGTGGATGAGTAGGGTGGCCACTTGTGCACCGATAAAAAGAGGGCACAGGTTTGCATATGATAATTTATATGTAAAATGCAAATTTGGAAATAAATTCTATAACTTAAATAGAAATACAATGCATCTCACCATAAGTGGGGAAGACTGTGACCAGGTAACGTGTGTGCCTGCTCAGCCTGGTGTCCAGAAGCTAACTTCCCCTGTTCTCTCTTCTTTAGGTTGTTTATCTTCAAACTGGACTTGAACCAGACAACCCTTCAAATAGAGGACTGTAAAGTAGGAAGGACACATGGCCACCCTATTGGAACAGGCAGGTTCATGGGGGCACAAAATGTACACACATGGAACTGCCCTGTCCACAACTGATGTAAGGAGGACAGCCCAAAAAGGTGGCGGTGGGGTCAGTCTATGTGTGCATCAGAACTGCCTCACCCAGATTGGGGTGTATATCTTTAATTGGACAAGCTTCTATTTAATCTTTGGGTTAAAGATAACTTTGTTAGACAGAAGAGAATGATCTATCTATGCTACAAACAAATCATGTGACCACCAAGACAGATTCTGCATAACTTATTTTTGGGTTTTGCATTAGTCAAATTAGAATTATTTTATTTGGGCCTTTGCTTTTTTTGATGTTTAAATCTCTTCCTCTTTAAAGATCCTCAACTCTTGGTGATAATATGATTCCTACACATAGGCAAAAAACCTGTATAGAGTTAGGTGTTCTTAAACCGGCTGATAAACATTTCACTTTCATAATTATTTAGTTAGTTAGTTATAAAATTATTTATGAGCTGTCTTTTGGCCCCAAAAGGACCCCCAAGGTAAATTACCATTTAAAAAGTTTATCTATCTATCTATCTATCTATCTATTTTTAAAGTTAAAAACATGCTTTAAAAGCATGTTTAACATGGTTAAACATGCTCACTTACCCTCATTGTGTCACCTCTCATGCCAGCATGCACGGACAGTGAACATTGTCGTGTTGTTCGAATACTCTCCATGACCACACAAAGAACTGTCCTCTTACTTTCTCGTGACTGACGAACAAGGCAGTGCTCAAAATTCATTTTTCTGCAATAAAGGGAGACATAATCCACATAGTTCCATATTTCTCCTATTTACGTCACCTAAAACCTATAACCCATATTGCACCCACATTTTAGTGCTCATTTGTCAAGTGCAGCTTAAATAGTCAAACAATGGAAACTATAATACCAACCTACTGGTAAGTTCTCTGAGTAATGTTGGTACCTCAACCTCATGTTTAGTTACAATGCCAAAGGAAGCCTTCACTGCAAGAGAATCTGATCCAGTGATATTGACCCCAGCGGAGTTCATAATAGGATTTCCTCGTCTACCGTTGAGCGCTACATCTGATTTATCTTCATAATTCAGTAACTGGTAGGATGAAATACCTAAGGGAAATAGGCAGCTTATTGAAGTCTGGAATTAAGTTCCTATATAATATTAATATGAAACATGGTTTATAAAAACTGCACACCCATCAGATACTAAAACATTATAATGTGTTCAGATTCTCATCTCTTACAGCCTGAGCCTACCCATATGTACTCAACCAGTAAGTGTTCAATGAAGAGAGAACTATTCCCAGATATGTGTGCATAGGATTGCAGCCTTAATTACTTTGTGGATTACCTCTTGTAAAACTACTTTGCTTGCTGTACTTAACAAGAGTAAGAAATAAGTGGGTATGCTAATATGATCAAGCTGCCAAGCCAACGGCTCAGGACAAGCATCTGTTAAAAATATTAACAATGAATTACTCATAATAAAATTGTCTCAGATCAAAGGATTTTTAAAATCCTCATCTCTTTTTCACTTAAAAGCCATCTGAAAACACTTCAAGAGATGTTCAGATTATCATGCATGGACACCAGCAAATTTCAAGGAAGGAGTTCCATAGTTGGGAGCCAGCTACCTTAGTATATCTCTTGCAAAGTTTATCCCACTTGTATTCATTGGCAAATATTATTATTTAGAATTCTCAGTTGAGATATAAACATTTTGACAAAATTAAATAAAGTTTGTGAGTCTAGGCCCCACCCCCGCTTAGTGATAAAATAAGACACATGGACACAAGTATTTTAGGTTAATGGGCTAAAAAAGGCCACAACTTTATTGGTTTCAGAATGTGAGTGGTATTGGCTTAGGCACTGGATCCTATACTTGACTCCTGACCACTCTGCAAGGAGTCACACAAGGGTTAACAACCTGTAGGGGGAGCTTGTTGATGCGGATCAACTAGAAGCTTTCCCCTAGAGTCACCGGGGGTCGTTCCATCGCCCTAGCCACCACCTGGGTATCGGACAGGAACCACAACCACCGGATTCCTTTAATGGAATACCCTTCAAGGGGAGGGGTAGGTGATGGCCACAACCTCCCCTCCAACACACAACACATTTTCCAATGCCTAACCGCCAAACCTTACAAAGTTGTGACAATTTGCTACGAGGTAGGCAAAAAAACAAGTGGCTGGTGTCAATCTGCCAAGTGGAAAAAATTCCTACCAGGCCCCTTTGACAACCAAGGCGAAGTCCATAGCAAGGTCAGGAGGGAGGGCGGGCAGGTGATCCGAGGAGGCCTGGAACAACAAGGGAGAGTCTGTGTGCCTGCGGCTGTTTTCAAATGTGTCTAAACTACTCCCCCCGCCAGACGGGTTGGCTGGCTGACTGGGGGGCATGACGCGGGCCCAGGACTCGGTGATGCAGGGGGGCTTGGCCATGCCCCCCTGTGAGCGCGGGAAGTGATTCCTGCTCACAACCCCTCCCCTCTGGGAAGAAGAGAGGCTTTCCAGAACAAACATGGAAACAACGGATAACATTTTAAAATTACTTGAATGCAGACCAAGTGACCAACCCAAAACCATGCCTGACTCCTCTGGTAGGCTTAAAATATTACTATTCAAATATCCTACAAAGGGTACTGTTTTCTGCTATTACCTCTCTTTTCCTGGAATACAGAAAGAAAGCGAATCTGTCATTTAAAATATAGATGAAGGGTTGCATTTGTGATGTCCATCCCATTACTATTATGTTCATATTCAAAACATGTAATCTGCAGTGGTAGAAAATATTAATTGCTACTCATTTTACTTTGAAGAGCATTGAGCTGTTGACAACAGACATGGAAAGCAACTGAGCTGCCTTCCGTAGAACAATTATCCTAAAATAGCATCACTTCATTAATTATGTAATAACTTAAATTGTGTATAATCTCAGAATACCACTGACACTTAGAGCTAAAATAATTTGGTTTGGATCCTGTTTAAATCAGTCACATTTAGGTTCTATTGAAATCAGTTGCAATCTTTTACACACTTACATACACATCCCACATCAATGGGGTTAGCTTTTGGGTAGAAATGTATAGGATTGCACTGTAAATTGTCTATCTTTCACTGTCAGAAATTGCTTTTGCTATTTGTTTTTGTTAAAGGGCAATGTCTCCCTTAGTTTCTTGTCTGTTATGTAGGATGGCATATAGCCTGCAGGATGCTCTTCTAAAAGACTGTGAGCAGCATTATACTCAAAATGTTCCCTGTGCCTACAAGGACCTAGAGAATAGATTTTAGAGAACCTCAGGCATCCCACTGCACTGCCATATTACTTCAAATTAAATAACAGCTCTAGGGAGCTACATATCACGCGTACAAAAAAGTTGTGAACAGATGTGGAAATGGTATTGTCATGCAGTGATCTCACTCCTCTGTAACAGTGGATAGCTGATATTGCATGCTATACAGTATTGGGATATTAATGCTGCAATTCTAAGCACACTTACTAGGACGTCCTACTGAACTCAATGTGATTGGTAAATAAACAACTTTAGATCACACTGCATGTAAGTGACAGATGTTATATAACACAGAACGATTACACCAAAAATATAAAGCAAATTTGTAATGAATGCTGAAAAGTACTCAATACATTATCAGTGAAACCTCCTAAAATGTCTTCTTCAGTCTTTTACTAAATGCAAACATTAAATGCTTTTTCACAAGATGCTAGTTTATATTGTAGACATACTGTTTGATTCCTCTAAAACAGCATAAGCAGTAAAATCCATATTGTTTTGCATTTCCCCTGTTCAGTTATGTCTCTGAAAATTAGCAATCATATTTTTATAAGCTTTCAAGAAGTTTAAAAAACAAACTTACCAGCTGAAATTTCTTTCTCTCCTTGAAGAATGTCTTTTAGGCTGAATGGCGTTGAAACAAATTTGGATCTTCTTGAAATAAGACAACTTTTCTTCTTAATAACAAGACTGAGGGGTTGATATTTATCAGCTTCACTGAGGCTACGAACAGGTACTAGTCGACCTCCATCGCCAACCTGCTTAACAAAACTTTTGGTAGCAGCAGCAAACATATTATGCAGACGCAGTAAAAAAAGAGAACTCTTATCAATTGCAGTTGTCAAACCATACAGCCATATTAAAAACCTTTTAGATTTCTATATTAAGTAATACAGGACAAACAGCTTCCTTTGCTATTATATTTAACAGGAAGGGAAGCACTAGCATTGTTTTAACCATCCAGCTTCTCCAGGGTATTATTCAAGAATTCTCTTTCATTGTCCTGCCATGTTCAAAACAATGAATAATACATTATCAAAGTAAACTGATACAGCAGCATTCAGCTGTATTAGGGCAATACCTTTCTGTAGTACCAAATTAGCTTTCACATAACTTAGAAAGACTCCTGTCTTAATTCAGAATTGTTTCCCCCCCCCCTTAATCTTACAACATACAGCTGAGATCTGATTGAATGAATGTGTCTACTCAGGACTGTCTTAAGCATATGCAGCGCTGGGGTGCAAAGATCCGCCCGGCAGCGCCCCCCCCCCCGGTTGCCCAGTCCCAGGCGCACAGGAGGGCGGAGCTGGCCAGTCACCTCAGCATCTTGTTGGCTCGGTCGCCCCCAAACCCGCGGTGCAGAGCCGCCCACAGCAGAAGAGCCCGCTGTGGCGAACTGACCGATGGGCGGGCTCTTCCCCAGACTCAACTCTTGGGCCCCGGACTCTCGGCCTGGCACCCCTGAGAGCCCGGCACCCCGCACCCCTACCGCCTAGGGGTAAGACGGCCCTGTGTCTACTATAACCCCAGAGTTACATACTTTTTCTGCTAAAGGTTGTTCAGTCCAAACTGACCTCTGAAGCTCTCCACCAGTTAGTTAATTGGCATGATTTTGAATCTTTGTAGCATTACATTTTAACTCTCTCTATGTCTAGGAGATCATGAAAACCATTTATTTGGCTGAATTAAGGTGATAACTTGAATTTAATCTCATTAATTGTTATGTTCTTATTTATTTATTTATTCCATGTATATCCTGCCTTTTCCCTGGGGCAGAAGTGAGAACTGTCCATAGAAAATATTGGTGAAATATGAGGTTTACCATTGCTGTGATTGGGCAGCAGGTGTCCATCTCACCACTGACCCCCACCTCCATACACAACGACATAAGCAAAAAGTACATAGAAGTGATACCTGATCCCAGAGACAGGAACAACCTCCAAGGGTATTGTCACTGACAAAATGCATGCATGCCATATTGCCACATCTGGTTATTAATTTGGTCTTTTATGCTTTATTCAGTTAACTCACCCAATTTTACAAACACAAAAACTTTAAAATGTAAAAAAAAATGTAAATAGCTTGATCTCTTCCTGAAGATAGAACTCTCCCTTGAATCCTGAGTTTGAGTATCTTCAAAGCCCATGACACCTTTGGTAAAGGCTGTTCTCCAATTGGAGCGTCCACAGGCAAGCGTTTTCCAATTGTTGGTCTTTATACTACATTGTTTTAGATTTGCCTTGAGACAGTCTTTAAACCTTTTTTGTTGACCAGCTTTCCATTTTTAAGCCCGGAATAGAGTAGTTGCTTTGGAAGACAATAATCAGGCAGCCACACAACACGAACAGTCCAACGAAGTTGATGTTGAAGAATCATATTGCTTCTCAATATACAGTGGTACCTCTGGGTACGTACTTAATTCGTTCCGGAGGTCCGTTCTTAACCTGAAACTGGTCTTAACCTGAAGCACCACTTTAGCTAATGGGGCCTCCCGCTGCTGCCATGCCGCCGCCGTGCGATTTCTGTTCTCATCCTGAAGCAAAGTTCTTAACCCGAGGTACTATTTCTGGGTTAGCGGAGTCTGTAACCTGAAGCGTATGTAACCCGAGGTACCACTGTATTGCTTCTCAATATACTCTGGTTGGCCTGTGTTATTTTCTCCTGCCGACAGGGGACCCACTTAAGGACTCTATACGGGCTCTTGGATACCCCATAAGGGAAAAGGGAGCAGTTTCCCCCCCTATAACAACAGGACGTCCCTATTTCCATAGGAGAAATGTTGGAGGGTATGTTAACAGGAAGCAAAGGGTTGGTTTTTTACACAGGACCCCCTGAGCTAGAACATGTTCACTGTGACAACTAAAGCGCCCGCGCATCGGCGGGGCCATTTCCAGGCTTCCTTGGGGGTCCCGTCCGCCGCCTCAGCGCCCCTCTTTCTCTCACACACAGACCCAGTGAGGCGAGCCGCTCTCTTGCCTCTGCGCCGCTTGCAGCCTCCCGGGCGGCTCCTCCCCTCAAACTGGCCCCCGGAACCACACGTGACACGCGAGAAGGGGCCGTGCTAAAGGGATGCTTCCCGGCCAGGAAGAGATGGAGGCGGCGGCGGCGGCGGCGGCGGACAGCATGGCTCTGCCTCAGCCTGCCCCTTGCCCGGCTATCCTAAGCCAAGAAGGGGGGCTGGCGGGCACGGAGCAGCGGAACTCCCCGGTGGTGGTGGAGAAACTGAAAACCGTCAGGTGACGCGCGAGGGGTGGGGTGGGTAAGGGGCTTTCTATATGGCGGGTGGGGCGGGCGTGGAGCGCTCTGGGTTACCGCCGCCCGCGCGCACGGCGCTCGGTAAGGAGGCGTGCGGGAGCAACCGTCGCCGGCGGGAAACGGCGCCCGCGTGCGCGTGAATTCGGGTTGGAACGTGGGGGGGGGAGGGGTCAGAAGCACCCGCGCGCGCACCGTAGCAGGCAGTGTGAATGGCGCGCGTTTGTGTGAAGCTGCACCCAGTTACCTGGAAGTAAACCCGTGTGTGTGTATATGTGTGTGTGTGTGTGTGTGTGTGTGTATAAGAGAGAAGCAGATGCTACACTCAGTTACCTGGAAGTAAACTTGTGTGTGTAAGAGAAAATCAGATGCTACCCTCAGTTACCTGGAAGTAAACCCGTGTGTGTGTGTGTGTGTAAGAGAGAAGCAGATGCTACCCCCAGTTACCTGGAAGTAAGCCCGTGTGTGTGTGTGTAAGTATTATCTTAAAAAAACAACCCACTCAGTCCTAGAGCAGAATCTGCCCATCATCTGTTGAAGTTGTACACATTTTTAAATTAGCTCTTGCATGTAGGCTACACAGCCTACAATATTTATAGGTGACACAAGGCACAGTGGAGAGGAAAGGAGTAGCTCAGAACTGGAGTAGATAAGGCATCACTGGTCTCCGATCAGATCTCCCATTTCTTTATTTTTATGTGGAAAGCTAAAACAGGAGAGTGGGGAGTGTCATTTAGATTGGAGCCATGTTGTTCTTGGGGGGGGGGGGGGCTAACCTGCATTTTATACAAGATGATTGCATAGAGATGGGCGATCTTCCCTCACAAATCTTCAACATTTCAGCACACCAAATTTGAGAGTGAGGAAAATGAAAGTGTAAGTTTTAGGAAAAGAAACTGAAATTAAGAAAATATCATTCTCCAAGGCATGTGGAGAGACCAATAATATAATCTGGCAACTGGTTCTGTGCATAGCCTGTTTTGTGGAAAAAAAGAAGTGCTAGTTGCTTACACTTCCTCTTCTCCCCGCTCTAGTGCAATATCCAAAGCATGGAGTATCACATGTCTGGTAACATTTCCCTATAGCTGTCCACAGGTTACTCATTATCGTGAATACAACACAAAAGCAGGCTTCATTATCTCCAGCTTGTACCTCTGAGTTTCATAAATGAAAGATACAGCATTTTTTCGAAAGCAATATTTTAACGCACTGCATGTGATTTCTTTCTTTCTTAAATATTCATTAAATTTTTATTCTACTTTGTAAACAGCTTGGAGGAAATCATTACATCCAAACCGGGGAAAACACCAATTCAGATGTTACATGAATATGGCACAAAGGCTAATCTCAATCCTGTATATGACTTTGAAAAAGCTGAGGGGCAAGTGCATATGCCAGTCTTCACCTATAAAGTCACAATGGGTGACATAACTGCAACAGGTTTGTACATTTTGATAGGATTTATGCAGGGCCGGGCCATCCATGAGGCAAGGTGTGGCAACTGCCTTGGGCAGCAGGGGCAGCAGATCCTGATGTAGATCTTTATTCCCCACTTTGTTCCTGATGTAGATCTTCACTCACCCCTTCTTCCCTGGCAGGTGGGGGGGGTAGCCAAAAAGTCTTGGGCCAGCTCTGGATTCATGTCTGAGTTCTTAATTGCATGCAATGTGTCTGTAATGTTTAAAATAAATGCTTCTTCTGTTTAGTTTTATACTCCCTCTGTTTCTAAGCTAGTGTGTTGGGTACCAGTATGGGTAAAGGGAGAGCCCAAATGTCTTTTCCTTCATCCTTTTGTTCTCCTCCAACCTAGCCCTAGAACCCATCTTTCCTACCTTCATCCTAACTGCTACCGACTCTTGTGTCTCCTCCTTAACCTTAGAAGCCCAATTAATTTCCCCCCATTTCTAACCCTAGAACTTACTCTTCCCTCCCCTCATCTAATTGCATAGTACATTATCCCTTGATTGTATTCTTCGACCCCCATCATGTCCACCCAAACACAGACACCATATAGGCAGTAACCATTTTGTGCACATCCAATTGACATGTGACCACCAAGAGCACAGAACAGGGGCAGGGTGGGCTTATGCAAGCGCCGCTGACGCATGTGGGGGCCAGGAATCGGACCCCTGAGCAAAACGGTTGCCGCCTTTTTTTAAGAGTAACTAATGCGATGTAATTTCTCTGATCTTTGGCACTGTTCCTAGCACTGAGGGCTTATGCATGACATGCAAACTGATCTTGTGCCACACAAGGAAGTTTGCATTTATTGTGGCCAGTAGAATGAGGATAGTGTTTGGATTAGGCCCCACAAGCTCACTTAATGAGTGTCCCACCTCACTCTAGCAAGCATGTTTGGGAACCACTGGTCTAAATACCTTTTCTAGTCATTTGAATGCAATAATTGAGATCTTGGCCACTGGAGCATCAGCATATAAATTTGGCCCATCATTTTTGTGACAGCCCTTTGGGATATTTGAATATAGCTATTGTATCGCCTCTTAATCATCTTTTCTCCAAGCCAAACATACCATATTTTCTCTGCCTCTGCGCAGCTTCCATAGTTAGTACAGCAGTTCTGACGGTAGCAATGATAAGTCTCTGCTGCTGGGAGGAAACTGCCTGCTGCAGGCCCTCTGCCTTCTTAAAACTCTGCATCTCCCCTTCAGATGTGTTTTTTATATATACCCTTGCATTTTGAGAACTTACCAGCATAAGCAGATGAATAGGAATCAGCTGCCCAACCACTATCTTAAAGATGCAATTTTTCAAAAAATATTCAGTGCTACTTCTGATGTTAGTGATGTCTTTAGAATGGGAGTGGCAAAATATTATATAGAGCCTTCTCGGTAGTGGCACCCACCTTGTAGAATGCCCTCCTATCAAATGTCAAGGAAATAAACAATTATCTGACTTAGAAGACATCTGAAAACAGCCCTGTTTCGGGAAGGTTTTTAATGTTTGATCTTTTATCGTGTTTTTAATATTCTCTTGGGAGCTGCCCAGAGTGGCTAGGGAAACCCAGCCAGATAGGCGGGGTATAAATAATAAATTATCATCATCATCATTTAGAAACAAGCCACATTCCCCCCCTCCCCCCCATTGTGCTTGCTTCCACTGGCAAGATACAGTAAAACAGGCCATCTTGCCTTTCTGGAAAAAGTGTCCAAACAGGTCTGTACACTCTTCATGTTATGAGACAGAAAATGGATATTTCAGAACGAAACATTCAGACTGCTAGATTTTCATAGCTTACTGTTCAGAACACTCACATATTTTTGTCTTTATTAATTCAGGAGAGGGTCCGAGCAAGAAAATTGCAAAACACAAAGCTGCAGAAGCTGCCCTGAACATTTTGAAAGGCAATTCAAATATTTGGTGAGTTGGTTTTGATCATTGTGACATAGTATTATTGCCGAATGGGACCTGCTGGAAAATTTTGGAAGAGAACTTTAGAAATATTTTAAAAATGAGGGCTATGATGCTTAACATACTTGATTTGGAGATAGGTTTATAAAAAAGCAGTGGGAAATGGGGCCAAATTATGTGACCGCATCTAAGATGGATGGTTACTTCACTGTTTAATATCCACGTGGTAAAGTAGTATTTTAACAATGCTGTTACATTGTTGTTCATTTCCTGAAAACCTCTTTTCTTGTATTTTTGTGGAAGTGATAAAATGGCAGTTTTTAGCATATTGTGTCACAATTTCTGTCACCTTTCATGTAACTGTAAGTTAGTTATGACTCTGTAAGGGTATGAAAGGTTTTCTGTTTCTTTATTTAACAAGCTGTGGTTTCATAAGTCAGACCTGTTTTCAATCTTTGTTAGTCTCTTGTGTACAAACTTGTAAATGTTATCAGTACAAAAAGGTAGTCAATTGTTGTCCTGAGCTCCTTTGAGAAGAAAGGTGGGAGAAAAAGTTAATAAATAAATAGAATAATTTTTTTGCTACTTTTTCATTTGACCTTTCAATCTTACTTTTTTATTTTTGTTTAATTTATAGCATGTATCATGCTTTTCCTTCCCTAGGGAAGCACCAAGCTGCTAACAGCTTCAAAATTCAGTTAACATAAGCTATGGGAAAATATAACAAAACACAGAACAGCCTTATCGCCAAAAGATAATCTATGAATATTTTAATAAAACGGATCAGTACAGTGGGCCCTCCGGATACAAATTAAACTTGTTCTGGGGGTCCGTCCGCAACCCAAAAAGTCCGTAGGCAAAGGTGCCGATTCTGCGCACAAGCATGGCGCGATTGAGCGTTTTCGCGCACGTGCACAGAGTGCTTGTGTGCATGCACGCGCAGCAAGACCCGGAAGTATACACTTCCAGGTTTGCCGCGTTCGTAACCCGAAAGTTACGTATTCAGAGCGGTACGTAACTAGAGGGTCCACTGTAATTATTAATATAAAGATAAGTCAAAGCCTGGCGTGCTCTGGTCCATGGGTCACGAAGAGTCGGACATGACTAAGTGACTAAACAACTACAAAGTCAAAGCCACATTCAGGTTAGAGCAGTATCAACAATACCGTTAAATCTTTAACAAAGGAGGGTCTCTCATCCTCAAGGGCAATTTTTGAGAGTACATGAGACATATGTCTGGGGAGGAGCCATGAAAATCTCCTTCTTGCCAGTGGAATTCTGCCTGCTTTTTCCTAGATCCAGACCCTTGAATTTAAAAAGTAGCCTGGGAGGAAGCGCAGGAAACTACCTGTGAGGAACAAAATCCTCCACATGTGCAAACATAGACACAACTCAACATAGAAAAGCACGTCAGCTTTCTTTACTTTAAACATCTTGTAGAGGTAGTCTTCATGAGGCAGTCTCATATTAAAATGTAGAATGTGCTTGGGACTGAATACTGATTTGTTAGCGAAATGATGCCTGAAACTGCCAGTTTTCAAGTTAACTATGTTTCTTTTAGCATTTCTGTGCCAGACCACTTAATCCCCGAACGTCTCGATCAAGCACCAAATCAGTCCAATCCTATTGGATCATTGCAGGTGAGTTGCAACGGCATTTAAAATGTACCATATTCAGAAGTTCTTTGTCTTTATTTTTTTAATTACATTATTATTATTATTATTATTATTATTATTATTAATTCAACTTATATACCACCCTATACCCGGAGGTCTCGGCAGTTCACAACAAGACCACAGTATATAAAATCAAACCAAAAGCAGTAACCCAATACCCCCCCCCAAATAAAAGCCACATTCTAAAAGGGTGTTGGATGTCCATAAGATCAACCAAAGGCCTGGTTAAAAAGGAATGTTTTTGCCTGGCGCCTAAAGATGTATAATGAAGGCACCAGGTAAACATCCCTGGGGAGAGCATTCCACAGATGGGGAGCCACTGCAGAAAAGGCCCCGTTCTCATGTTGCCATCCTCCACACCTCTCATGGAGGAAGCACACGAAGAAGGGCCTCAGAAGATGATCTCAGGGTCCGGGTAGGTTCGTATGGAAAGAGGCGGTCCTTTATATACCTTTTGGTTTTTTAGAGGTCAGAGTCGTTCTACACTAAGTTACAAATTATATTTAGATCCTTATGTATGTAGCATCATCTTTGTTTCCTTCTTATTTTCTGATGACAGAAAGCGACACAGGCAGTCAGGAGCAGGTAGCTGAACCGAGGAAGGAGAAGACAGTTCCTATACCCTCAGGAAAGAATGTAGAGTAAGCAACGAAAAGCAAGGCATAGTGATTACAGAATGGGTGGTGAAGAGAAAAGAAAGGTTTGGTTGGTTTGTCAGGTTTTCTCATCCACACTGTGTGCAAAGCTCACAGCTCATCACTGTGATGATATATATAAGATGGAAAGCTTTTCTTTGGGCAGAGTAGTGACCAATGAAAGCAAGACTTACTCTCACACCACTGAAATAGAATGCTTTCATTGGGCTGCTGCTCTGGCACAGTGAAACGTGCTGATCTTGGAAGTTCCCTCAGCTCTGTCCTGGATTGAGATGTAGAAGGATGCATGCAGTGTAAAGCAAAATACATCAGAATTTTGCTTTCCAAGTTAACACTGAAGTAATCATGATAAATAAACCTGTTCTAAATAGACATGTGGCTGTTTTAAGGCTAGATAAAAAAAAATTGTCCTGTTACCTGTCGCTTCCCTTCTTCCCTAGGAGCTAGCTATTCAGAAGGGTTGGAGACTTCCTGAGTACTCACTGGCACAGGAGACAGGGCCACTCCATAAGAGAGAGTTTACAATGACTTGCAGAATAGAAACATTTGTAGAAACAGGTACGTGCTTATTTTTTTCTCCTCGGCACAAAATGTTGCAAAACCTGAATTTAAGCACAGGATTCATTATCCAAAGAAATCCCACTAATGTTTCTATTTTTGATCATTTTAAACAATTGTATCTTATATAATTCTCTCTTGCAAGCTGCCTTGAGGATTTTATAACTTGAAAGTCAAAATAAGTGCCTTAGCAGAGCATTCCTACTTGTGGGGGTGTCTAAGGTGGAGGGGCCACCAAATCCAAAGTGTGCTGGCAGGGTGGATAGAGGGGGTGTTTTTTTTCTTTCTGCCACTCTGCCCCCCCCCAATAAACATCAATGCACCTGCTCCCAATGTGCCCTGTTTTTGGATTCCTACTGGAACACCAACAGTCTAATGATGGAAATCCCCATAGGGCTAAACAAGTTATTGTTTCTCACCTACCCCAATACATGCACCTGTTATGAGCACAGGTGGCAGAAGACTCTGCATGCCTTCTGTATTCTCCATTCTGCCCTCTGTTGCGGCTTAGTCAGGCTAAACGAGGTCTGGAAGGGGGAAGGAACCGCCTGTGGGCATCTGTATGCAGGTAGGCACTGCACCCATTTGGGGAAGATTTTTAATTAATAGAAGCCGCTTGGGGCAAAAAAATCCTCTTTCTGTCCCTCTTCCATAAAAACATTTTGTAGACAAATTTGAGCGCTGGTAAGCCTGGCTCAAATTTGGCCCTGCAGTCAGGTCCACTTTCAGTATCCCCTTCTCTTTCTACCCTCTCATCTCTGTGCCCTCTCAGGGTTCTTCTGTTGTGATGCAGAAACTCACACCTGGCCATGGCTCAGGGGGAGATCCCAAGTTAATAATTAACAGATGTAAACTTAACAGGTGGAAGTATCAGAACAAAACATACAGGGGAGTTTCAAAAGCACGGCTGAGTTGATGGATGTGTAGTCTGTGACTCGCAGTCTAGTTTCGGTTTTCTAGCATGAATGTCTCTTAATCTGGGTTTCTTTGCTTATTTTAATCCTTCTTGCTTTTGTTTTCTTACGAAGGGATTGGGACTTCTAAAAAATTAGCAAAGCGAAACGCCGCCGAGAAACTACTCGATAAATTCCGTAATTTTTCTGGAGACAATATCACTATTTCTTTAGTAAGTAATTCATTTATGTTTATAGCAACTGCTTAGCTATTCAAACCTAACAATGCAATTATTCGTTTTCATTAATTGTCCAGCTTATACTAAGGCGCTATAGTAAATATACACAGGCAAGCTAGACTCCCCCCTCCCCCTGCCCTGTTATCTTCCATGTTCTTCATCTAGGCTACAAGATCTCTGTATTCTCCCCCTCTGTCTGTCTGTCTGTCTTGTTTGTCAATAGCCTAAGGATGCAGCTTAGGAAGTGAGTTCAATTGAACTGCATGGAACCTTGTTCAGAGCAAACAGGTCTTCATTGAGCTACACAGCTGTTTCTAAAATCTAATATACCGTATTTTTCGCCCTATAGGACGCACTTTTTCCCCTCCAAAAATGAAGGGGAAATGTGTGTGCGTCCTATGGGGCGAATGCAGGCTTTCGCTGAAGCCTGGAGAGCGAGAGGAGTCGGTGCGCACCGACCCCTCTCGCTCTCCAGGCTTCAGGAAGCTATCCGCAAGCCTTGGGAGCCCACGGGAGTTCCCACCGGGCTCCCTAGGCTTGCGGATAGCAGCCTGCATCCCAAAGCCTGGGGCGTGCTGAGCAGCGTGCCCCGGGCTTTGGGCAGATATCTGCAAGCCTGGAGAGCCCGGCGGGAGTTCCCGGGGGCTCCCAAGGCTTGCGGATAGCAGCCTGTTCTGGGGGCTGGGGTCGGGGGAAGCGCGGGCTACCCCCGCCCCAGCCCCGCACCTTGGGGGGAAATAATTTTTTTTTCTTTATTTCCCCCACCCCCCAAAAAAAACCCTAGGTGTGCCCTATGGGGCGCAAAATACGGTATTTTCAAATGCACAAAAAATGTACATCTTCCATTGCCTCTCTCTCCCCCAGAAGCTGGAAGAATACCAATTTCTATATCATTTAACTCTTGGGAGTTAAGCTTATATATAAGTCTTCTAAGAAATCCCAGCTATCAGCTCACTATCAAATGCAGCAATCTGCTTCACAGTGATGGATGTGCCTTCCTTCAGGCGGCTTGTATTTAACAGGGAGTTTATACAGGAATGGAAACAGCCTCACCTGCTTCATTTCTGCTCTTCAGGCTTTTGTTAATGCCGCAGTAGAACAAGCAGTAAAATGTAGCCCCTGTAGGTGAAATTGTTGACATTTACAGTTCAGAGTTGTGTTAAAAGTAAGAATGCTTATGGAAAACATAGGCCCCTGTAGTACAGACCAAGAGAATCTTGGAGAAGCCATATTAAAAGCCAAGTTTTTAACAAGTGTGGAAATACTTGGGTAGAACATAGTGTGATATGAGAGCTTGGTATTTGTTTAATACATATACGAGGGGAGTGGAATGACCGCATTTAAAGGTGTTGGGTGGTGGTTTTAAAACACAGCAAAGTCTAAAAGCCCTTAATTTATTCCAGGGAAAAGAACAAAGTGTTAATTGGGGGTGTACATGGAGCACCTTAAGGAACTCTTCTGGAGAAAAAATTACTTTGCTGAAAATAAGTCCACTCAGTATTCCTAATACAGATTATGTTCATCTTCTTGGAGAACTTGCAGAAGAGCAAGGTTTTAATACAAAATACTTGAATATAGGTAAGAACCATGTGGGTGATTATGGGCGAGATGCATCTTCTTTTCTTAGCATCTTTTTTCCCAACACAGGCCAGGCAGAACCAAGTTGCCAATGAAGTGTGTACCAAGAAGGGGCGGCATTATGCAATGTCCATTTTCTTCCAGCATTAACACGAACACAATTATCTGCAGAACATTAGTACTAACAGCAGCCAGAGAACACACTTTCATCACATTTTGTCTAATAATTAAAAGATGCACACAGTCTTACCACTAACATTTGGAACATTAAATTTGCTAAAAGGGTGCAGTATGTAAATGGCTTTGCTGTTTTCAGGGATATGTGTGCTAAACTTGCTGTTTATTGTTAGTGCTTTGACAAAATAATTCCCACGGGTCACAATCGAAGAACCTGAACAAGAATTTAGGGCTGTCAAGTGATGGAACTGTTTCTGGAAATAAATTCTGCATCGAAGTGTATTCATAAATCCAGCCGTGCTTTTGTTTCTGAATGTTTTGGAAGTTGAATGAACTTCCGGAACAAATTCCGTTCGGCTTCCAAGGTATGACTGTATAGGTAATCGAGTATTTGTGTTGTGCCAGAGCAGGTTGGGAGAGATGGTTTCCTACATATTCCAGTCATATATCCTTTTATGTGACACCATCCTGATTACCGTACTTTTCCGTGTATAAGACTAGGTTTGTTTACTCAAAAATTAGGTTTAAAAAGTGGGGGCATCTTATACACGGGTAGTGGGTATGTGTGACAGATGATTGGTTGCAGTCGCGAGCTGCAGATTGTCATTGGCGATTTGTAGTGTGATTGGTGGCTGTGGCAAGGGTTTTTTTTGTATTGGCTATTGGAAATGGGTGTTTGATTGGTTGCTGCGTCTAGGGCTGTGGAGGATTGGCTGCCACTGTGGCAATTGTTATTGCTATTTACTTTTGCTGTTGGTGATTGGTCAGGTTTGTAGCAGACGCAAGTGATTGCTGGCGAGCGGTGTGAGCGATTGCAACCGCCGGGTTAGTGATTTACTGCATTCCCCCTGAAAAAACGCTCAACAACTCCAGTCCTCCCCCCAAAAAGCTCAACCACTTTGGGCCATTTTCTGAAATTGGAGTCCCCCGAAATAGGGGGCATGTTATACACGGAAAAGTACGGTACTTTCATTCACAATGTCGGGGAAAGAGAATTAGTGTAGTTGGTGTTTTCAAAAATTAGTGGCGTGATATTCCACTAACCAGCACCTGTGTTTGTACTTTCAGAGGAGCTCAGTGTGAATGGACAATACCAGTGTCTTGCAGAACTTTCAACTAATCCAATCACAGTTTGTCACGGGACTGGAATCTCCTGGGGCAATGCCCACAATGATGCCGCTCACAATGCACTACAATATTTAAAGATCATGGCTGGACAGAAATAAGATTCAAGCAAAAGGGAAATATTTAAGGACGTATCCATCCAAGCCGAACAGTTTCCAGATCATTGGAGCTGTGTTTTTTTAAAAGTCACATCACAAAATCCATGCACGTGTATACAATTATGCATTATAATGAAATAATCACCGCAAGTATGTTATTTATCTGGAAGTCCAGATACCACCACAGTCGCAGGTGTGGAATGAGATACAGAATTCACCTTTCCAGAATCTGATGAATGAGAATCCTTGGAGCCAAAGCCCAAAGCAAACGTTGCTCTAAATGAGCAGCTGCCCCTCAAATTGCAGCCACATGTCCAATTCCTCCCATTTGCTCCATATTCTAGTTCAGAAAAACTTATGACATGACATTGCAGTGAGAAAAGAGGAGGCTATGATGTCATGACATGAGGTAAGTTCTAGTGGGTGTAACAGGGAGGGGGGAGGAACTAGAGGCGTGGCTACCATTTTTTGTTGGCAATCATGTTTAGAATGAGATCTACCTTGATCGTTGGAAAATGGCTTCCTGTGGTCAGGAACAGGGCTTGCAATCTCAACATGCTCCTTTCCCTCCAAACCATCCCTATATGTTGATTTCTGTTTAACACTGCATGACTCATTTATACTTCATTTCATGACGCAATATCCAACCGGGGGTGGGGGGGTTAGAATGCCTGGTGTGCTCTGGTCCATGGGGTCACAAAGAGTTGGACAAGGCTAACAACAACAATGAAGTATGTGTGACAGAAACTGTTCATGATTTGTTCTGAATACAATAACTTCCATTTTTTTTCCTGGTTGTTGAATTAGGGGTGGAGTTTGGCACAGAATTGTAGAACTGTTGTCTTTACTGTACTAAGTTTTAGTATCACAAAGTAGCTTTGAGCCTGCACTACATATATACTGAAGCTTACAGGCTCCTTTGTGAATACCTGTGTATATGGGATCTTAAAACCAAAGTATCTGAAATGTTCCAGTGCTTTGAAAAGCTTTATGTTATGGCCATGGGATATTATCCATTTTCCTGTGTGTGGATTTTTCTCTCATTGTGTGAACTGTGGCCTTTTTAAACCTATGGTTTGAAGATTGAATTTTTACAGAAATAATGACTCTATTAACATCACTGCCCTTTTTCGGAAGGTAACTATAAGAATCGGTCTTTCTTTAATAAATTCTTTTAAAGAATAATTCAAGTAATAAGTTTTTATGTTAATCTTAAGGCATGTATTCTGTATATTTAGAGGAAAGGCAGAGGTAGAGGCTCGCTATGTAGCAAATTAAGACAGAGCATCTTTTCTAGAGGTGATCACAATGGCCTGCTAGCAGTTAATACACATTTTGCACATAAAGTTAACCATGCACTAGTGGATTTGAATACAAAAGCCTACATGCACATTGTTCTCATGGGAAAGACAGTGTAATTGTAATGGCCACGTTCGGCCTGCTCTACTAGACAGTTTGCAATTTTCCTAAGGTTGGTTCTGGAGTTCAGGTGTCTCACTGAGCTGAAGCTGCAATTGAATTCAAGGTGACCTGCTTGATTCAAGTGGAACAGTTCCTTCCCTCTGCAGGCTGATTGCGCCTCCCAAGAGGCCTTCAGACCTCATTGAAACAACTGGGGAAAAGGAGGCCCTGGGTGTTTTATAGGGACTGTAACAGCTGTGCAGTCTCTGTATCTTCCTGCTAAGAATAGTTCCCATGGTGATGTGAATGCATGTGCAGGAACACCCAAGGCCTCTAAGCCTGGAGAGGTCCAGCACGTGAGATCTTTGCTCTCAAAAGGAAGAGCTGGTACAGCTGTTGCCCAAGACATGGCAACTGACAGATTGCATTGACTATTATAAAGAGAAAATGAGTTCTACTCATGCAAGCAGTCACTACTGTCTTCCAAGAGTTCCTGTGTCCCACATTACACTGGCTATTCACGTTGATCATTGTGAGTGCAGTTACATGTCGAAAATGCTAGCTGCCACATGCCTGCACCAGCTCTTTTTGAGAGGGAAGAATTGCATTATTGGATATTAGCACAGAGTGCCCAGCTCTGACGTGACATAATCTGTATTCAGCACATCATAATTTGTTTTAGAGCCTGCACTGCTCTACTAGGGAAGAGCCAGCGTTGGCTCAGTTACTAAGGCTGTCATACATATCTGGGAATTGGACAGGAAAATGGCGCCTTGGCGGATTTTTGGCAAATGGGTAAAATGTCCAGAAAACGCAGACATATGGCAACGGAAGTTAAAAGCTTAGATTTTGGGGGGGGAGATGTTCACGAAAAGCTCAACAACTTTGAGAGAGAGAAAAAACTTGTCTGGATTTTCACTTTGGGGAATATGGCAACCCTGTCAGTTATCTATGTGAACCAGTGTTCATTCAATATGCAATAAGGTGCTGTGGGAGTAAAGTAGCACTGGTTTGAAAAAGGCTAGACTTTTGATAAATTTCCTATACTTACAGAATTACCGTATTTTTCTGTGTATAAGATGCCCACATGTATAAGACGCCCCCTAATTTTGGGGACTCCAAATTAAGAAAACACCCCTCAGCACTACCCATGTATAAGACAAGTCCCAATTTTAGACCTGATTTTTTGGTTTAAAAAACTAGTCTTATACACGGAAAAATGCAGTACTTCTTTGTAAGGAATAGCACACATACCTTTCTGACAGACAACATAATCTTATTTGAAGATCTCATTTTTGGCTATTTCTGCTCAAATATTGCCTCAAAGTACAGTGGTACCTCGCAAGACGAATGCCTCACAAGACGAAAAACGCGCAAGACGAAAGAGTTTTCCGTTTTTTGAGTCGTTCCGCAAGATGAATTTCCCTATGGGCTTGCTTCGCAAGACGAAACGTCTTGCGAGTTCTTGCAAGTTTGTTTCCTTTTTCTTAAAGCCGCTAAGCCGTTAATAGCCGTGCTTCGCAAGACGAAAAAACCGCAAGACGAAGAGACTCGCGGAACGGATTAATTTCGTCTTGCGAGGCACCACTGTATTAAGTGCATAGTACAGTGGTACCTCCAGTTACGAACTTAATTCATTCTGAGGTCCGTTCTTAACCTGAAACTGTTCTTAACTAGAGGTGTGCTTTCGCTAATGGGGCCTCTTGCTGCCGCTGCACTGCTGGCACACGATTTCCGTCCTCATCCTGGGGCAAAGTTCTCAACTCGAGGTAACTCTTCCAGGTTAGTGGAGTTTGTAACCTGAAGCTTTTGTAACCTGAGGCATTTGTAACTTGAGGTACCACTGTAGTTCACTTTCATGCTCCTGGGCACTTTTCCTGGCATCATTTAGCTGGTGGAAATCAACAAGATAAAACTTGACCTTCAGTCACATATATGCATTTTAATACTTACCCATACGCGTATACTGGTAAATTGGATATTTGGCCTTAGTTGAGACAAGAAACACTCATTCAGAGTTTCTTGCCATTCTTCAGTCTTGCAGAGACAACTAAGATAATGCCTAAATTGAAATCTGTGATAGTAGCTCTATAAAATAATAAATTTTCACCTCTAGGCCTAGGGGTGAAAGAGGGATTACAGATCACAGATCATCCGGGGGGTGGGGGGGAGGTCCATGAGAGAAAATGCCATCACAATTTTTGCCAAGATTAGTTTCATCTGCTTTTGAAAATATTTCCCCCCCCTCAAATTAAAAAAACACCACAAGTCAGATATATCACATCCCAAAGAAATCCTATTGATTTCATAAACTGCAGTGCAAAAGCTTTGTTGAGTTGCAAACAGCTAATTTCTGCCAAGAGTATTTAGGTACCTGCTGTATAAACAGTAAACAAAAATGTGCTGAAAGTTACAAAACCATACTCATTTAAATATTAAGAACAACAACCCTATGTATGTGCAAATCGGACACAAGTCTCAGCAGCTATGAATGGGCCTTGCAGGGGAAGAGTGTATAGAACTGCAATTTAAACTGTCCTATCAAAAGTTGTGGAACAAATTGAAGCCTGTCATGTGATTCTGTTAACTTCTGCTATTCAGTTTGGAAAGTTGTTTGCTATGCATTTGGACACGTCTTACCATTGTAACCAAATTTTGCATGATGGTTCCTGAGATCAAGGAGCAGGTTTTCATCTCTTGATACAACCGGATGCCGTTTGGAATCAAGATAACGTACAGAACCTTTCAAAACTGCGGATTTTAACCATTGGGGTTTTTTTGTTTTCTTCTTAGAAATCCTGAGCAATACCGGATACAAAGCAGCTAGTTATACTCTAATGCTTATTATCTATGACTGTAGCAACATTAAATATGCAGGCACTTCTTTTCACATCCAAGGACCTGACAACCACTTTTACCTCATGTTTTTAAGGTATTGGTATCAAAAATTGTCACATACACAGCATATACATTTGTTTTTCCACTGCTTGTATGTAACATGGGTAAATGTACCAGGGAAGCATGACCTGCTGTGCTCCCTGCTGTTTGTACATAAAATGGTGAGTGTGAATAAAAATGTGTGATTTAACTTAAGCTTTTCAGTATTCGTAGCCCAGTTATTAAGCAACTACGTTTTATTATTTTGTAGTGAAATGGAGCTTTCTGTAGAAAAACCAAAAGCAAAAGTAGGTGTGTGCCCCGCCCCACCCCCACATCAAAAGCCCAGCTCTAGTGAGTGGCACACAAATTTTCTCTCTTTTAAGTGGTAGTTACTAAGCCATGCCATTACATTCTTTGCAGTGTGTTGATAATCTCATGAATGCAATACTCCAAATCATGGCCAGCTAGCAATCTTCTCCCACACAATTCAGTATGAGCACCACTTGAGGAAGTTGTAGATTTATTTTTTTTTCTTTTCTCACATAAGAACCAAGGGACTGTTAATTCCTCCAACCGTGACAGAGGACATCACGACTGGGACTTCTGTGTAGCTAAAGCTATGAGAACTATACACCCCTGTGAAGCCAACCCTGAAGTTGTGTCATGTTGCCCACTATGTGGTATGTTTGAAAGGTCTGGCTTTTTTTCTGGATATGTTCGCTATACCAGATGCACCAAACACAGTGTGTGTAACTATATCTATCTATCTATCTATATATGATAGACTGCATATCAATACTAAGCAACTTGGCACCGGCTGCAGGACCGCATGTTTATTTCCATTTGAAAACTTTCCTCCAGCTTCCAAGGCACTGACTTTTTGACGACATGTACCATCACCTTGCATATAGACATCTGTTGTACCCATCATTTTCTGTACTGGAGTATAATGCTGACTGCTGGCCATAGCAGTAAGAACCAAGACAGCAGCTTTTGACGTTTGCTATCTGCGATGTTTGAGTAACGACAAAACACAAAATGCTCTTCTCTTGACTTCCACTCTGATACACCTTTTAATTTGATTCCAAGAAAGCACAATTCTTCACTAGTGTACGAGGCCATAGAAAATGTTCTTTACCTGTCATGTATAGTTGCATTTCATAGGCCAATGAAGAAGCAATGGTATCTCCTTTTGTTCAAAATGAATTTGATGGCACTATGAGACTAAGTTTGATATTACAAAACGGCGTGATCTTTCATCGGTGACAGCCTACTTGAAATGCTCAGTTGGAACTTGGGGGGAGTCGGTTAAAAGCTGATAAAGAGGTACCATTCTTAGGTTCTTAAAGAGATGGCAGACGTGCAAAATATACAGAATACAATCTGCAAATAAACCATTATCTCTGTTGAAACCCATATTAATAGTCGGATTTCTGTATGAACCTCTGTTCAAATATTCCATATGCCTACACAATTTGCCTTTCCCAAGAACCGTAACTCTTTAATTCTGCATGGATTTTCATATCTATAAGACAAAATACGAGGACCATGCAGACTTTTGCAGAGCAATCCTGCAGTTGTTTATGCATAAATGAGCTGTGTTCGATGGGGCTTACTTCTTATTGAATAAGCTCAGTACTGTATTGCAGTGTTAATTATTCTTACTGGTGTATTCAGTACCTCACCAATAGTGATATCATCTGAATTCAGACCAGAAGGTTCTCAGGTCAAATTCCATCTGATCCTGTAGAGAGCTTGGGCGGTAACATTGGGCTCAGACTGGGGAGACTGGAGTTCAAATCCACATTCAGCCACGATGCTCATAAGAACACAAGGGCCTACTGGATCAGCCACCATCCTGTTCTCACAGCAGCCAACCAGACATCTATGGAAAGTTCACTGGCTTACTCTGCCAATCACTGTCTCGCTTCCTAACCTGCAGGGTGGGTGGTTGTGAGGAGTAAATGGGGTGGTGCCAAAACTACCTAGGTGACCCCAAGCGCCTTGGAGAAAGGCTGGGAGACAAATGCAATAAAGTGAATCGGAAAACTGAAAAAGAAATCAAAGTGACTTTAAAAGGTAATTGCTGTGAATTTATTGAGGCCTGTTTTCTTACAAATGGAACATTCCTCTGTACAACATTCATTTGAAGAGGCACAGTTCTCGTGCTTTTTCGGTAGCACAACATACACATCATCTTAAATATGTGATAGACAGGTAGGAAAGAACGATGTGTAGCTGGAGCAACACATTTGGTTTGCTGCCACGACAGTTCCCACTGGCAGAGAGGGACGGGGAGAGAGAGAAGAGGACATCTTTAGAAATGGAACAGTGGCTTGTTTCTTGGATAGTGGAAACAAAGCAGAAGAAAGTGACGTTTCAGGTTCACATGCATTCTCTCCTACCAAGAATACCACTCCTTTCCATTACAGCCACAGAACACAATCTAGTAAATCATAACTAACTTTGTGGAGCTTAACACTTCTGTAGTGTTTGGGGGGGGGGGAAGAACCATAGTGCAACAGCACAGCACATTAACTGCATGCAGAAGACGCTATGGGTCAATCCCAGTCATCTCCAGGTTAAGGCTGGAAAGAACCCTTCTCTTGAGCCATGGAGAGCTTCTTGGAGGTAGATTTAGGGGAGTGCAACCAATTCGGTCACAATGCAGAGCCTCGGGGGCACCACGACTATTATTTAGAAGGGAGTGCAAGAGGCGGGGCTGGCGCCGAATTTCGGTGTCACATGGGGCGCTGCTGAAATTTGAGACCCCAAGGTCTGCCACTGAACTTTTGCCAATCAGAGTAGATGATAAGTCAGATGGACCAATGGCCTGACTCCTTACAAGTCAGCTGCCTATATTCTTCCCTGTTGACTTCAGCTAGGCATGACTTGTCTTATTTCACAGTTTTCAATAGCCTGGACCACAGTTTCAAATAAGGATGGTTTAAAATGAGTGCGTGCTTAGTTCTTTCTTTCAGCACTGTGGACAGGAAACAAGGAGACACCAGCTCTTGTGGCTTGATTCCCCCAAACAATCAGCGAGTGGTAAGCCAAAGTTTGCTCTTGACTTACTTCTGGTTTGTTGGGGGAAACCCACTAGGAGCACTGGGTTCACACAATACAATGTCCTCCCCAGTGTGCTGAAGGAAAAAGTGGGGTGATGATTGAAGCAGGGATGCAGTCACCTTAAACCATAGCTTATTTAAAACTATGGTTTTAAGTGATGTGCAAATCAGGCCACTGTTAGTCAAACTTTCAAATGAATATTTACTGGATTGTGCTCATGATTTTCTTTAAAAGACAATTCAACTTTCACTATGGTTCTTTTGCTACACATTTTCTGTTAGAATTAAAACAAAACACTGCACAAAATGTAGCACGTAGTTTGGTAACATTGATTTTCTCCCCTCTCAGAATAAGCATGAATTCAAAACGAAACCCAACTCAACTATTGTCCTTAAGATATGTTACTTATACCTTTCCGCACAATCATTTCCTGGTGGGTAGGCTAAGCGAAACGAAAGAACTTGACAATGAAAGTTATTTTACAGGGAAGTAATTCAGTGGCAAGTTAGCTGGAGAACAAGATATGCAGATCAGCATTACAGTTCTGCATCCACCAAAGTAAATGAGGAAATACCTGTTTTAATAGTTACTGATTGCACTCAAATTCTCAAAAACCACAGAGGTAAATGAATTTTCCCAATCTCAGATTTGGCACCATTTTCCTAACCACAATGATGGCTGAGAGAAAATCTATCAAATCACAAAACTATGGATTAGTACTCTTGAGTGCGGTCTTTGTTCATTTACCTATGCAGCATGGAACATAATCCAAAGGTACCTTCCCATGTCCACAACCACTATTTCTGAGCCCTGGACTTGGGGAAAACCCACCAAATGTTTATTTACTACTTATATTTTTTATCACTTTTGCTCTGGTTACAAATTGCTTCACGGCAGAGGAGTAGCTAGGGCGGATGGGGGGCAGGACGCACTGGGCCCCACACCCGGAGGGTGGCTCTTAGCATGGGGCCTGACCCAAGCCATGCGTCTCTCCTGGGAGTGACACAGTGGCTCAGAGGGCTGCAGGATCCGTGCTGCCCGAAATGGCAGCGTGGGGCTGACATCCACCTGCCTCCTCCGTCTCAGCTGTAGGGCTTCACCGCTGCTTCAAGGCTTTGTAGTGGGAAGCGATATATAAATTTAATAAACCTAAATCTAAGAGCTCCTCCATCTTGAGGTGTTTCCCCCCCCCCCCATCGAAGAACACTTACAGATAACTACTACAGGAGTAGCTTTTGCCTCAATGTGCATCAGTGCACCAGGACTTCATCCAGCAATGGTAGCAATGGCATGCCAAGCATTTGGGTTAGGGGGGCAGTTTCTGAACCCTTGCATGGTGCAAGGCCTGGGTTTAGCAAGCCCCCTTGGGAGGCCTTTCTAGACCTTTTCAAGAATCTGGAAAGCCTCCTCTACTTTCCCCAAATTTGCAGGTGTGCTGAAAACCTCTACTACTGAAATGTGATTATATCCATCACTAATAGAAGAGAGGAAGGGGTGGTCTACTTGAAAACAAGAGCATATACAGAGCTCAGGAAGGGAACATGACTGTGGTATAGTTTGGTGCAGCACCTTCCAGTTTAACAAGGAAGCAAATCATACAATGTCTTCTTGAGATTTTCCTGAAGCTTGCAGGAGTGGGAAGAGGCTCAGAGTACAGAAGACCTCAATTTTCAAATCTGGAAAATTTAATAAAGAAAAGTCTACATCATATGAGTTCTGTCACTTGCAGAAATACATGGTAATTTGCATTTCTGCCGGATAGGGTGAATATCCCTTCTTAAGTGAGTTCCATGATTGTGTTTTAATTTGTTTGTTTTGCATATTTGCTACTAATGTATATATTCTGCATCTCTCTCTCTCTCACTATATATATATATTTAAAAATTGTTTTTGAATAGTATTTTTGAAAAAGCAACTCAGTGTAAAATTCATGTTTCGAAAAAGAAAAGAAATGCATGATATTCATGACTCTGAGGCTGAATCTGCATGTTATCTCTGCAGTATGGATGCTACAGAACCACGGTTCCACAAGTGGCTACCCATGTTGCCATGGTAATATATAAAAGCACACAATTCCATATATTGCCTAGATCACATGGGCATTACTGTACCAGCATCTATCTGTCCACCACAGACAGGCCACTGCTGCAAGCATTACCCAAGTGTTCTAGGTAAACGATATGACCAAACTCTTCAGTACGTAACTAATGTAATGTAGAAGGAGAAAGCGTTTTTTTTTGCTGCAGCAGCCACACCACAGAGACCCCGTGTAAAATGATTCAGATAAATTCTGCAGCAAGTGATGTGTGACTGCTTTGCACGATTGGAATCCATGAATTTCTAGCAGGGCTAGCCTTGCATAAATATTATACCCTTTGTTTAGACTTAGTTTAGTGCATAAAAAGACAAGAAACTCAAGGCGAGTGATGCACTGAATGGTTTTGAACAGATCCCAGGCTATGAAGAAACTAACTCGGGGAACCCAAGGTGGTTAGATTAGGTTGTCTGTAGGTTTTGGAAGAGCAGCTTATTTGTTCCACGTAACAAACATACCTTTAAAACCTAGGGGAATTGTAGAAGCAATAGGTGATGTGGCAGGAGGGAAGTGTGGCAGGGCAGGGGCAGTTTCTAAAAATGTTTACTGGGCCAGCTCAAGTCTGTTGCATCAGCCCACACAGGGAAATGGCCTTTGTATACATTATTACCGTTTTAAAAATTCAAATTTGACTGAAATGGAATCTCTAAGGAAGGAAATGACTTGAAGGGGAGGGGAGAATCTGTGTTGACACAGGAGACAAGGGAGTCAGTTAATTACTCGGTTGTGGATCATATCCAATATTCTTTCACCCTTGAATGATAGCTGGACATCGCAGCAAAGTTGGTCCAACCATCAATTTTGCTTACCCAAGCCCCTTTGATCCTGGAGGACGGTCTGCTTTCTTTATAAATAAAAAACAAAATCACATAATGGACATTATTCTTTCTTTCTATTTAAGGAAATATGTTTCCCAAAGTGAAAAAACAACAAAATTGCTCCAGGGAAAAGGGAAAGGGATTGATGTCTCCTTGTGACATCATGGGATTCAGCCAATCAAACTGTCCATAACTTATTTTTGTCACAAACATAGAGAGCTGTTTGGCCACTTCAGAGATCAGCCCCTAGAAATTAAAGGTACATTTGGACAAAACGACCGCACTACTCTAAAAATGTTACATCTGTCTCTACCCCCTTGCTTCAGTTAACTTTCATACGGGTAATAAATTAGATGTTTTGTTTAAAGAGTGTGATTAGATTTGAATGACAGAAGGGGAGAAGTGAGTTCAGCAAATATTCTCATGAAGACTGGGAGCTATGATTAGTAGTTCCAATGGTCCCACGCTGCGCCCCTGAAATATTTTACCAACACTCTTTCCAGTCTTCATATGATACCGTATTTTTTGCTCCATAAGACGCACTTTTTTCCTCTTAAAATCTAAGGGGAAATGTCGGTGCGTCTTATGGAGCAAATGTGTGGTCCATGGGGCTGGGGGGGGGGAACCCGGGCTTCCCCTGCCAGCCCCGACCTGCTCTTTGAGGCTGGCCGTGGGGGAAAGCAGCGCTTCCCCCACTGCCAGCCCCACAAGCTCGTGGAGCAGCGGGAAGGCTGCACGCCTTTCGGCTGCTCCCTGACCTGCTCTTTGAGGCTGGCGGTGGGGGAAAGCAGAACTCCCGCTGCGCTCCGGAGGCTTCAGGTTGCCTTCACTGAAGTCGACTGAATGCTCCTTGAATGCACTGAACGTACCTTGTTTTAGAGGGGGAGAACAAGGAAAAAAAAAATCTCCCCCTCTCTGCGCAGCGCCTCCTGCTGCTTCGCTGAAGGGGAGTTGTGCAGAGAGGGGGAGATTTTTTTTTCTTGTTCTCCCCCTCTAAAACAAGGTGCATCTTATGGTCAGGTGCGTCCTATGGAGCGAAAAATGCAGTAATCCCAAAAACCAGAAGCTGCAGGCTACAAAACTTGATCTGCTTAGAAAATGAAAACTGATATTTTGAAATGTCAAACAGAACTTTTGCAAGAACAGACTTAAAAGGTCATTATGTGATCATTACCATTGAATCGTCTGGAATTTATTCTAAGCCTCAGTCAAACGAAAGAGACCCTGAGCTACAAGTACAGCTCAGAAAGAAGTTGTGGTCAAATATTTAAATATCCATCAATATTGTGCATACCAAGAGGAAGTAACACTGTGGGGAGAAATCATATTTATAACTCTTTGCTTCTTTGGCAGGTGTTTGTAAAGAAGGAATTGTGGGCTTTAGAAATATATATATATATATATATATATATATATATATATATATATATGTGTGTGTATATATGTAATTTGTAGCACAGTTAAATGAACAGTCAATTTGCTTTTGGGAAATAATGGTAAGAGACACCTCTGTATCTCTATGGAACCCCACCAAGAAGTCGTCCTTAAGAAGCACCATGCAAAGGAAAATTAAGCATATTTAGAATTATGTGCTATGTACTGTATACGTAGAAATATTTTTTTGAAATCTAATGCAAGGAGATCTTTTCTGTCATTGATGCCTATGAGGTGCAAGTAGGGAGTCTGTTAGCAAACTGGGCATGAATGAAAGACAAGATGACATTTTAAAAATTAGGATTTTTATCTATTAATACTGGCTACAGCAAAGCATGCCAACTTCACTTTACTTTGAGACAGAGGTCATGCATGCTCCTTCCATATACATCATTGAAATGTGCTGCACAGCAACCATTTAAGGTCTTGCTTCTTCATCGAAAAATATAATTGCCTTTTTGTAAAATGGCAAAATAGAATTATGCACAAAAGCAGTATTAGCAGTGGCAAGATGCTGCCGAGAACTTAGTTGCATATGCTATGTTGCTTTCCCCATAAAACAGATGTGCAACAAAAGCATCTTGTGTACCAAAGAGAACATGACCATGTATGTTACCAGGATAATCCACCTCCGGGAAAGGAGACAAGACACTTATCATTTTTTGTGCTTAACACTCATGCGAAGCTTCAGGGAATTCCAATTGTATAAAGACTTATGAGAAAATGAGACAAAAGTGTGAAGCCATGGGAAGAGATGGTATATTTATCACAGCATTAGGCATTGAGAATACGACCTCGGCTTCATTTGCCAAGGTTGTTACAAAACCAGCCAGCCTCCTTTCAACTTGACCACACAATAGTCCCCACCCCACCCCCAAAGTTAAAACATGTACTAGTTGTTTGCTTTCCTTTACAATCCATTTAGAGTTTCTCTCTTTTCTCTTAAATAATAATAATACACTTTCTTCGTTATTTATAATATGAACAAAATCCTAGTGCTTTAAAAATCTGCCCCTGACAAACGTCTAAGAATACATATTTTAAAATGACTTAAATGTACAACTTCACATTGGTGTTTTTGTTTTTTTTAAGGCATGAACAATGGCGAATGAATGAGGAGAGCTTCCAGAAAAGCATTATGCCTTTTTTCGACGTGGCCAGTCCAAGCACATCACACATCAAGAAACTAACCCGAAGCTAGAAATGAACAAGTATTGCGACTCAAGGTTTAATAATAGCATGGGTGGACATTCTAGACATGTTCCATTAAAACAAATCTTGTTTTGTTTTTGTATCTTTTCTGTTGTCTATTTTAAGCACCAGATACTCTTCGAAAGCATCTTTGGCTAACTCAGTGCATGCTTCTCTTGCGCTGCATTTCCCGTATCTCAATATTTAAAGGGCGTGTTGGTTCCCCCTCCCTTTAATTTAATGCCAGCTGCAGAAATGTCCGGGGTCTGGGCTAATGCACTTTTGGAAGTCCATTTATAAAGATGAATATAAAAGCAAATGAAAGGTTTCTTACAGGTCCACAAACCAACCTCAGCTATAAGAAACATGTTGTGCATAGTTTTTTTTTAAGGTTTTTCTTTCTTTTTTTAAGGAGTGATATGTTACTAGATCTACATTCTCAGTTTACCAGAGTTTGAGGGTTTCTACTTTACTAAAGCCAGGATCCTTTCGGAGTTCCCAATACGTGTCGTTAGAAACCCAAGCTTCTCTTTGATTGGCATCGATAACTTTTCTGCAAAATCAAAAGAAAAATACACACCTGTTAGACAAAATAAATTCAGGAGTGCCTTTAACAAGGACTGAATTATACTCCCTTGCGACACGGCACCTGCAGAGTCCTTTATAGGAAGCAAAAATCCCATCAACCAGTTGTTTGGTAAGGAAGAGGGAACAGAGGGGTTGAATTCAGCCCACAAAATGACAAACAGGCAGTATTTCAGCTTTTAAAAAATTTCCTATTGGACATCAGGTGTGGGGCAGGTAAGGCTGGAGCCATGAATGAAGTGGAACCATAACACAAGCTCCCGATTGTACCATTATAAATGGCAGTCTCTATGAGTGCTGGTCAGGTGATGTCAACCTGAACATTACCTCACACCAGAAGTCCCAGCCAAACAGGGCTTATAATCAAATTTTGTTTTTGTTTCTTGGGTTGTTGTTTTTTTTAATCTCTCAGCCTGCACAATGAGAAGAAACAGACATTTTCCACATAAATGCATTTTTCCAATGCTGAAAATGAAACTGTCTCAACAACTCATGGAAATATTTCTGTAAAAAGTTAATTGTGATAACAATGGGTGGTATTCCACTAAGCTTTGCTCGGGGTAAACCCACTGAAGTTAATGACCATTATGAAGTTAAATGTCCATTAATTTCAATGGGTCTACTTTGAGTAAACCTTAGTTTACTCATAACCTTTACAAGCTGCCAACTCCTCATGCCAGTTTCAACTATTTAAATTTTCCCACTCTGTTACCAGGCTGGTGGTGTATCTGTTAGCAAGGGGGGCGGGGAAACAAACCACATTCCTGAGTTTACATACTTAAAAAATTTTGGTACATGTTCCATATTATTTTCTTCTAAGTAGCGTCTTCGACTTCTCTGGAGTTCTTCTATTCTTAGTTTTTCTGACGCTGCTGCTTCTAAATCTCCGTCTTCCAAAAGCCTGCAATAAAGCAAGTGGAACTTCAAATATACAGTATACCAACATTCAAGCACTGGAACGAATCAACAAAACCCCAGAGATGACAAACCTACACACATCAGGAGTTGCTGGATCCTTACCATCCAGATACTGCAGTTCCGATAAAATTAGCAGGGATAAGAGCCAATTAATTAAACAAATCTTTAATTATTAAGCATGTGAGTTTTAGATGATTGTCTGTATACTGACTTGCTGATTAAACCAGAATAAATTAATATTTTTAAAAGCACACAGTTGTTTTCAACAGGCAGCATGCTTATTTTGTTTTATGCAAACCCCATGCCAATCTTAAAAGAGTCAGTTCCTCTTGGGAGTGAAGAGCAATGCCTCTGCTAAGACAGCAGCTGCCCAATGTAACTTTTATAGCTACCTGAATCATAAACAAACAAACCTTCCTGATTAGTGTGGGGCAGACCCTTAGTTGATCAAAGGTTTTTTTAAGCAAGTCATGCTACAAAGTGATGGACTAAACTAGGAGTGGGGAACTTCAGGTCCAAGGGTCACAAGTGGCCACCATGTGTCTCTCTGTCCAGCCTTTGGGACTCTGCACAGGTGACAGCCTTTCACTGGCCCTGCTCTGCAGCCTCCCTGGGTGTTTTTGCCTGGCTGAAACGTGTCCTTGTACTGCAATAGTGCCTCTTACTTACCAGGTTTACTTGTATGTAAACCTCTATCAGGGCCGGTGTTGGGAGCAGGCCAGCAATAACTCGCAAGGCGTCAGTGGAGTTACCTCTTTGTTCAAATAAACAACAGCTCAGGCTAGTGAGCACAGCAACTCTTCCCAGCAGATCTTGCCCCAATGAGGCAGTTGCGAGGACTGAAGGGCCACATCTTCCCAGTGCTCCCCAAGACTCTTCCTCCCTTGGGTCCTTCCCTAGCAATCTGAGACTCTGATACCTTGTCTGTTTTTGCTCCACCCTCTTCATTCTTCTTCTGGTTCTGGGAGACCAGGAGGGAGGGGAGCTGGTCACCGCAGGAGAGGGAGACCCCCTGGCTTCTTCAACAGCCTGATTCATCTCTGCCTGGCAGCGGCGTAGCGTGGGTTGTCAGCACCCGGTGCAAGGCAAGTAATTTGCGCCCCCTAACCCGGGGCAAGGCAAGTAATTTGCGCCCCCTAACCCCTAACCTGCCGCCACTGCCAGCTTCTTCTTGCTGCTGCCTGGTCTGGTCTGGTGTGGTTCTCTCCCGCGCTCAGCGCTGCGCTGGGCGGCCGCTGCACTGTCCCTCCCCCAGATAGTCCCTCGCTCTCTCTCCGCACGCCTGGCACCCACCCCCTCCACAGTGGGCGGCGACCCAGCGGCTCGGATCGGATTCGCACAGCCAGCACTGCAGTGAGAGTGAGTGAGCCAGGTACGGGCAGAGAGCTGCAAGTGCGAGTGCGCCCCCCCCCCAGATGTTGCACCCGGTGCGGCCGGCACCCCCTGCACCCCCCACGCTACGCCACTGCTGCCTGGTAGCCTCCTCCCTACTCTCCAGCCTCCTCTCCTGCCTCTGATTCTGGACTGCTCTCTGCCACAGCCTCTTCCTGCTCACTGAAACCTGTTACCTTCAGCTTACAACACCTCCTCATTCCAGACTTCTCCTTCTGACCACTCATCAACATCCCATCACCAGTCCCCTGGCTCTGAGCCTTCTTCCCTTGGGGGTTCCTGAGATGGTGGCTCCCACCACTCCTTTGCATCCAGTCAGTCCATGGCAACCTCTTATTTTTTGCTTGGCTGGAAAGTAGCCTACAGCACAAATTTTAAAGCTGCACCTTTTGTGCCTGGATAAACTCACCCACCACTGAGTCCCTGGAAAATGGCCCACGAGGGAATCTGGCCCTCATGCTAACGAAGCTTCCCCACCCCTGGACTAAACACTGGGGTCCTGAAAACAGGTGCGACCTACAATCTATGTTTGAAAGCAGCCGCTGAGCATTAAATAACGACAACCAAGTGATTCTTGCCTTTGGTCTGGCCTGAACCGGGCATCTGTTCTTGGAAGAAGATCTTTCAGTGCAGGATCTAACTCATTCAGCTCAATGGCAAACCTTGTGAAGCCATAATAACGCTCGTAGTTGGTGGGCATGGAGCCTGCATTAACAGATAAGACAAAGTGAATGGCTAAGCATTGCGAACGGAGAAGACATAGGTATCCTGATCAAATTTGCAGATGACACCAAACTGGGAGGGGTGGCTAACACCCCAGAGGACAGGATCACACTTCAAAACGACCTTGACAGATTAGAGAACTGGACCAAAACAAACAAGATGAACTTTAACAGGGAGAAATGTAAAGTATTGCACTTGGGCAAAAAAAATGAGAGGCACAAATACAAGATGGGTGACACCTGGCTTGAGAGCAGTACATGTGAAAAGGATCTAGGAGTCTTGGTTGACCACAAACTTGACATGAGCCAACAGTGTGACGCGGCAGCTAAAAAAGCCAATGCAATTCTGGGCTGCATCAACAGGAGTATAGCATCTAGATCAAGGGAAGTAATAGTGCCACTGTATTCTGCTCTGGTCAGACCTCACCTGGAGTACTGTGTCCAGTTCTGGGCACCACAGTTCAAGAAGGACACTGACCAACTGGAACGTGTCCAGAGGAGGGCAACCAAAATGGTCAAAGGCCTGGAAACGATGCCTTATGAGGAACGGCTAAGGGAGCTGGGCATGTTTAGCCTGGAGAAGAGGAGGTTAAGGGGTGATATGATAGCCATGTTCAAATATATAAAAGGATGTCACATAGAGGAGGCAGAAAGGTTGTTTTCTGCTGCTCCAGAGAAGCGGACACGGAGCAATGGATCCAAACTACAAGAAAGAAGATTCCACCTAAACATTAGGAAGAACTTCCTGACAGTAAGAGCTGTTCGACAGTGGAATTTGCTGCCAAGGAGTGTGGTGGAGTCTCCTTCTTTGGAGGTCTTTAAGCAGAGGCTTGACAACCATATGTCAGGAGTGCTCTGATGGTGTTTCCTGCTTGGCAGGGGGTTGGACTCAATGGCCCTTGTGGTCTCTTCCAACTCTATGATTCTATGATTCTATGATAGTCCTCTGAATACAGAAGGTCAAAATCCCTGCTTGCAGCTCCTGAAGTTGGCTCTAACTACTGGTGATAAACTGACACTGGTCAAACGTCATGCAAGCCCTGCCAAAAGACAGTCAGCACCTCTCACAGTTCTAACCACTGTCTGTGGGGTGGACTAAGGCTTGCTCTACGTGCCACTGAGCTGCCACCTGAGGTGGTGCCTTCTACATATCTTGCTGCCATTATACACAGTGCCTGGGCATCCCAGGGTTCTTCTGCCTCATTCAAGCCTTTCAACACCAGCATCCCCTCACTCCCGGAGGAGAGTCGTGCCGGTCTGAAACCTCGGCCTGCTGGGAGAAAATTCATGGAACAAACACTTTTACACCGTGAGCATGATAGGGCACTATGTGGGTCCTGCTTCAAGTAGCCTCCACCTGGGGGAAAATTAAGTTTGATCCAGGCCAATAGATGGCCCAGCTGTTAAAACAGAAAGTGCTGAATCATCATTAGGGAGAGGAGAATACCTACGAGCTGCATATGAAGATGGCCTTGGCCACTGGTCCAGTGTTGTGTACTCTGGCAAAGGTTCTCTGACAGCCACCTTTCATGACCCTCTTACCAGAGATCTTTAGAGGTCTCACTGCTGGGGTCTGAAGCTCAGGCCTGATGTGATAGCTCAGTTGGTGCTGATAACCACAAGGTTGCAGGTTCAATCCCTATGTGGGACAGCTGCATATTCCTGCATTGCAGGGAGTTGGACTACAAGATCTTCAGGGTCCCCTTCCAACTTTACAATTCTACTATTTTACGTGGCCTAGCACGGAGGAATGGCTCTTCCCTGCACCTGCCACTGTGGTGAGACAGTCTGTAAACCAGAGCCGAGTTTATTACTCCAAGTAACAGTTCGGAAAACGCAACTGGTATTCTTTGTTAATTAGGAACAACCGATACACCAGAGCTTCCATTTTCAAATCAGGTGGTCCTATTATTGCTGTGACAAAGAATGCTTATTGGAGACCAGTAAATGAGTACAGTAGTACCTCAGGTTACAAACTTAATTTGTTCCAGAGGTCCTTTCTTAACCTGAAGCCGTTCTTAACCTGAGGTGCGCGTTCGCTAATGGGGCCTCCTGCTGCTGCTGCTGCTGCGCTGCCACTGCACGATTTCCGTTGTCATCCTGGGGCATAGTTTGCCACCTGAGGTACTACTTCCGGGTTAGCAGAGTTTGTAACCTGAAGTGTTTGTAACTCAAAGCGTTTGTAACCCGAGGTACCACTGTAATTAGAAATCCCCAATTATTTATCTTTCAAAGAGGAAGTATGCAGTATTTTGTAGTGCAAATACTTCCAGTCTTGCTGTGTCTACTTTTGTGATTGGGTTTGCAGCACACCAGGAGATTTATCTCTCCCTGCCTCTGCCAAGCCACCAGAATGGTTACTGTGCATAGAAAACAGTTTCTATTGGTGCCAGTGAGAGTTTTTAAGCCTTGCAGCTGCTAGGAGGAGATTTTCAGGAGACTCTGTGACTGAAAGAAGAAAGGGATAAATCTCGCCCCCATACATCCTGCAGTCCCAGTGACACTGGCTCCCCACACTTGTAATTAAATGAAAACAAGAGATGTAGTGCATGAAACATAGCCTGCAGCTTGGCCCCTTCAGTCTATCTAAAAAAGCCTTCCTCAAACCTGGCCCTCCAGATGTTTTGAGACTACGATTCCCATCATCCCTGACCACTGGTCCTGCTAGCTAGGGATCATGGGAGTTGTAGGCCAAAAGCATCTGGAGGGCCGAGTTTGAGGAAGCCTGATCTAGAGTCATTCCAGTCTGCAGTACTTGATATGATGATGAAGCTCCTTCACCCATAGTACAAGTATTGAATCCACCCCACCGCTTTACCTAAAAGAGCTGTTCCTCTAATAGGTTCATACCTGGTCTCCATATACATTTTGCCGAAGGCCCAACTCCACAGTACAACCCTTCATGCCACTTCCCAAAGAGGCGATGTACCACCTTTCCTTCTTGGTCCATGACAACGCCTTGGACTTCATTCACGTTCGAATTCCAGTAATTCACCTAAAAAAATAATAATGCAAGGAAACAAAAGATCTGTGGCCTTTTTCTTAACTGTTAAGGTAAATCATCCCAGTTTAAGGTGTCTGGGGTATAACTAGGTATCAACTTTCAACAAGACCAGGCAGATCTGTATCACACCCATCCAACAGCTAGGCAGTGCCAATGAGCTGCCAGAAGCGGGTGGGGAATCGGGATGATTCAGACACCACCACCCCTTATCGTATTGTGCCAAATATCTTCAAATGCAGTCCCAAAGAGGTGCAGAGGATAAAGACCTTGCCAATGCAATTAGCATGTCCTCTGGCAACCAGTGAAAGGGTCTTATATTTATTGGCCACACTTTGGTGCACAGATTGATACAATTCATACAACTGGTACCTCCAGCTAGTGAACCTGCCCTGTGTGCTCGTAGAAGCTGCTGTGCAACGGGCCACCAATTGCACAAACACCCTTTTCACTGTTCATAATGAGTACCAAAGAAACGTTACCTTGATGAATGTGAGTTTACAAATACAAACGCTGCTTTTTGTGTTTCTGATGGTTATTTCTCCATAATGTTCTATCCATCTCCTTCCACTGAGGATGTTGTGTATGCAAGTAGTGACTTTGTTCCATACGTAGGAATCACCGTACCTGCAAAGAGAGTTAACTGTGGAAGCTGTGCTCCAAAAATGCCCTTTCCAAACCACTGCCTATTCACAAATGAAACAGTACTCCCCCTTCCAATATTGAAAGCCAATGGACCACCAACAGAACTCAAATATGAAAATACCCACACTTTTTACACGTATTTGTGTCCTTCTAGGGGCATAGCTGTCAACGTTTCCCTTTTTTTAAGGGAAATTCCCTTATTCCAAATAGTATTCCTCGCAAGAAAAGGGAAAAGTTGACAGCAATAGCTAGGGGTTGAATTGCAAATCAATTAGAACAATAAATAATTTAAAACCAGTTTATAAAAAGAAGGTAAGAAAGCAAAAGCACAAGAATAAAATAAGAACAAAACAGCAGTGCAGAATGGGCAGCAATCATAAACACCACCCCCACTGATTTCCAAAGCCACCAAAGGTCTGGGTGAATAAAGATATTTAAAACTTATATCTAAAACATAAGGAAGTGTGAGTGCCTGACAAATGTACCAGAGGGAAGGGCCTTCCACAGCCAGGGTGCCAATACTGAGAAGGCTTTGCTTCTAGTAGCCATATATCCATTGCACTTTTGGAGGTGGAGGCGAAAGGAATAGGGTGTCCACAGAGAACTGGCAGCCCCCCCAGTGCTTAACCATTGGTTATTTTCACAGATAGTCAGTCAACTCTGTCCCACTACAGACACTTAAAAAGATGCTCTGTGAAACATTACAGCCCTCTATAATGAAGATACATTTTGGATAATATTATTCTAAAACAATCTTTTTATGTTGTAAGCTGTGATCTCTGGATGAAGGGCAGTATATAAATTTCATTTTTTTTTTATTATTATTAATCCTTCTGCCAGACATCATAGTATGTGTTTTCCTACTATGGTTACAATGATTCCGCACAATATTATATAAAAAAAACCTGTTTTGTCCTCAAAATAACTCTAGTAAGTAGATTAGGCCGAGAAATTGCGAGTTGCCCAAAGCCCCACATTGAGCTTCATGGTTCATTAGAGTTTTGAACCCAGTTCTCCCCAACTTTTAAGCCCATTACGCTGTTCATTCCACCAGACTGGTTCTGAATGAAATAAGATGAGATGAGCAGAGAAACTGCAGGATTAGCTGACCAACTGCAAAGAAACTTCAGGAGGTACACATTGCAGGACAGTAATACTCTCCCAAGCTTCCTTGCACTGAAACTGGACTCACCCTTATCTGCCACACTCTATAGGTAAGAGTTCATGTCATTGTGAAACCTCATGTTTTACAAGAACACACCTCACTTTGAGTTACCATGATGCCTCTGACCTTTATCCTCCTAGGGGAAATCCGAACAATTTTTACAAAAAATAATAATTTGGAATATGCTTCCTTTTACTGAGCAAAGCAAACACTCACAGTACTAAAATGTCTCCCACTCAGGAAGCTGCTGTGAATTAACTAGCCTAATGTTCACAACTGTTTGATCAAACATAGCTGCAGCATCTAGTAATAGCAGGTAGAGCAAGTAATTATTTAGAGATCCCAGTTGCCTTATCACAACATGCAAGCTGCTGCTATGTGCTCCCTGCCTTGTCTGGCTTCAGTTTTGCTACATTATTCATCAGTGTGCATCTGGGACTTGAAGTGCCTAAATTAGTCTCATGGAACTGCTTTTCCAGAATGAAGAAGAAACAAACAAACAAACAAACAAACAAACAAACAGGAAAAGAAGAATGGAGAAGCTGCTTACTTTGGAAGTGTGACATTCAATGTTCCGATTGGCAGTATCTCCATTGACTTGCCCCAGAATTTGTTTTTCCACCTGATATCTGAATAACATAGCGAAGATTCAGAAAGCTGCAAATTACAGAAGTTCTACAAATGCAACAAACCATTATTTCTCTTTGTCTAATACGAAAGTGAAAGACCTAAAACAGTAGGCTTCCCAATTATATTAACCTTTTCGTTAAATTCCACAAAAATGAAACTATGCAAGTAATTGTTAAGTTTTCTTTTTTAAAAAACAAAACAAAAACAACTAAATTTGGTCTTTAGGCTTGTGAATTAAAATGTATACCTTGCCAAAACACAAAATTCTTTGATTCACAGTGACAGGCAGAAATGGGTGGGTGGTGGCTAACCTGAAATAAAAAATTACGGTGGTGAGGAATTGTGCAAAAGACTTTCATTTTTATCATCACTGTAACAGACACCTTACATAAAAGAGAGATGATGGAGCAGCAGAAAAAGCTACTGCTATTCTAGGCTGCATCAACAGAAGTATAGTGTCCCGATCAAGGGAAGTCATAGTACCGCTCTATTTTGCCTTGATCAGACCCCCGCCAGTAATATTGTGTGTATTTCTGGGCACCACAATTTAAGAAGGATATTGACAAGCTGGAACTTGTGCAGAGGTGAGTGTCCATGATGATCAAGACTCTGGAAACCTACCCTTATGAAGAACAGTTGAGAGAGTTGGGTATGTTTAGTCTGGAAAAGAGGAGACTGAGAGGAGATATGGTAGCCATCTTCAATTATCTGAAAGGCTGTCACAGGGAAGATGGAGCAAGCCTGTTTACTTCTGCTCCGAAGGCTAGTATCCGAACCAACAGATTCAAGTTACAAAAAAGGAGATTCCAATGAAACATCAGGAAGAACTTTCTGACAGGAAGAGCTGTTCAATAGAAACAGATCCCACAAGAGATGGTAGACTCTCCTTCCTTGGAAGTTTTTAAGCAGAGATGGGATGGTGATGTGTCATGTAGGATCTAGTTGAGATTCCTGCATAGAATCATAGAAATATAGAACTGGAAGGGACCCTAAGGATCATCTAGTTCAGGCATCCCCAAACTCAGCCCTCTAGATGTTTTGGAACCACAACTCCCATCATCCCTAGCTAACAGGACCAGTGGTCAGGGATGATGGGAACTGTAGTCCCAAAACATCTGGAGGGCCGAGTTTGAGGGTGCCTGATGTAGCTCAACCCCCTGCAATGCAGGGATATGCAGCTATCCCATATGGGGATTGAATCAGCACCACGCTCTAACCAACTGAGCTATCCAGAAACTTGGACCATTGCAGGGAGCTGGGCCATCAGGGTCCCTTCCAGCTCCACAGTTCTAGGATTCTATGATTTCTGCAAAACTGGATTCAGCTTTACAATGCTGAATTGCACCTAATGCTTGAAAAACAAATATATATCTTCAGATCTATTTTAAAAGCTATATATTTAGATTCATATCAGCCAACATTCTGAAAATAAGATGAAATGCATCAACCAAAATAAACAAATAAATTAAAGTCACAGTGCTATTTAAGGGTCTCTTTTGGAACAGATTTTACCTGCTCCGAGAAAAAACGAAATCCTTTGTCTTCCCTAATTGATTCGTAAGTTTCACCAAGCACAGGGTTAAAAGGCTTGCTTCCAGCTCTGTAGTAAGTGGAGGCATATCCTGAAGTTGCAAAGGCAGCAATAAGGACCTAGTTAAAACAAAGGGAAAAAACTTGAGAAACAATATCTAAACAGTACTGGAGAGACTGTGCAAGCAAACGGGTGTTTCCTTTTCTGGGTGATGGCAGCACCTTTGGCGTTAGTGCTACAACTGCAGACAGCAACTCTGTTCTTGCAATAGCAGTATAGCCACTGTCCCAACATAATAAAGGACAGGGAAAGTCATGCTCCAAGTGGTGGGAAGGTAGGAACGCAAATAATATCCATGCGAATCTGTTCCCAAGGCAAACAGTATCCAAAGCAAGCTTAAAGATGAAGAATACATTTGCTATTTTTGTCTTGGGATCAGAGACAATTGTGTGGGGAAAGAAAGGATGTGCGATCTGAAAAGCCCTTAATGGGGAAACATGGGGTTTTTTGTGTGACACAAGGATCTACCGGAGGGGGGGGGGCTAGCACTCCCCTTTTTGCATTTCCAGTTTGCATCCTCCCACCTTTTCCATATAAGCAATTTTACTCTAGCTCGATATCCTGAGGATTTTTATTTGGGTTTTATTAGGCACCATCCTCAGGTGCTGACAAAAAAAATAACACCAGTTAGTCGGTGATAGAAGGGGGCAGAAATGGATGTGTCTTATGCAATTAGAGAAAGCAAAGAGTACTTTCAGATCTCTGGGGAACTGTCATCTCTACAAGCCTATTGAGAATCATCTCATTACAATTTGGTCTGTTTCGCAGACCCGGAAAGTGGAGCACCACTCCTGTGTATAGGAATATAATGGAAGCAGTCCGCCCGGAAACCCCCCCCCCCATTCATGCCATCTTGAAAGTTGTCTTGAGCAAAAGCATTCCTAGCGGGGCTTGCAGAGTGGAATTCCCCAGCGATTTGCTCATTGCCAGAATATAGGGCATTATCTGCCTTGCACAGAAAAGGGTAATATAGGGATGTGGCTTCAGCTTTGGAATTCACAGGTCTGACAAAATAGATACACCGACAAGTGAGTGATCACTCTCTGCAACAGAGGCTCTAGCGGGGTTTTTTTTGTTTTTTTAAACTACTTATTTCCCTTTAGAATCGCTCAAGAGGCTAATACCAAGTGCCTTCTCTTGCATTACCTTAGCAGTGTGGCCGCTACTGTAGCACCACTCCTTTCCACACTACGAAGGCAACGTCAGAAGTTTCAAACCACGTAGCACCTGAGACTCTTAATCTCAGGGTTGCGGGTTCAAGCCACAAATTGGGCAAAATGTGGGTTCCTGCACTGCAGGGGGTTGGACCAGATGACCTTTGCGGTCCCTTCCAACTCTACGGTCTTACGATTCTATGTGGGAAGAGCGCATACCGTAGCATCCTTAGATTATTTCATCATACTAGTATTGTCCCGTTTGGAAAGCAAGGCAATGGGGGGGAGGGGGGAAGGAAACACAATATGGGCTCTTCCCACATGATCTGGGTCTCCTGGCAAAAGGATGTCCGTGAGCAGCTTCCATACCGCAAAGGTAATGTGAGGCTGGACCCTAAGACTCACTACAACATGTATGCAAGTTCATTCATCCGAATTTATACTGCTCCTGCAAGGCTCCACTTATGTGAGCAGTTATCTGCAGAGATATAGCCAGCCAAGGACCATCTGAATTGGTCGTAAGAAAGTACGCCAACGAAAGGAACAGGCTGGATAAAAAGTAAAAAAATCCTCTATGTCAGAATCTAGCTGCTTTCACGTTAGAGGTGAGCTTACAATAATGGAAAATGCACAAATGTACAGTGGACCCTCTAGTTATGTACCGCTCTGGATACATAACTTTCGGGTTACGAACGCAGCAAACCCGGAAGTGTATACTTCTGGGTTTCATCGTGCGCGCATGCGCAGAAGCGCTCTGCACACCGTGCGCATGCGCAGAAGTGGTGCTTCTGCCTACGGACTTTTTGGGTTGCAGACAGACCCCCGGAACAAATTTAATTCGTATCCGGACGGTCCACTGTATTCAATATTAGAGCTCTAGGAGAGGGATAAACACATCAAGGGACATGGAATGGTGTGCTCTGTCTGGTTTACTACCATTCGTTCGTAGGGGTCATCAGATTCAGCAGCCTTGTCCAAGAGTTCACTGTATTCCAGTTCCTCACAAAGGTGTTGCAATGTATTCAGAGGCTCGTTTAGCTCTACCGGCATGGATACTTTCGAGAGATCCTTCCCGATATTGTTCCTCAAAATGTTCCACAGGTTGATATTACTAGTATCAGGGCAGGGGGTCGGTAGGCATGTCCTTCGTCCATTTCTGAAAGCACCACCAGTCAGCTCATCATTAAGTACTGGAAGGAAAACAGAAGAACAGCAGGGATGTGAAATCCTTTCATTGATTGAAAAACGAAAAATAAAATGGTTTGTATCCAGTGCTAGCTGTACTCAGAGTAAACCCACTGAATTTCATAGGCATGACTAACTTAGGCCTATTCATTTCAAAGGGTCTGTTATTGTTGTTATAGATTTACTTATACCCCACCTTTTTCCCTGATGGGACTCAAGGCGGTTTACAGATAAAAAGAAAAACCGCTAAAAACATAGGAAAAAACATTGTAAGAAAACAATTATAAACACGGAAAGAATTAAAACTATATACATATAATGAAATCTACTAAAACCATACAAATAATTACAGTAAAAAACAGAAGGAAGAGTGCTATTCTACAGTTAACAGGGATAAAAATGTAAAAGTGGCCCTCACTGATTTGAGTTGCATCCAGAGAGTGTTCCGATTTATATTGCACCACACCTAAAAAGAACACTTATTTTCTAAAACTTAAAAAAATTAAAACCCTGCATACATTGCCGAGAAATGTTGTCTGCAACACTGGTGTTGTCCTCTGATATGTTGTCACTCACGTCACTGATGTACGACTCATCATCAGAAGCCTAAAGAAGAAAACAAAGAGATTTAAATGAAAAGTAAATGGAAGCAGACGAGGAGGAGGAGGAAGAAGACAACAAATGGAACACTGAATAGAAATGTTTTCATAAATTCAAGTCCCAGTGACGCATGTATCCTAGAGTTGTTATCAGGCTGAAGAGTGCCCGTTTTGTGAAACCCTGGTTTGGCCAATATCATCCCATTTTTAGCTCGTGCCTAAATATGTAAGCTCTCCATCTTCCTCTCTGAAGAACAAGCTGTACTGGAAGTGACTGTAGGTCAAAGAGTGTCTGTTCTATTGAATACAGATGACTCATGTAAGCCTATCACTGTCAATATGATATATAGGGGGAACGCCTCTAAATCATTCTCTGCAAACACACTTCAAACCATGGTTTTAGAGAAGGGATGGGCACCACAATCACAGGTGGGTAGATGGTTGGGGGCTGCATCCCAGAAAGCATGACCGGAGCCAGTCACACTGCCATACCTTAAACCAACTCATGCTCACAGACAGTCTTGGAAAGACAGGTACCGTATTTTTCGCTCTATAAGACGCACTTTTCCCTCCTAAAAAGTAAGGGGAAATGTGTGTGCATCTTATGGAGCGAATGCAGGCTGCGCAGCAATCCCTCTTGCTGTTCTGGCTTCAGGGATAGCCGCACAAAGCCTCTTCAACAACATTTGATTCAGAAGATTTTTTTTCTTGTTTTCTTCCTCTAAAAACTAGGTGTGTCTTACGGGTCGAGTGCGTCCTATAGAGCGAAAAATACGATACATGGGTCGCACATGTATGTCTTATTTCTCCATTTAAATTACCTCCAACCGGCCTCCCAAAGAGCTGTATGCACAGGGAAGCACACACTCAATCATTCATGGGAAGTCAGATGCTTCAGGATACAGTATAACCCCTTTTGAAGAGGAGGAAACAGTTCTCTTCCCTGCTGTCCTGCTGATGGCGGATTACCTGGGCAGTGGGAAGAGTGGGCAAGTTTTCCCCACAGCTTGGTGGGTTGCAGAGAGAGTAGCTGAGGGCCCTATGTGGCCCACCCCTGTTTTAAGGAAAGAAAAACAAATTTTCTTGCCAGGGCAAACGAAAAACCAGTAAGCGAAGGAACAGGGTGGGGGCGTCAAAACTGAGCTACTAATTTACTTCCGTCCAAAGAAGAGAAGATGGGGAAAATAAAATGGTAGCAATTTACGTGTCACTCATTCCACAACACTGCTGCCTGCTTTTGACAGGAGGAAGGCGGAGCAAATGGGTCACGAATTGCTGCCTCTGGCCATGATCTCAAGGCAATTAAGTGGCAAGCAGCTCCTTTACTCCAGATTAACCCGACAAAAATCAGTGGGACTACTCTTGGAACTGTCAGATTGTTCTAAGAGCTTCACCTAATTCTTAGGACTTTGTGTGATAGGTTAGGATTTTTATCCTCATATTTCATTTTGAGATAGTGTCTTGCCTACGGTCAACAACTTAACCTCATAGTGGAGATGTGATTTGAACCAGGAGACTGCTGTGTCCATGTCCAAGCCTTCCAAATTAGGATCAAAAGTTCGGTAAAGGTAAAGGTAAAGGGACCCCTGACCTTTAGGTCCAGTTGTGGCCGACTCTGGGGTTGTGGCACTCATCTTGCTTTATTGACCGAGGGAGCCGGCGTACAGCTTCTGGGTCATGTGGCCAGCATGACTAAGCCGCTCCTGGAAAACCAGAGCAGCGCACAGAAACACCGTTTACCTTCCTGCTATTTATCTACTTGCACTTTGAGGTGCTTTCGAATTGCTAGGTTGGCAGGAGCAGGGACCGAGCAACGGGAGCTCACCCCGTTACGGGGATTCGAACCGCCGACCTTTGATTGGCAAGTCCTAGGCTCTGTGGTTTAACCCACAGTGCCACCTGCGTCCCCAAAAGTTCGGTACTTGATCCCAAATGCATTATAATTATATAGAGCACAGCAGAAGAAATAATCAGGCTTTCACTGCCTAACCTCGTTTTCTGATGAGCTTGCAGACAGAAGCACCTCCTGCGCATCGAAGAACTCAGAGACAGATTCCGACATGGAGAGCCTGCTTTCATTAGAAACTTGCTGGGAGAGTGGGAGACTGACATGGATCTGTTCACCTGCCTGCAAAAAGGGAAAAACACACACATATGAACTCCAGATGCCCACACATAACAGAGAAAAAGGAAGGGCATGCCTAATCAATATATTTTATTGGACAGATGCCCTGCTTATTCCCTGCATGGCCTCTCCTTCCTCCCGGTTTAGAAAATAAGCTCTAGCAAACGGAGAGCTCAGGTTGAAAAGAAGCCATTTTGCAAGGGGAGCACAAACAACTTATTTTCCAGCTAGCACTCTCGTAACTCTTTTTTTGTGTGGCAGGGGACAGAGAGAAATGCCTTCTCTCAAGATTGTTCCTCTGCTACAGGAAAACCCAGCATCTTCCAGCACTGAAATGATACCTTGTGTTTGATGGGGAAGGGAGGCCCAACCCTCACCTGACACACTTCAGCTTCAGGCATGTTGTATGACTGCTTTAGCACAATGCACTCATGTCCTGAAGCCTGATCTTGTTTGTTTGCATGTATGCGCATACACAGGATGGCCTGCAGCAAAATGTTGCAGCTCATCATCCCCTATTAAAAGGAATGTTCTTGTTCCTGTTTCGAACCATTCCTTCCTTCCCAACCTAGCATTCTACTGCGTCCTAGTTTTTTGTTGTTTTTTTTGCAACTGTCTCTACCTTTTGTGGATACTGAACATGCTCAGTGTTCGCCAGGCTGTTTTATGTTTGCTTGCAGGGGTTTTGTTTTGTCTTAGAGGGTTTTTAAAAGGGTGGGTTTTTTGTGCTTCTGCAAATAAGCCTGCTGATATGTTCTTCTTGTTTTTCTGGGTTATGTGGCCTGCATGACTAAGCCGCTTCTGGGGCAACGGAACACCAACACCAGAGCAGCGCATGGAAATGCCGTTTACCTTCCTGCTGGAGCGGTACCTATTAATCTACTTGCACTTTTTGGGGTGCTTTCGAACTGCTAGGGTGGCAGGAGCTGGGACCGAGCAACGGGAGCTCACCCCATCGTGGGATTCGAACCGCCGACCTTTTGATTGGCAGGCCCAAGGCTCAGTGGTTTAGACCACAGCGCCACCCGCGTCCCATGTCTTTGTCATTAGGAGGGAGCTTATCTATTTATCTGAAGCGTTCTTTACTTTAGCCTTCAGTCAAACAGGTTCCCTTACCCACACTTTTCTACTGTACCCCAAATGAATACCAATCCAGTGCAGTGCCATTTCCTCAGAAGGAATGACCCACTAACTACCTGAGGGATAGCTCAGTTGGTAGAGCATGAGGGCTCTTAATCTCAGGGTTGTGAGTTCAAGCCCCACATTGGGCGAAAGATTCTTGCATTGCAGGCTAGATGATCCTTGCAGACCCTTCCAACTCTACAATTATATGATTCTATTTCAAATTTCAAATATGTAAATGTTTTCCTTAGTTCAGGTCTGGAGCTCACGTCTCCCTTAGCCCCCTCCTGTAGCAAAGCTCATCCTCTTGCATTACGCACAGTTAATAAGCTACGACTATAAGACTGGGACAAGAAAGAGCCTCACACCGTGGGGATGGTCACTCCAACTAACACAGAGACAAGACAGTGGCTATAGAAGCCCTGGAGCTCCAGGAATGGTTCAGGGCACTCTGCCTTTGTAGCACTCAGCAACTTTTATACAGTAGCCTCACACACTTATAAAAGGTAAAGGTACCCCTGCCCGTACGGGCCAGTCTTGACAGACTCTAGGGTTGTGCGCCCATCTCACTTAAGAGGCCGGGTGCCAGCGCTGTCTGGAGACACTTCCGGGTCACATGGCCAGCATGACAAGCTACTCTGGCGAGCCAGAGCCGCACACGGAAACGCCGTTTACCTTCCCGCTAGTAAGCGGTCCCTGTTTATCTACTTGCACCCGGGGGTGCTTTCGAACCAGGTTGGCAGGCGCTGGGACCGAGCGACGGGAGCGCACCCCGCCGCGGGGATTCGAACCGCCGACCTTTCGATCGGCAAGCCCTAGGCGCTGAGGCTTTTACCCACAGCGCCACCCGCGTCCCTTCACACACTTATATCTGACTATATAAATACACTTTGAAGATTCTTCACCCAGTTTTCTATTCTATAAAGCTGACTTCAAATGAAGGAGGCTCCGAAAGGAATTTCCATTTTTGTCCAAGCAGAAGGGATTCATCGGAAAAGCACATGGTATTGGTAAATGGTGGAAAAATAAAGGAAAAGGGTGTGGGTGTGTGAAGAGACACTGCAACTTTAATATCACCAAATACAGAGCGTTCAGTGGGACCAGAAAGAATTATCTTATGGTGTGCCTCATATGTTTAAATGACATCTGCTTTGTCTCACTTGGAAACCGAACTCTCCAGCATTTTGGAGCTCAGCAGTGGCTAAGGGAGGATTGGAAAGAGGGGGACCAGACCCTACACAAGCTTTCCTACTGGTTATAGGGCTTGTAATTCTGGGCAATCATTATAACTTCAGTTAATCTATTTCAGCAAGGCAGTATTAAGAATAACTAGCATTCTTAGCAATGGCAGTACACGTGGACTAATGTATTTCCCTTCCACCTTTCCATATTTGAAGTGTGAGGATTGGTAACTTATTGAAGAACAGGGATGGAGATTAGGAATAAATGAGTAATTCTCACAATGGAGGGATGCAAGAGGTTGGAATGCCACTCAAATTGGAACTGGTGTTTTTCAACTTGTTCATCGATGATCCGGAGTTAGGAGTGAGCAATGAGCTTTCCAAGTTTGCAATTATCCCAAATTATTGAAGATGATTTAAAGAAAAATGGATTGCAAAAGAACTCCAAAAAGGATGTCTACAAGATGTTGAATGAGTAACATAATGGCAAATGTGGTTCAATGTCAATAAATGCAAAGAGATGAACATTGTGGCAAAAAAATCTGAAGTTCCTACATATAGTGATGGTGTCTGAGCTGGGAAAGAGATCTTGGGGTGGAAGCAGATTGCGCCATGAAAATGCTGACCCAGTGTGCAGCAGCTATGAAAAAGCTAAAAATTCATGCAAGAGATCATTAAGAAAGTGTCTGAAAATTAAAAAAATGTGAATACTATAATGCCTTTGCACAAATCTTTGTCATGGTGATACTTGAAATACTGCGTACAATTCTGGCTGTGACACCTCAGACAAAATCTATTATTTTTCTGTAGAATTGGTAAAGGCCAACCCAAATGTTAAGAGCTGGAGCAGCTCCCCTGTGAGGAAAGCTTACAATTTTTTTAGGCTTTCTATGTTTTTTTTGGGGGGGGAAGCTGAGTGAAAAGTTTATTTAAAAAATATACACAATATGGAGAAGGTGGATAGTCAGAAGACTTTCTTCCTCTCTCATAGCACTAGAACCCAAGGTTATTAAATGAATCTGACTGGTGAGACTTTCCCAAGCAACAAAAGGAAGTCCTTCTTCATATCACACATAGTTAGCTTATGAAATTGGCTGCTTCAAGATTTGTGGTGATTGCCACTAGGCCAGACAGCATTATAAGGGGGTGAAGAAAAGTCATAGAGGAGAAGGCTACCAGTTGGGAAGGCTATAGGCCAACCCTAGGATCGGATGCAATCTGCCTCTAAATACCTGTTGCTGGGCTGTGGGTGAGGTTTATTGCCCTCAAGTCCAGGAAATAGTGGTGCACGATGGGGAAAAGGCCGTTTGACTAAACTAGTCTGGTCCAGCAAGGCTCTTCTTATGGATTCTTGGCTGCTTGCTTACTTAAATACAAATGCACCAGAAACAGGGCTAATTCGTATTCTTTGAATGCTAACAACAAACCTTCCACTTCTCAGATTTCCAAAAGGAATCTCACATGAACTACTACAGCTCATTACTTTCATGAATGCTACTGGAAAATTTCCTGAATAGAGACTGACCCACTGCTTGCCAGCTTTGCCAAAGAGAATGATTTAGTCATTAGTGATAATTAGTGGGATTTGACTACTGTAAGTCCATTAGAGCAATGACAAAGTCTTACCTCATCAGGACTAGGGATAATATTTACACTGACAACCTGATCACAAATAACAGACTCTGAATGTATTCTGTTCAAGCGACTCCTTAGTTCAGCATTCTGGTTGATAGCCTTAAAATAACAAAAATTAAATATTTAATTTCAAATGTACAAGACAGCACAAAGCAGAGTCAAACCACTGCTGTACCCTATATTCGGGCCAGAACCAAAGTGTTATATTATATGGATGGTACTTCTAAGCAACTAACTTTTTTCCTGCAACCATTAGTATTATGTCCAGCAGTTCTGGTTAGGTATCTTAAGTCAAATTAAACTCATTTAACTATTCTGGCTTTCTTCCATAGAAAAAAGGCTGCTAATTTGGTGATTACACTAAGGATTCCTTGATAGAGGTCTGCATCCCTCCTCACTTTAAACAAGTTTATGGCCAAAGGCAAGCGGTGGAATAAATGTGATCAATTAAATTTATACATATGAGGAGCTATGAATAAGATACGAATAGTAGTGGAGAAGAGGGGTTGGTTAGCCCTTTCCTTCCAAGACATTTTTCTAGTCAAAATTACCACCCAATGTGCAACCTCTTTTCCACCGGTGAATGAAAAGATATTAGGCTCCTACATCATTTTACCTGGTGAGAAAGGAACATGGAGAAAGGATTATAAACCCCTCCTTTCTCTTCCAATCAAATGTACAGCTCATCCATAGTGACACTTCAATGTTGTTGTTTTTTAAGTGGGAACTGCTCCTACATCTCCTTGAGTTTGGTCCCAAGATTACAATCCCGACACCTTTGCTTTGGAGTAAGCTACTTGGTGGGACTTATTGTCTAAATATGCATGGGACTGGGCTGCCAGAAAAGTAGACACACCTTTAGCCTTTCCTTGCTTTGAAGGATTCTATAAGACAATGAAAGAAGAAACCCTAGTTGTGTTTGCTTCAGGGGAACCTGATTATTTGGAAGACAAGCACCATTCACAGCAAATGATTGTATGTTTCGCCAATGAAGCTGTTGTATTTGCTTCTGAATTCAATAAGCATGATTCAGCCTTTACATTTATTTAAGGTCACCCAACAAGACCAGTCTATCCTCTTGAATGCTCTGTGCAGCTCACACAGCATAAACAATACTGATACGTTAATGGGTCATTCTTATAATCCTTTAGCATCTCAACATTAGACCACTGATATTGTCCATAGTATATCATCCCATATTACTGACATAAATGAAGACGTAATAGAGGAGCAGAAATAGTTTACACTTCCCAACATGTCATAACCTACAGCAGGCAATGGAGGACTCAGATGGATATGAGGTTCAGGCTAGATCTGATCAGAGTGGCTGGGGAAACCCAGCCAGATGGGTGGGGTACAAATAATAATTATATTTCATCAGAAAGAGAACCTCTGGAGCATTGGTCTTCAACTGGTGGTTTGCCACAAGAGCGTTACCAGCACACAAATGCACACTAAAAGGTTAAGAAATGGGTCCCCATTTGCATGTTTGGATTAAAAGTGAATCCTGGGTCAGAAAAATTGAAAATGCCTGCTCTATAGAACATAGCAATAAAACAGAGTTCTCTACCATGGTCTTAATCAGAGGATGACTCCTCTGCATACCATTTTTTCCCCTCCAGTCATGCAGAAGTCAAATTCTGCAAAATAAGGCAAGAGCCTTATTCAGCCAGATTCTCCAGGAAGGTGGAAGCTGGGACACTAGATTTGATCAGCTGGCACTAGTTCCTTGAAGGGGTAACAGCTTTATCTCTGTAGCTGTCTTAGCAGCACCCCTAGGAACTGTCCAAGGTCCTGTTCCTATCTGCTTTCTGCTTTGACTGGCGACTACCTACATCCCCTGCAGTCTAACAAAACTGGGCAAATAGTCACCAACCCTTATGCAAACAGGCAGGAAGAAGCAAACAAAGTAATTAATCAACTAAACTGCATTCGTTTGCCGCGAGTCAAAAAGAAAGTACTGCAACACAGAAAGTCTAAGCTCTGCAGGTTTGCGGCAAATGAGGTAAAGTATGCAAAATGTCCATATTATTTAATATTTAATTTGATTATTTTAAAAAGCCAGTCAAGTTTAATTCATTAGGTATGAATTTTGTACCTCTTTAATTTAGACAGCACTACCCGTACTAATTTAAGTACTGCAACAGCAAAATGTGGAGCAACAGCAGTGAGAAAGCAGGAAAAGGACTGATGAGATTTTGGAAAGCAGTACTGGAGGTGCAAAGAAGCTGAGACTGTGAAAGACACGCGCACAAACACACACAGACTTGTAAGGAATGAACATTTGATGTGCTAACTGGAAGCTACTTTTTCTAATCTCAGAGATTTTAAGTTCTACAGAAAATAAGCTACTCATATGAAGAGAAGGCTATAATTCTTGGGAATCCAGTGGATCCTACACTGGAAACAAAAATGCATGCTTTGCACAATAAGTTCTTGGCTAAAGCACAATAAAAGGGGCAAAATAGTTTGGCCATTTCAAGATTTTAATTCAATTCTCATTACGAAAACCTTGCAAACACACGGCACTACTACTATTAATTTGCACAGGACAATGTTCCTGGTTCTTTAGAAACGAGTATATTGGCAGCTGTCCTCTCCAAAGAAAGTGCCACTTGTGCAGATAAAACAGAGACAGAAGACAAGAGAATAGAATCCAAATGGACTCAAGAATACAATGAGCTGCTGTCTTCCCCCACTTGTTCTCTGCCTATCTTTTCGCAACATAGAGAAAAATATCTATTCTGGATACCGAAGGAGACCATAGAAAAAGAGGACAGCTGAAGGAGACCATAGACTAAGCGTGGTATTAGGTGACATAACAAGAAAAGGTGGCGACATTGTATGAAGCAGAACCCTGCTGAGAGCAAGATGACAGAACAGAGGTTAAACAACAGAATACCATTATCCTGGTTAAGTGAAGCAGTTCAACTGATGCTGCAGTCCTCAGTTATACTCTAGTGCATAAATCCTTAGCTCAATGAAGCTTTATAGTGAAAGCAAACTGGGTAGAAGCGCAGTTCTTCAAAGACTGAACTGAGTTTTGTCTGGTTAGCTGAACTGAAAATTGTGAAATTATCTTGTGTGTTTGTGTACATACGTATGGACAAAACTGGATAAAGCTACCAGGGTAGATCAATGAGATTAGCCTCGCTTTCCTTCATTGAACATAATGCATAACTGGGGTGGGTGGATGTAGATTTTATTGTAAGATGAGGCAAGCTCAAAGATGGCAAGCACGCAGGATACTGCCGCTCCAACATTAATGTATCCAGTTTTGCTGAAATGAGAATTAGAATACTACTTGGGGTCCCAAGGCCATAAAGTTAGTCCCACTGCAGGCTCAATTTTACAGCTATAGACATGCAAGTGATGCAATAGAAGGAACATACAAATACTTGAAGATGAACTGAACCTGAAGTGGGAAAAACAAGTTATCTTTTATTTGATTAAAGTTTTCCTAACAGAACCAGCATCCACAGGCTAGTTTCTTTGTGATTATGCAACACTGGACTCCTCAACCTATATTATACCCTGTATTGAACAAAATAATTCAAAATGTAATGTGATATTAACAGTGTACAATTTTGCATACCATCCCACGCTTTATTTCTATATTTATCTGGGTTGTGGTCTTGGGGGGTTTTTGTATTTTAAAACTATAAATGAATAAAAAACAAACCCTAGTATCGGGACAAGAAGTTGCCTTTATCTGTATTTTTCTTCTTCTTCTTCATAATCCCTAACCCCATTATGTTTGAAAGTATAGGGTAGATCAGGACAGGAATTTATCAGTATCGTAACATTTGATTTTGTCACTTGTTTTTAGAGAGTTATCTGGCATTTATGGAAAGCAATGCCACAAATAGCATTTACCACCTGTGGCAAACAACAGTTACAAATCACGGTATTTCCAAAACCAACCATCTGAAAACGTAGCAAATAGCCATGTAAGATCATACCTGTGAGAGGGATTGCCTGAGACAGGTTATCTGTGTATTGTGTCCAGCGAAATCATGTTCTGAAACCATCTGCTTAAGTTTCTCCTTCTCTATCGCTATGCTGTTGAAGGCAGACTTCAGAAGAGAATGTACTGGGGAGAAAACAGAATTGTCTCTGGTATACACCACAGGCCTCTGCATGCAACTTACAAAAAATATGTATCAGCAAACATTTTGAACAGTGCAATTCCCAATGCTACAGAAACAAGATGCAGATTTTGCAGGGCCGAGCCTATCACTTCCAAACTTCCATATGCCCTACTTTGAATAACCACGTATAAAAAACGGCCATTAGCCATGGCTGGAGTTTTGTCCTCATGTACACAGTGGAGCCTACGGTGCCATTATTCCTCACAGAGTGCAAAATCAGTTTAGTCTATTTTTCTCTCATCAACTACGGCTACTTCTCAAATATTCAGGGTATTTTCACACACCCTGCAAAATAGGGGGAAGGGGGGGATGAGTCACTCAGGTCAAGCATATTTCTATTCTGCTCTTTAAAGCATATCTCCATGCTACATGATTCCCCAAACTTCTGAAGGGCAGGCCATTTTTCCTGTCATTTATCACTGTGATAATTCAAAGGGTTCAGTGCAAAAAAAATTGGGGGGGGGTGTCTTTATTTTTAGACTCAGACTATAAGAGCCAACAACTTGTACATCTTCGGCTAGAATTTTAAAACATGGCATAGCAAGTGGGTGCTGATCAGGTGAAATTTTTTTGCAAGCCATCACCTTGCAAACTTGCAATATTCATACCCGTACTGCAAGAAATTGCTTCCTTGCAACTGCATCTGTGTGCAAAATCTGTGTGAGAAGCACAGCTGAAATAGTTGAAAAGTAAAACACAAGGGATCTTCCGAAACTTAACAGGATAAGAGAGAAACCTTTGGCTAACATGCTAGCTTCAGTTTCTCCCAAATGAAACAATCAACACACACAATGCCTTGGCCCAAAGCTAGCCTACTCTGTATCAAAGGTTATTTCCACTGAGATGCTGCTGTTACGCATACAATTACCTTTCTGTGCCATGAGGCAAAACTCTTCTTGGAGTTTCAGGTAGTCCGTGGAGCTTTCCAGGGGGTCAGATGCATGGCTTGGAGGAGACTGAAATTCGATGTCTGCACAAAGATTAGGATTGGATGAATGCAGGCGAACAGGAGACATTGTAGCGCTGAAAGGAACCTAAATTGGAAAGCAACAGATACAAGGGACTGTATCTTTCTTCCACAGGACATCTGGCACAGCACTGTAAGACTTTTCTCACTTTACCATAGCGCTCAATATTTATGAGTCGTGGCACTGCTGCCAAGAGGTATCTTTTTAATCTCCTTCAAAGCAGGAGTTCTGCTCCTTCCCTGAAATCAATGTTGATGTGTTATAAGCGTTAATTTATGACGAATAGGATTTCAATTCAAACTTGCAGTTACAGCTTGTAACATAAAAAAGGAACAGTGCTTTCTAAGTAAAGCCAAACACAACCAACCAAATATTCAGTGTGGGACATTAAATAACAGAGCTTCAAGTGTCTTCTGATTCACTGGAAATCAGAAAAGTGAAGGGAGGCATTTTAGGAGAGAAAACTTTACTAAATTTGTAGTCTGGCCTTCCAAACATGTATGAATAATGTATTAGCAGCTACTGGGGGAAAAAGAAGATTTGAACAGTACTATTTTCTCCAGCATACTTAAAACATGGCTAAACATCGCCAAAGAAGAATTATGAACAGATTTATGAAAGTGCTGGTAAATCGGGAAATGGATATATAATATATGGCATTAGTACATCTACAAATCACAAAATGTGAAGTTAGATGCATTGAGTGCCTGTCTTTTAATGTAGAATGTCAATTTAATTTGTTGTATTTATCTACACATTGCACAAAAAGACACTGTGAATATACAACGCAGAGAAACAATCTTGAATCATGTCTTCAAGACACAATTTATTGTACCACCTCCACTTTTCATTTCCTTCTAAGAAATATGTTTGTATATATATGTGTGTGTTTTCTCACATTGCTTTTTTTTGTTACACAGAATACACACAAACATATAAGCATCATGCACACATCTGTAGTGCTTTTTAAAAATAATATATTAACTATTCAGTGATGACATGCAAGACAAAATGCATTCAGCCTTAGGTGCATTCCGCAGCCCAATGTTCAAGCATTTTTGTGACCGAACTTGCAACCCAATTCAGCACTTGAATATAAAGTCAAATATTAAATTACATTGTTGTCCAAATAGTTCATGTAATTTAAATGTCAATTTCTTGGGGGGGGGGGGTGTTACAAAATATATTACATGCTTTTGAAATATTCTCAACAGGACCGGCATAAAAAGTCATATTACTTTACATTTCAACAGACAATGGATTCATTGGCCCTAACCAGTAGGAACTTCTTGGAATACAATTTTCTCCAGTTCTTTCAGGAACCTGGACTTGCACAGTATATAATGTAAAGTTTTAATTCATCAGTTGAAATGTATTTTTGAGAGATTAGACATCCTATTCTGCCCACATATTTATTGCAGCTCTTCTTCTGCTACCCAGTCTCTTAACATTGGAACTTTACTGTATGTTGATACATTTCTTCCATTCAGCTATATGAAAAACACTAACTTTGAACCTGAGTTAAATTTAGATTGGAAAAAATGGAATGCCTCCTCCCTTTTTTTTGTTTGTTTGTTGGTTGTTTAAACAACAATCAAAAGGAGTGTTTTCCTTTCCCAGGGGAACTTACAGTATTACCACAGGAACACAATATCCTTGCATTACAATTAGATGTCATACTAAACTAAAATTCTGTCTTTAACAATTCCTTAGAATAGCCTTCTTTTGGCAAACAAGCTTTGATCTCAATTATTGATCACTTCCTTCAAGTTTGTAACTTTGCCCTTTTCAGATGAGATCCAAGGTCATGCCAAAGGATGGGATATCCCCCATCATATCCTCCATACTGCAGCCCAAATCTGCTCCAGAGGGTCCCCAACCCTCTAGAACACATTTTGAGGGTGTGCAGAAAAGGAAGAGGAAGTCTTGCTCGCACAAACAGAAGTCTGTTGCACAGGCAGGAGAACACAATTGGATAGCACCATTCATTATTATGGCTGAAACCAAACAGCAGCAACCTAGGAGCTGATCGAGCTATAAACTGTGAGGAAAAAAAGCTCAAGGGAGAACCTAGAGATAAACTAGGAAGGGAAATCTTAATCTACTTTCAGTCTTTTAAAGTGGCTGTTTCTGAAAGACCAACTCTATAAGCCAGTGTGCAAGGGAAGGCACTCATAAGATGGAAAGCTAAGGTCACAGAAGGTATGCTGTTCTCTCAAGGTGGAAGTGGAATCTGAGGAAGCAGCTGCCATCATTGCATGAATAACTCTGCTGAGAGTGGTGCAGAAGGAGGCAAAGACTAAGGAAGCTCATGCATTTGATCCCTGGGGGGGTTCTATAAAAAGAAGGGCAAACAGAAATATTTCTGCTCCAAATGCAAGATTCTAATTTAGTGTACACTGGCTGCCAATACCCAGGATGCAAATGGGTGGTAGGAGGAGCTGTTGCAGGTCCTTCTGTAAAGGAAGCACTTGCTGCTAGTCAGCCATTTGCTCCCCATGCTGAAAGAAACTTTGAAAGTGGCATTCTATGTTACTCAAGGATGTGTGGGTAGGATGAAAAACCAGGAAAGTTCTCGTTTGTCAACAAAGCGCGTACACACATCTAAGAGGCACATTAGCCTCCAGCTAGTGTACATGAATTTTCAAAAATGAATGAATGCAAATATTGGAACACCTGAAACGAACTTAATCACATGAGGAAGAGGCTATTGGTGCCTCATTTTTATTTAATAATGATGGTCCATGTTCAGGGGATATATAGATTGCTTTACCTCCAAATATTTAACAAAAAAGCAAAGCCCAAATACTACGTTAGTCATTCAGATTACCATAGTAACCTCCCTTCCAACCATGAGAGGCAGAGGCAAATGATTTTTTTTGGTACAGCATCTAGAAATTAGACCAAACATCTGGAATGAGGATGTGGCTAGAGAGCATTACGCAATTGCTTTAAATCCAAGAGTTAATGTGGTAAATTGGGACTTAAAATAGAGGCCAAAAGATTTTGACAATTAAATTCAACACCAAATTTGGAAAGAAATAGGTAAAAAAAGTATGTGAGAAATATACAATGCTGGCAGTATTTGGACAATCAAATCTTGGCTTAAGTTAACTTTAAATCATATCATGTTTCATTTGGAAACCATTAAGCATGGTTTCCCAGTCTGGACATAAAAAGCTCTGGTTCCCTGGTTAACTGGGGCTTCCTGGCTTGTTTCTCGGCTCACGTGACATGCAGGAGTCTTAGTTTTAGATCTCAGCTTGTTAAGCAAAGATTCGATCAACTGAATATAGATGCTGTGAATCACAGGTGTGGCCCTCCAGATGTTACTAAACTACAACTCCCATAAGCCCCAGCAAGCATGGCCAACGGTCAGGGATGATGGGAGTTACAATTCAACAACATCCGGAAGGCCAGTGGTTCACCACACCTTATACTTTCAAACCTTGGCTCCAGTAGGCCTGGAAGATACACATATTATAATTTTAGGGTGCACACATATGTATGTGTGGTATTAAGTGCATGCTTGCCATTCACAACATGGTTGCACCTTTCTCTGTTGCAGCACTGCCTTCCATAACCATCAGCTATTCGGCTATTTCCCCCCGCCCCCATCTCAAAGTGGATCCACTACAATGTTGTCTTGCACAGCCATTATCTGCTCACCCAGGGGATACCTTAAAGCTACTGTTACCGCCTTAATCTCCTACTCCACATTACCTATCCACCTAAAGAATGCTTCCCAGGTGTACCGTTCAGCTCTGCTTCCGCCTCTACACTCATTTTCTCGTTTGTTCCCCATCTTTCACAAGCTCCATTTTCAGGTAGATGATCATAGCATTTTTGGCTTGGTGCAGTAGCCTGCTCTGATAATCTGTTTCATTTTTTTTTAAAGTAGCACAGTTGTAGATTAATATGCACATTCACCCCTGAAAAGCTGGTTTATCTCTAGTATTAACACTCCCCTCTAAATGACCACTGGTATGTGATTCTGGGCTCAATTGAAGCGTTGGTTGTTACCTATAAAGCCCTAAATTGGCCTGGTTACCCAAAGAACCACACACTTTCTACCCCACAAGATTGCCTGAAGCTTGCTTTTTTCACCAGAGGCTGTCCCCCAAGTCCTACTGCCAACGGAAGTTGAGTTTAGTGATTGGAGAAGGGCCCTTCGTAGTTCTAATGCCATATATTGGGGATGTTCTTCCCGTGGAAACATTGCCTGAAGCCAACTCTGATATATTTCTGGCACCAGGCAGAGACATTTTTAATTTGTCCAGACATCCAAGCATATTCAACAGATGGTTTTAAGAGTTGGTTATGATTCAGTGTGGTTTATGGCTTGAGTGTTGCTGGGGCGGTGGTGGTTATATCATTTTATTGTACTGTTTTATTCATTTATCTGAATGTTATCCTGGCATAGTATGCGAAGGGTGGGTGGTAAATTAAAATAAATGCGTTCATCCCTTGAATATTAACATCACTTTCCATCAACGTGCAATTTGGCTTGAGTGGCAATTTGTTATTTCTATGAAATATCAAGGACCTCTTGCTAGCCAGCTCTCAGGTATCCTCATTTCCTGACAAATCAGATTCATTGTGTCAACCTTACGCAATCATGTTACCGTAGGTGGAAGTAAATACGTCTACTTTCATTTGAACTACTGAATTAGGTGAACATTCTGCTATTCCAACTCTTCAAAGAAGCCACATAATACACACTTTGATTTATTTACTTAAATTTTTCTTCCACCGAAAGTCTAACTGCTTTAAAAAAACAAAACAAAGTAAAATACAATTGGTGTGGCAGTAATATGACTTTTTGAGATTATGGAACATAAATAAAACTAATGCAATGCAATACAGCATGATTGAATTTATTTATGGACCTGGTAACTACTTCTCTTCTGCTTTCTTGATTAAAACAGTCACTTAATAGAATTACAATGCAAAGATTCTTCCAGTCTAAGAATCTTTACTCATAAGTAAGACCCTCTGAGTGTTTTTTTTTTTTTTAAAAACCTCTCAAATGAGCATTAGAACCTTAAACATATACAATCACTTTCCTAGTTATACTGCATAGTATAAGCATATGTCATACTTTGATATTTTTATTATTGTTGGTTTGTTATTTTATTCTTTTTTAAAATATTTGCTGTCAGCCATTTTGGACACCTCCATATGGAGTCAGAAAGCTAGTTAGAAATTTTATTCTAAATAAGTATAAACAAGTATACTAACAGGATAAAGTCAGGCTCTGACATCACCTAGCATGGCTTCTTGTGTATCATTTCTCTGCCAAAGTCCATCCTTTTTTATATACACGGTGCCTCCTGTTATGCATATTTTATTTGTTTGATTATTTCTACCCCACCTTTTGATCCAGAAGTGTTCCCCAAAATAGCTTAAGTAAAATAATTAAATAGAATTTAATTAAAGCTCTCATTTCCTCTTGCACACTGCATTGATATGGGGCAGCCATTTCCCTCAAACCCCAAATTCTCATTGGCTGCTCCTATCCTCCCCCTTCCCCTCTGCTAAGGACAAGAAATGGGGAGGCCAATTGTTGGGTATTTCTCACTCTTTCTCCACACCTAGATGCTAAAGGACAGTGGTTGGATGGTCATTAATCTCAGCATATAGAGATAAGCATGTGCAAACAGGTTAAACAGAGTTATTGGTATGCTATTGTTTTTTCAGAGTTCTCTGAGTAAAGGATCCAAAAATAATCACACCATGAAAAAGCAGCAGCAAGACTGCTTTTAATCAACAGTGAAGACATGCTACCAAAGAGAACTCCTTTTCACTCTTTTGCTCATAGCAAAGTGCACCATGCATACAAAAACAAAACAACCAAAAACCAGACTTTGGCTAAGGGAGCACTGTCCAAAATGGTTACACACCAAACATACAGCTAAACATACACATTTTAAGCTGGAATCATTTAGACCTGAAAGAGCTTAAGTTTGGCTAGATTTTATACAATCCCCCCCCCCTTTTTACTTGGTTGCACTGTAAACATGCACAAGTTAGACGGTTTGTGAGCCCACAAACACTTAAAGAAGTAGTGACGCAGCTTAGCACATCTACATCAATGTCTGCAGCTTCCCATCTTTAAAGCTTCTATGCGCCTTGACTGTTAAATCCACTCACTGTTGTAGCCACTGCATCTGCTAGTCTCTGGCGACGCCGTGCGGTACTGAACTGGCTTTTCAGTGCTGTCCCTTCCTGACAGTGAACGGGAAAAGAACAGGGAAGCAGAAAGAAGGGGAAAAGGATGATGGGAACTCAGGAAAGACAGTCAGAGAAAAAGAGGAGGACGTTCTTCTAACTGTTTTACTTCTACCAAGGGCCAATCTGCAGTGCAACTGAGGAAAAGGGAGTCACCAAGTTGTTCCGCTATGTGTACCTCATCCCCAGTTAGCCCCATGATAAGCTGCACAGAGTAGGTTTCTAACTCAGTTCATCACAGACTGACTGACAATTAGAGGACACGGTGAAGCCACTGAACAAACCGTTGCAGCACCACTTACCCAGCTGCTATAATGTGACAACTCTTCTTTTGCAAACAGGTGGAAAGTAATTGGTCCTAATAGTAAGAAGCAGAAAACCTTTTGGCATCAAATAGTGTGGTCTAAATCCAGCACAAAAGCGATGCTCACTTAAGGCCACTGCAATCACTTTGTGTTGAATTTAGGGCCTACGCTTTTCTTATTCACACACGTGCAAGATACATTAAGAATAATTGGCTATTAAAAAGTTACTGGTAGCATTTGATAGTTGTGAACTACAACTGCATGTCCATAATGTATGCATGTTATTTGGCATGTAAATAAAAAAACAAACCAGGAGGCTATGGGATGAAAAGACGACAAAAATCCAAAATTTGGATACGGTTCAATTACACTACACAATGTAGCGGAAATCACCCAGAATGCTGTTCTCTCAGAATGCAGGTCTACTAGACGTTGTAAGCTAACTAAAGGTGTTTGGCAACTAAGTATTTCTCTGCATAAAACTTTATGCCACCTGAGACTGCAATCTGTTCTGGATTTCATGCTACAAGTTTCACCCAGACCAGCTATTCAACATTCTTTTACTTCTGCGTTGCTGTTTTTTTGTTTTTTGAATGATCAACCTATTCATTCATTCCAACATATTCTGCATTATTCCTAAAACAATGTCAAGGATGGCAGACAAGCACTTATTTAAATCACTGTCTGCAGGCTGTAGTTTCCAAAAGAAGTAAGTGATTTATAACACTCCTTCAATATGCCATTAAAAAATCCAAGTGGCACTAGAGTAAGCAGTTTCGCAAGGGTACAACCAACTTTTTTAAAAAAAACAACATTTTGAGTGGTTTTCTTGAAGGCAACTACACAACTATATATATCCACGGGCAACTGAAGATGGGGGACAAAGTATGTACCACAACTCCCACCTCTGCTGGCAAGCTCTGAAAACCTTCCCTTTTTCAGGCTTGCTCAGGGCTTTGTATGAGATATTCTTTTCTCAGTCCTGGAGGAGGGAGCAAATCTTAGGCATGCAAAAACCTCCTGATCCTCCTAGCTTTACTTTGTCAGTTAAATTAACTGAAGTGAATTAAAGTGAATTAACTGAAACTAAAGTGAATTAACTGAACTGAATTAAAAGAAGTGAACAGACAGGAGTTCTGGGATATCCTAGGTACAGGTAAAGCTGATAATGTACAGGATCAGGTAGTCCTTTTTATCCAAGAACAGGGCAGGAAGAAGAGGTAAGAGCATGGAAGAGCCACAGACTCATTCACTCTCTCCTGGGTTCAGAAGTTCAGTTTAACTAGGCTCTCAATTATAACCAGGAGCTTCTCTTTCGATTCTTGTGAGCCATACATGGGAAACAGAACACCAGATGTAACAGAGAGCAATATGTTCACAGGCTGAATATACCAATATGATTTTGTTTTCACGTGGCTTTCCAAGGCCTTTGCTGCCCTCCCTCTCTTTAAGGCTAAACAGGCCTTTAAAATAATTTCATTCAACATGAAAACAAGCATTAGCACGTCAGAATGGTCCCGTGAAGCTATTAACATAGGACTTGGAGCAGAGATAAGGAAATTTAAATTTGACTGCAAGCTTTTCTGACCAATCTGCACTTCCTTCAAATTATCAGTGTTCCTTCTTTAAGAGAGAGAGAGAGAGAGAGAGAGAGAGAGAATATTTTAAAACTCTAGCAGCATGTGAATCTCACAAGGATCTATTAAGAACTAATGAAAACTACAAATTCTCTTTTAAAAAAAATGGCACTAAATTATAGATAAACATACCAAGAGTTGCAAACTTTACAACATGGAAAATGCAGTTTTAAAATGTTGCAGCCCCTCTTCTTCTTATAACCTCTTGTGTTCTTTTCTGGTTGCATTGGAAAGCAATGAACCTGACTACTGACTGCCTGTGCAAAACTTTGCGTCATAACTTCTAAAGCAATCCAAGAGTTTGAGGGTCATTTGCACACACCTCTGGATTAAAGCCTCTATGTGAGAAAATTATTTGAAAAGGAAGGATGGTCAGAAGGCAGACTGACCAGCTTCTGGGGCTTTAGACCTGAGGTGGGGATTTCGTTGGGAGGATGGAAACTGTAGTCCGGTAACATATGGAGGGCGGCAGGTTCCCCACCGTTGCTTTAGAATTTCTGAGACTTTGGAACATTCTCTGGAAATTTCCTCTCAATGAGTCACTCTTTCATTACAGCTCAGAGAAAAAGGGGTGGGGAGGAAGAGAGGGAGAGAGAGAGCGAGAGAGCGAGAGAGCGAGAGAAAGAAACTGGCTGACTTTTAAAAGAATAAAGTCTGCTAAAACTGAACCCTTGATTCAGCAAACATGGACCCTCCACTGCAAAAAAGGGGAAAAAACCGAAAGTTTGTTGCACAAAACACTCTGCATCTAGTTAGCACTTCAGACAACAGACGTTACTACCAGTGACACAAAAAATGTAAAGCACAGAAACAAGCACAAATTGTTTGAGGGTGCTACATTACCTACAAAAAGCTTGATTTGCCAAGTGTACCCTTTTGTTAAATCACTGGTTTCTCCTTCCAGAAAATATTTCAAGAAAAACTTTCAAGAATGAAAAGGCCAGTGCTTCAACAATTCAGAGAAGCGTCTTTTATCTAAAACTCTGGTGAAAATTGAAAACATGAACGCAGTACCTGGAGCTGTATTTTAGCATCTTTGCTGACGCTTTTTGTTCTCCATCTTCTTGTGACACGCTTGTCCTTCTTATCTACACAATTAGCCTACGTCATGAAATAGTTAAAAGCAACAAAGCACTGTGTTAAAAGCACATACAACCAACCGACAGAGACAATACTGGAAAAGTTAGTAACAAGAATCTTGGTGTTAGTTTTCAGCAAATAAAAATATGGTAAGAATGCTAACTCTGGCTCTCCATAAAAAGCAAGCAATGTGTTATTTTAAAACAAATTTAAAAGCAAACTAACTTTGGGATACAATTCTAAAGTCATTTACTTTAGACTTTTCTGCCTAAATTCAGTGAAAGTATCCTTGCTTCCATATGACACTCAGTAATACGAAACAAAAACAAACTGAATATTAAATTACTGGAACAAAGGTTATGAAAAATTGTATTGGTTGCTGTATTTACAATCCTCACAGAACTGGATTATAGCAACAAGTTATTCTGCCCATGCTTCGATATTTCATAATTGACTAGAGAGTTTCTAAATTTTGCAGGCTGACAGTTGGTTTCCTCTAGGAACCAGGTTTTCTATAACAAAACACATCATCATTTTTTAAAAATTTGGAATTCAAAACTTGCTTACCTGCATATCCGTGAAATTTGGAGCTGACTGAGTCCTCTGAAGTATTTCTAAGTTTTGAAGAATTTTACTGAGTTCCACAAGGTTTGACTGGCAGTGCGTAAGGTCTGACACAAATTATATTCAAAAAAAGTACGTTAGTTACCTTGGTCAAGATTTTATTTTTTCTATGGTATCTCATAACTTAAATAGGATAAGAGGATAAGATTATCAGTATAGTAGCACAAACACACAGACTGTTGTGTGTGTGTATATATATGCATATGTATATGTGTGTGATAATATATATATATATATATATATATATATATATATATATATGTGTGTGTGTGTGTATGTATATATATATATATATATATATATATATGTGTGTGTGTGTGTGTGTGTACATATATATATATATATATATATATATATGAAGACAGGAGTGCCTGGCGTGCTCTGGTCCATGGGGTCACGAAGAGTCAGACACGACTAAACGACTAAACACACACACACACACACACACATATATATATGCATGCTACGCTTTCTATAGGCATAAAAAGTTATGCCCTAAATGAGGGACTCAACATACAATTCCTGTACTCTTTTAATCTTCTTAATCCAGGAACAGCCAACACGGTGCTCTCCAGATAATGAACTATAAATCCCATCTGAGCAACCCTTAATTTCATAGGGTATACTCTGAATAAAAGTTACTTGAATACAACCCAACATGCTGGTTGTAAATAATTAGGCAAAAGAAAGCTAAAAGCACATTCCTCGCCAATTCCTTTTAATTCTTGCGCTGGATTTTCATTAGGCTAGGCAATTCCCCCCCCCCCCAATCTTGATTAGTTGTTTTATAAAGATCAGCAGTTCAATACACTGCCGTAATGGCCAGCAAGTAGCCATACCTCTGCCATGACTCATCTTCATCAGATAAAAAGCACTCAGAATATTGGTTGGCTAAATCACCATTTTCTGTTAACTGTCAACTTATTGAGTATTGTCAGGGGGATGGGAATATGTGTTATCGTCCCTGAAGATGCTGTGACATCTTGGTTGGTGGAATCCAGTCTCAGATCAGCTTAGCCAAGGGAACATGTCCTGAGAAATGGGCTCAAGAAGTTGGCTGTCCATTATCTATTCTAGACCAAACTTTGGGTCCCCAGCTGTTGTTGGACTACAACTCCCATCAGCCCCAAGCCCAGGTCTTGTTACCTAGGAATGATGGCAGCTGTGGTCCAACAACAGTTGGGAACCCAAGTTTGAGAAACACTGGCTAGAACAAGCATCCCCAAACTTGGCCCTCCAGCTGTTTTGGGACTACAATCCCCATTGTGCTGGTCCTGGGGGGAAGGTTACCGTTGGCGTGGTCAAAGTCCGGTCCTGGGTCACGAGTCTGGAAACAGTTCACAAAGAGCGAGGCGGGGTCCGAAGCAGGAAGCCGGGCGGGGACGGGAACTCTGGAAGGACAGGTCTGGGTCCGGGCAGAAGCAGGTATTCAACGACGTTGCTCCCGCAACCTGGGACCGGGCTGACTGGCCTTTATCTTCTCTGAGGCCAGGGGCGGTCCCGGCCCCCAGGAGACCCGCCTCTCCTGGCCTTAAGGCGAGCACTCCTCCTGGGAGAAACCAGTTCCCTCCGCCTCTCTGCCCTGAGCCTCTGCAGCTCAGGAGAGGCTGGAGGGTTACTGGACCCAGGGGGAGACTCACCTTCCCCTGACAGGGCTGGGAGAGGCGCACCTGTAGGCACTGTGTCCTCAATCACCTCCGGAGCCAGAGTGGAATCAGCTGGTGCCTGCTCCTGAGGATCTGGCATAGGTGCAGGCGCTTCAGATCCAAGGCCCTGCCCCAGCTCAGCCGGCCCTGAAGCCGGGGACTCCTGTGCAGACTGGGGTTCCTCCGGTTCAGCCTCTGAATCGGATTCCCAGGCCATCACACCCATCATCCCTGACCACTGGTCCTGTTAGCTAGGGATGATGGGAGTTGTAGTCCCAAAACAGATGGAGGGCCAAGTTTGGGGGTCCCTGGGCTAGACCATTCACAGCATGCCATAAAAACTACAGATATAACATTAAAAACTAATCAGGAACCCTCATTTGTTTTTTTTAAAAAATAGCTCCCAGATACGTTGACACAAACTAGACAGATTTTAAAAAAGGCTAGTGCCAAACAACATTAACCTCCATTTTTAACCTGAAAGCCACCATAGGCAGGATTCATTGTGACCAGAAGTATCAACAGATTGCCCTGAGATGGCACCCCTTATTATTATTTTTTATTGTATTGGTTATTAAATTCATATGCTGCCTTTCATCCGAAAAACACAGAGTGGTTTACAACATAAAAACACAAAATACATATTAGCAAAAAACAGTAAATCCACCCAATGATTGCATATAGGGAAATATGAATACTACATGAATACTACATATTTAAAGCCCTAAATGGCCTCAGTCCTATATACCTAAAGGAGCATTTCCACCCCCATCATCCAGCCCGGACACTGAGGTCCAGCACCAAGGGCTTTCTGGTGGTTCCCTCACTATGAGAAGTGAGGTTACAGGGAACCAGGCAGAGGGCCTTCTCGGTAGTGGCGCCTGCCCTGTGGAATGCCCTCCCAGCAGATGTCAGGGCAATAAACAACTATTTTACTTTTAAAAGACAACTGAAGGCGGCCCTAAAAGGGAAGTTTTTAATGTCTGATGCTGTATTGTTTTTAATATTCAGTGGAAGCCATCCAGAGTGGCTGGGGAAACCCAGCCAGATGGGCGGGGTATAAATATTTATTTATTTATTTAATTATTATTATTATTATTATTATTATTATTATTACACATGGGAACTATCTATTAGCCAGAAGCCGAGTACCTATAAATGGAAGGAAAGAAGCTTGACCAGAGACTGACCTTCCGCACACCTGTCCATCTCCTCGGAGTCTTGCAACCAAGCAACTACTTTACTTTGGCCAGTGGTACATGTTGCGGGGAGGCTGTTGCTACAGGTAATGGATGGCTGCCATGGGAAATTATTCTGTGCGACCTAAAAAAAAAACCCCAAAATTCGAAAATTTTATTACTGAATACTGGGAGAAAAATGGCCTGTGCTAAAATCAAACCATCAGACAAGAAACAAATGATATCCTGTTTGAAAGGAGGCAAGTATGAATTCAGCACCTTGAAAATTGATGGTGGTCTTGGTTTTTCTGCCTGTTTTAACAATTGTAATGCACTGTGCTGGATGCTACATTGTTTTTAAATGTATTTTTATTGTGTCCTTTATTTCTTATAATGTATTTTATTGTAATACAATTTGCATTCCATAGAATTAAAACTGCGATACAATAAAATACAATGAACAGAACGAAATAAGCAATAAAAATACAATTAAAAATGATGGTGTATATCAAATGTGGACATGCCGCAAACCACCTGACCCAAGCTTGTGGTCCACTGGCGGACCACAGTTTGGGAGCCCCTTCTCTAGCCCAAATAAAACATCAATAACAAGCAGTTCAGCAAAAGTGGTAAAATCAGGGAGTTATTCAGCTTCCTCTTCTCTTCACTTCACTAGTGCTATCAATAATGGCACACATTTCCTGACGGAGGACAACGGTTAGAAAATGTGGTGGATTATTAAACAAGTATCTTCTGATTAGGGACGTTTTATACCTTGGCCTCCAGGGCGGCAACATTAGCAGCTGGTGAAGATTCAGTAGTTGACGCTGAAGGGAATATGTGGAATCCGGCATCTCGTGGTGATCGTACAATCTCGTTCTGACGGTATAACCTGTGGTGGCGCAGCCTCGATACCCAGGCATCAAACGAGTCCTGGGATTTTACCTAGTGAGAACGGGGAGCTCAGTAATAGTATCTGACTGTTTCAAATTGAGAAGAAAACTAAAGGGAAACATTCCTTACTTTCAAATGGTAAATATGCTCTTCAGTGTCAAGGTCTATCCTGCGAGCTTTCTTTTTAATCGACATAACTGATAAGCCAACATCTATGCTTCCGTGAACCTTTCCTTTCTGAGTCTGAAAAATAAAAATGAAGAGAAAACATTGCCAATGAGCTGGGAAAAATAAGGTCATTTCTTTATTTAAGTATTTATATACTACTAAATCATAACATATATATATCCAAGTGGCTTACAACGTTAAAAAAGATAAAAACCAAACAATAAAATTTATGGTGCCCAATTGAAATATGTTGTTTACTTGGTCAGAAACATCAGAAAATATTATTAGATGGGGAGAAAACGAAAGTATCATTTTTCTTGAAAGGGAACCATGAAGATAGGAATGCATTGCCCTTTGATTTCCTAATAAACACTTTCTCCATGACTAATTCTAAAAAAGGCTGCATTTCATACGCTACATTAACATATATTAGAATCTCTGCTTGCTATAGACGATATGCTAAAAGCTGCAGAAAATAAAAGAAAATTAAAAGATATAACTAAACAGTCCTTCACCAAACAAAACATTCTTCTCTTCTCCCTTCTTTCTACATCATCATCAAAAGAAATATTAATTATAATATTGGATTTTTATAATGTTACTTTTAAAAAAAATGCTCTAGTATTACTTACATCAATTGGCGACTTTGAATATTTCAACATTCCGTTATCCAGGACAAAAAAGCGCTACAGAAAAAAACAAAACAATTTGTAAGAGGTCAAATAAAATCTGGCATATGTAAAATAATATATCTAATGAAGACAAATGTCTGTTCCTCGTGGTTACCAAATAATGAGCACACAGCAGAAACCATGCTGACAAGACATCTTGCTTCCATTCCGTAGCCTGGATATGAGGATCCTCTTTGCCACTAAACTTTGTATGCCTTACAGCAGGGTTGAGGAACCTGGGGCCCAGGAGTTGAACACAGGACTCTGTGCCTTTATATCTGGCTCTCAGGACTGTTCCCAGCCTACATGTCATCTCCTCCACAGCCCTGCTCTACTCTCAACTCAAGTGCTTCTGTCTTGCTGGAATGCGTCCTTGAAATATGCTCTATCCACACCTCTGACTCCATCCACCACTGGCAAGTTGCCCTGTGAAGTTGCTCATGAAGAAATGCAGCTCTTGGGCTGAAGAAGGCAGACCACACATGTCTCACAAGCACGGAGAGCAGGCAACCCACGGCCAACTGCCATGCCCCATCTAGAACACTGGCCTTGAAGTCCAAACTATAATGGAGATGACCTAACGGCAAGCAAAAGACCTGCATACAGCATCCACTGTTACCTTCCCTCCTCTCTCTCTCTCTTTAAAGCCACTATGAGAGATTGTAATTAGGAGCAGTGGACTCAAACAAGAGAGAGTTTGTGTATGCTTAACCTTGTGCTCTCTGATTGTTCTCCTCAAAATTTCCCCTTACCCAGTTGCTTTCCCCCTGCATAAAACAGCGGGGCACGATTTGAATGAAACAATAGCGAGAGTGGAAAGGGTCAAGCATATCCTCTTATTTTTCCTCTCCTCACCACAGACTCCTGAGGCTGTAAAAAACAGTGTTGGAAGAATGTCGCATTGAATGTCTAGTTTGGTCCTTAGGCCATCCATTGAATTCATCAAGGGATTACCATTTCCCAGTTTTCTGGAGTTAGGTATCCTGACTAAACAACGCACATATGAGAAATGGCAGATAAACTCTTAATAGCTTCCTAGCAATACCAGCAGGTGTCTCAGTTACGAGAACTGCAACTGCGTAACAACAACAACACTAAAGCCAATGTAGCTAATAAGATAAATATGCAAATACCATCCTTTAGTGTGAGAACAGGGATTGGCTGATTCTGGAGCATATCAATTTGCCACATATGATAATGACCCTTTGCTTTTTAATCTATAGTAATGGTCATCTAAGATGATTATGGATGCCTTACCTTGTGCCAACCTTTCAAAGGCCATTTCCTCTTCTTCAGCATGAACCCTTCATGTTTGTCTGGCTTCTGGACATTGGTCTGCCCAATTTTGAGGCCTTCTATAATTTCCCAGCTGTCTGGCTCCTGAAGGAAGAAGAATGGGGGGGAAACACCAAAAAATTCTGTGAGTTGAGTTCAATATTATCTGAAACACTTGCACTGTGTTGGATGAGCGGCAGATATTGGGGTCTCAAATTTCATTGTGTGGTGCCAAAATCCAGTGCCCTGTTGGTATATTGCCAAAACAAACTTCAAACAAGTCTTTAAACAGGGCCTTGAAGCACATCCTTGAGGCACGCCTAAAACATCAACTTAGCAACAAGAATTCTCCCCAGCAACAGATGTCTGGAGAGATGCAGTTGAGTGTGAGGCAGTCAAGGGTTGGTCATTGAGGCGGCCAGAATATATGGAAGTCTGTGAAGCTGTCTTTCTGGCCCGATAGCTGAAGGGAGCAGAGATCTGTATATAGTTCTTATTTTATATGTATACCAGTAGCGTTGTGCAACTTCTAATGCAGATAATAAAGACTTTAGAGAAGAACTGCATGGGTGAGGATTTTATTCCTGTCACAGGAATTCACCAAGAGAGGGCTGGACTGCTGCTGCTGTGAAGACGAGGGAAGACTTTCTGAGTAAATCTGCTGAGACCCCAAGAGTTGGCGTTCACACACTAACATGCCCCCCACTCCATTCTAAATCTTAGTTGCAGCACCCCCAAGGCTGTGAGCCAAGTGTGACCATATCGGTCACATTCTCCTAAATCCACCTCTGGTACGAGCCATATCTTCAAACCATTAAGGCTGCAAGCCAATGTTCATTTCTATAAAAATAAGTCCCACTGAACTCAGTGAGACTTGACTTCTGAGGCCAGATACCCAGCACTGTGTCAAGACCCATCAGCCATGTTATTCTCTCCAACTCTGCAAAGGGAACTCTTTCAAATAAGAGTGTATGGATCAGATGGAGACAGAGCAGACTGGATGACTCAACTTTGGTGTCGTTTCATAAACTGTTCTGGTGTCATGCTGTTTTATAAATTACATGCCCTTTCTAGAAGCTCACAAGAAGGGAGAACAAGGGGTTAGTGTTGAAAGAACTTCTCTGAATGTGCCTGTAAAGTCACTAGGCTGTTCTCAAAAGGCTTCACTGACAAAATTAGTCCCAAGATGCACTCTTTTCTCACGAGAACCAAAGGGTAAAAGCTTGGTTTTCTTCTTTAAAAAGAACATCATAATCTAATCTGCTAAAAAGCAGCTCTTTCATGAGGTTTGTTGGTCACATTCACACCATTCATTTAAAGCACATTTATAACACTTTAACAGTCATTACTCTCCCCCACCAACCCTGGAAACTGCAGTTTACCCCACAGAGAGAGAGAGCGCTATAATTCCCAGCACCCTTAACAAACTACAGTTCCCAGGATTCTGTGAAGGAGGCCATGTGCTTTAAATGTATGGTAGGGAAGCACACAGAAACTGCTGCCAAAAGTTTGTGGCTGAGCAGCAGTTACACAGGTTATTACTGCAAGCACTGGAACTATCTTGTGGTCTTCAGATGAAGGGTGATATACAAATTTCATAAATGAATATAAACTCATTGTGGAGGTATCCTCAACCTTCTCAGATGCAGGACCCACTTTTAACCCAAACATGCATTGGGGGACCCATTTCTTAATCGATTACCACATATTTGCATGGTGGTAGTGCTCCTGTTGCGACCCACCTTGAATCAGGTTCCAACCCACTAGTGGGATGCAAACCATGAGTTCTGAAGACCAGAGAGCCAGTCCATGGGAATAGTGTTGTTTGGTGTTTTGGCGACAGCCATATCATAACATAGGTACTGTTCCTAAACTATCCTTCATTCTTTCAATTGTTACATATGACAAACCTTTTATTGTTACATACTTCAAAATAAAATCAAGGATTAAAAAATTGAAAGTGATCGATGAAGCAATCAAGAATTGATTAAAAGCTAACAATCTTCCATCTGTATATGTGATCAGTATTTACAAAATTACAATGATTAGTTATATAAACAAACTAAACTGAACCAAGCCAATGTACTGAAAAAGTTTTGCACACCAAATTCTAGTGCAGACACCGCGAACTTAACTTACTTTAGATACAGCTACTGGTTCATTTTCTAGCAACTGTTTGCCAAGTACCGGATCTGTGCTTCCAGAAGAAAAATTCCGCTCTAATACATGGCCACTCTAAAGCAAAAAGAAGAGGAGTCAATTCTAAGCCACAGAAGGTATATTTTCTGCATACAAACCAGAGACCAAAGGTTGGCATAGTTTATAGAAGAACACCCCATTCCTTGAAACAACTTACCAAATTTTCTTCCACTGACCCTTATAATTCAGAAATTTCTACGCTTCTGTATGTTACACTTTAATACCACCTTACGTGCAAATGAATGTCAGCAGTACCACATGTGTCTTGCTCTAAGATTAGCAATTTTTATCTATCTTTGGATAGGAGGGTGAGGTAGGAATTCGCTCAAACAAATTTTTAAAACCCAGAAATGTCATAGAGAGTTGAGTTTAGCTGCACTGTTTCATCTACTGCCTTTACATTCCGCTGCCCTTTCTTCTAGGGAAGAATTGGGAGCTTATCTCCCATCCTGCATGAGATGGCACAGGGCTGGAGATAAGCCACTCTTCCTCATTTGGGGAAGCAGGGTTAATAAGCAGACATCTCTCATCCTCCTTCTGACCAAGGAGATGGGAGCGAAACGTCCTTTGCTGCCACCCAGCTTCCTGTTTCATTGTGGTTGCCCAATCCGCAACTGTCTTGCGGCTAGTCAAGCAAGTACATTTGAAACAGTCGCAACGAAGAGGCATGTATTCTGTCGAAGAGGCATGTATTCTGTCGCTAATCTCTCCCCCCCACCCCCAGTTTCTGTAAGAGGAAATTACGTTCAGCAAATAATATCAGACTTAAAATTACAAGAAAGGAGAATTTCCTGCCTTGTAATTTGCAAACAGAAGGGGAAATATAGGAGGGGAAAGTACATAACAAAGCCAACTGTTAAATTAACAGAAAAGCTGCATCTTGCAGGGTTCCTTAGCGTGGAAAATGTATTTTGAATTTATTGTCTTGGAGCAGACTTATGCACACGCATGCACGCACTCAGTAGTTTGGTCCTACAATAAAGTTAACTCTGGGATCATCAGCAAGTCACCCGTTGGCATTAAGGCACATCTGCCCAGGCCTCCTGCCCTCCCAATGATTTATTTATCCCTGTTCCCCATTGGGGCTGCGAATTCCACCCTCATTAAACAGATAAAACCCCAGATGAATGTAGCTGGTGGGGGGGGGAGTCATGGGCAAGGTGAATTTGCAAGGGGAAATCTGTAGACAAGTCAAGCGCTGCTCTTTCTTTTTGCAGCTCTCCGAAGAGTCTCCTCATCCCCCATTTGTTAGCAAACACGTGGATGTGGTCATGTGTTGCCAACATAGGGAGGAATTCCATGCGGCAGTCTTCTGAGCATTCCATCAGTGCAAGAATTATTTCACCATCCCCTTCCCTGCCCCACAACCAGCGTGCAATTCTCCCAACCCCTCTCAGAGCCAATTTTGGGGGCACAAGGGGTGCACATGAGCTTCCACTGCCAGGACTCATTAGTTGAGCCCCCGCCATTACATCTAGTTCTGCTCTAATAGTAGGTGTAAACAGACTTTCCTATGTAAAGAAGCACACCTGGCATTCACCTTATTCACCAAATCCCTGGCATATTTCCCTTTTCTTAAGCAGCAGCAGAAAGCAGAAGATTACAGAGTCCGCAGGGGATTTTTATTGATGTTACATAGAAAGCTTTTGTACATTGACCTCCAAGCGTTGCTGTCGCGATGAAGAAATTATAGTGAGATGGCATCTTAAATGCGAATAATTTAGCATTCTTTCACTTACCTGCCTGCTGTCCCGCTGGGAGGATGAAGAAGAAGAGGCACTTTTATGAGATGGTGTAGAGGTTTTGTGAGCAGGAGATATACCTTTCTCCTCTGAACTCATTGCTGCAGCTAGATATTGGTGATCTCCTTTGACAATTAAGACCACATCAATCTCCTTTCAGTCTTCCATACAGGGAGGGAGCCAAAATATTTTCAGCATTTTTTCTATTTCACAGAGTGTCCATTACACACAAGGGTAAGAAGAATTCAAAAGGCATCCAAGCCAGACCTTTAACAAGAAGAAAAAGAAGATGAAGAGATTGTATATGCTTACAATTAAATATTTCTTTATCATATATATAGAGAGAGAGAGATAGGTAAAGGACCCCTGGACGGTTAAGTCCAGTCAAGGCCACAATGAGGTGCGGCACTCATCTCGCTTTCAAGCCGAGGGAGCCAGCGTTTGCCCAGAGACAGCTTTCTGGGTCATGTGGCCAGCATGACTAAACTGCTTCTGGCGCAACAGAACACCATGACGTAAACCAGAGCTCACGGAAATGCCGTTTACCTTCCCACTGCAGTGGTACCTATTTATATAATTGAACTGCTGTGCTTTCAGACTGCTAGGTTGGCAGGAACTGAGACAGAGCAGCAGAGCTCACCCTGTTGCGGGGATTCGAACCGCCAACCTTCCAATTGGCAAGCCCAAGATATACTAGGATTCCTAGCTAAATTCAAATATAACATAAAGTGGGCAGAATCCCGCCCCCGCCCCCAGCAGGATTTTGTTTTGTTTTCATTTACTGAGCGATACACACACACACACACACACACACCTCAGCAAATGAAAACAACAAAAAAATACTGCCCACTTTATGTTATATTGGAATTTACCTAGGAATCTCTTAGGTCATATCTACCAAACTACTAAAAAACACTAAAACCCAGTAAAACGTGAAGCAAATGTTTTATATGAAAAATAAATATGCAAAGCCACTGAGAAATATCAGAAGCTTGCTGGATTGTTTTTTTCCACGAGGTGCCAATAAAATATTTTCTAAAGGAGAAGCTTTGGTGAAAGCAAATGCAATTCTATGGCAGAGGCAATTTCCGTTCTGCTCTGCAAGATTTCCAGCTAGTACTTTCACGAGTGGCAGAACACAATTCCTCATTACACGGTATCAGTTCTCTCTTGCCTGGTTTCTCAAGTGCAAATTTACTGTGCAGCAGAAATGGTTCACAATCAGCTTTCCCTACCCATTACGCAAACCGCCACAGCTTTGTTTAGAAATATACGCAGACATATAGCAAACATTATTTAAATAACATGTAGGAAGCCCAATATGTATAGTAACCATAGCATCTTCATCTTTTCCACATACAAATGCCACGGATGTGGTTGTTACTATCCAATGTGGCCATCTGCCTTACATTTATAACGCACTTTGGAACTTACATTGGGGGGGGGGGGCTATGTTTCGTCCTGGAATAAGAAAGTATGGTCATTTCTGTGGCAATTTACAAAAGGAGGTTAGTCCTAAACACTCTGGCTTTGATCCCAAGATGACACGAAGGGAACGAGACAGGGCCTTCTTGGTGGTGGCACCCGCTCTGTGGAATGCCCTCCCTTCGGATGTCAAGGAAATAAACAACTAAATGACTTTTAGAAGACATCTGAAGGCAGCCCTGTTTAGGGAAGTTTTTCATGTTTGATCTTTTATTGTGTTTTTAATATCCTGTTGGAAGCCGCCTAGAGTGGCTGGGGTGGGGTATAAGTAATAAATTCTTCTTCTATTTTTACTTCTACTTCTTCTTCCTCACTATTGAAAAGGTAGGTAAGCCACTTTTTCTCCCTGACTCAACTCTTTAAGTAGCAGCCACTGGTGTGCCAAACACCAGAAGAAAAAGGAAAGGAAAGAAGTACTGCGAGTCATTCTCAACCCACATTCCCCCAACGCTGGAGGAGCTGTCACACTTGACTGGAGCTGTCACACTATCAAATAAATCTTATGGATTTTAATCAAATCGGCATTGTAGTGCAAATTAACACTTAAGAGGAAAAAGCCCATAATTTGCTGAAGAGTAGGGGGGGAAAGAAGAAGATACCAGCATGTGGAATCAAACAGTTCATTTCTTTATTGAAGGAATACGGTATACATGAATCTGCTAAGAACTACAGTGGTACCTCTGGTTATGAACTTAATTAGTTCCGGAGGTCCATTCTTAAGCTGAAACCGTTCTTATCCTGAGGCGCGCTTTCACTAATGGGGCCTCCCGCTGCGCGTGTGCCTTTGGCGCACAATTTCCGTTCACACCCTGGGGCAAAGTTCGCAACCAGGAGCAGCTACTTCCAGGAGCAGTTAGTAGAGTTCATAACCCAAAGCGTTCGTAACCAGAAGCATTCGTAACCAGAGGTACCACTGTAGTGGCAGTCGGACACGACTAAACAACAACAATGAGATGCTTAGGGAAACTAGCATGGATAGCCCAACAGACAATCAGAGTTGGCTGAAAAATAAATCTCTCCAGATCCCCCCAAACCAGCAACCTTGTTCCTCAGCTCCAAAAGTAGTGGGTTGTGTTGTTGTTTTTCAGGGGCAGGTGTATGTCCAAAAACAACTCCCAAAGGAGGGCAAATTCTCAGAACTCCTGGGTGTAGCTAGCCATTAATGACAAGATGGCTGAGACCCTCTCCTTTCCTCTCTCTTAAAAATAAAAGAAAGTTTCGCCACTTCTTCAAGTGGCAGCTAGGCTGCCCTCATCAGCTTAAGAGACATTTCCTTTTAATTTGGTGCAGAATGTTCTAAAGGAATTATGGTACATCATGAGATGAGGCTCTTAATCCCAGGGTTGTGGGTTCAAACGCCACATTGGGCAGAAAATACCTGCATTGCAGGGGGTTGGACTAGATGACCCTTGTGGTCCCTTCCAAGTCTACAATTCTAGGATTCCATGAAACAGAGTGTTGTTTTCCATGATCCAAGCAAACACCCTATCGACTGCCAGCTTTACTGTGGTTGCAATGCCCTGCAAGTACATAGGAAAATGCTGCATTGTGTTTACATAAGTCCATAAAAATGTGTGGGATTGTATTCATAATGTATAACTATACCACCTAAGAAACCTGCCACAAAGGTCCTAAACTAGGTTTCTCCAGCTGTTTTTGGAATACAATTAGCATCATCCCTGACCACTGGTCCTGCTAGCTAGGGATGATGGGAGTTGCAGTCAACAACAGCTGGAGACCCAAGTTTGGGAAACCCTGCTCTAAAATAAAACTTGTTATTTCAAGATGCACACACCCTCTTGTTTTAGCACGAATTTAAAAATCAATTACATTATTCAAAATAGCTGTACCTTTAAAGGTTTGGCATATCACAATGAAAGAGTGAAATAATAAATTTATGGTAGTTTACTGAGCTGCACTCAAGAGCTTATTCAAGAGATAGAAAGGAAAGGCTTTCAGGTATTTATGGCGAACAGAGGACATTTAAAAAAACTTGCCAACTAGACCTTGGGCAAATGGAAATCTAATGGGTTTTTGAAACATCTGAGCTCCCTTCAGTTGATTCATGTGGAAAATTTTATATTTATATTTAGCACTGGTCATGTGGATGTGTGTGTAAGATATATATAGCGAGAGAAAGAGATCTGACACTTGGGTCTGTGCCCTGCACTTTTTATAAAGTGTGTCATTGCTAGATCCAAGCAAGGTAATAACCAATTGTTTCACAGAAAAGCAAGAGAAATAGGTTGCTAGGTTTGACTGGTGAACAACACTGTGTGTGGAAATAACTAAAACAAGGCAGCCCGTGCAGTGTGGTGGATAGGGCCACATTCACATCATGAATTAAAAGCACTAAGATAATTCTGAGACCTGTAGTTAGTTAAGGGTTCTGAGAGTTTTTAGGGCACCTCGATTCTCCTCCCAAAGTTACAACCTCCAGAGTTCCCTGTGAAAAATGATTACCGTATTTTTTGCTCTATAAGACTTACTTTTTCCCTCCTAAAAAGTAAGGGGAAATGTTTGTGCGTCTTATGGAGCGAATGCAGGCTGCACAGCTATCCCAGAAGCCAGAACAACAAGAGGGATTGCTGCTTTCACTGCGCAGCGATCCCTCTTGCTGTTCTGGCTTCTGAGATTCAGAATATTTTTTTTCTTGTTTTCCTCCTCCAAAAACTAGGTGCGTCTTGTGGTCTGGTGCGTCTTATAGAGCGAAAAATACGGTAATTGTTAAACCGCTCTGCAGTTCTGTGAGGGGAATAGAAGTCTCCTAACAATTCTCAGCACCCTTAACAAACTACAGTTCCCAGAATTCTTGGGGGTGGGGGTAAGCCATGACTGCTTAAAATGGCATCAGAGCGCTTCAAATGCATGGTGTGAATGTGGCCTGGGTCTAGGAGACCCAACTTCGTATTCCCATTCAGCCATGAAGTTCAATGAGTAATCTTGGGCCAGTCAGGTTCTCTAAGCCTAATCTACCTCACAGGGTTGTTCCGGGGAAAAAATATGGGAGGAACCATATATGCTGCCTTGAGCTCGTTGGAGAAATCCTGGATGTAAATGTAATAATAAAAAGCATACTGTAAATGCAAGTTTGCTAGGTAGAGCAGAGCATGATAGGTAAGGGTTATGATTACTCCCTCGGATATACCTATAGCAATGTGTCTCAAGGTACCGTCTTAGACAGTAAGAGTAGTGGGGAAGATGAGAGGACTAAAGCTGACATTTGGACTAAAGAGTGTGGCAGATTGTGATGTCAAGGTACATTTAACAGACTCAAAGAATGCTTTGGCCACAAGGCACTTGAAAGTAACGTAGTCCAGTCAGCCTGCTATACTGAGGCATAATTGTACACACACACACACACACACACACACACACAAACAGTGCCCCAATTTTTGCCTCATTTTGCGTTCACAGCAGAATTACAAGATGCCAGAAGCCTCATGTAGTTACTCAAACTTTTGATACTACCCTTCATTATCTGCATCCCAGTGTGATTCCCAATGGCATAGCAAACACAGCAAACCGAATACCTCGGTTGCAGCAAAAATAACTAAAACATTACTAAGGCACATCACTATAAGAGACTTTTCAAAAGCCTGGGCAAAAAGAAAGGTTCTTCCTGGTCCCTAAACGACAGCAACGTTGCTATCAAGTGAGACCTTTCAAGGGAACTATCACTGGAGAAGAGAAGCTCTCCTTAGCATCGACAGCATTAGCATCAATATGGGAAAGGCAATATGTAGCATTCATAATGTCCCAGTTTTAATCCCTGGCATTTCAGGTAGAGATGGAGAAGGCTCCCATCCGAAACCTTCAAATCAGAGTAGACATTATTGAGCTCTATGGATGGCTTCACTGCATATAAGGCATGAAAGCAAGTGAGTTTTCTAGGTTTTATTGGAAAATACCCATCCACTATCCAAAAGAGAAAGTATGTTATTCAAGAAGGCAGATGTTTGGACTACAATTCCCATCTGCCCTAACTTCAAGAGGGCACTAGTCTGGCAAAAGCTGAACCAGAACAAATTCTGCATGATTTAAGACATCCACTAGATTCACAGGTACAAAATCATTATGTGCAGATTAAATGGTAACTATTGTTAGCAGTACCCTGGCACCCAAATTACTCAAAATACATGCATTTAGGATGGAGGGTAGCAATGAACCTTATCTATGGTCATATGCTTCCTTTGACAGTAAGCAGCTGTCCAAAGTAAGCGTATAAGACAGGGATGGGGAACCTGTGGTCCTCCATACATTTTTGGATTCCAGCACCCATCAACCCCAGGCAGTATGGTTAACAGCAAGAGGGGATGGGTGTTTTAGTCTAGCACCATTGAGGGCCACAGGTGAGCAGTTATGTGAGCAGTTCCTCATCCCTGGTATAAGGAAACACTGGTAATAGAATCAATAGTCCTGATCCACACTTGGTCATGCTTAGCATAGATCCAATGAAACCAATGAGAAGTAAGCTAGCCATGACTGGTTAAGCATTGGTTTCAATGGGTCTACTTTAAGCACAACTATGTCTGGCTCTAACACAGTATCAACAGCTTGTTCTATCTTCCATTTTATAAAGTTCCTATATTTCTTGACATGGATGCAAACTGGGCCTTCCACACCCAAACCCAACGCTAACCAACGGCTATCACTGGCTCAGGAAAGAAATATGTGTGCTCATGAATTGTATGAACTTTGGGAATATAATTTAAAGCCTAGGAAACGGGCATAATTTATTAAATTGTTAAATTGTACTAATCTTGAAAACACACTATTTTCTTTGCTGCAAGCCAAGACATACAATCAATCAACCAACCACCGTTTCTATAGTATAATGCAGAACTCAGTAATGTGTGTGCTGACCTTTTCTCGAGCAGTAAAATATCAATTTTGTTTTTGTCACGGTCAGAAGCAATTAGGTTGTAAGTTCTGCAAATTCAAAAGTGTGATTAAAAACAATGCAGCTCAAAAATGCAGCAAAACACATGATATTTAATAACATGCATATGGGAAACAAGCAATTTCCATTTACAAAACAACCCCTAATACAAGATCAACCGCCTCAGCATGTAAAACTAGCTTGAGGGGACAATTTCTGGATTATACTCCATTTTCCAACGCAACATGAGAAACTTAAAGACTGCAGCACCTAAAGCAGGGGTAGCCAAGAGGGTGCCTCCAGATGTTGTTAGATTTAATTTAGCATCTTGTTAAATTTACTAGTACTCCATCCAGTCCATTTTAGCTAAAATCAACACACATTTTCCATTACAGTAATAACAACCGTTAGAATCATATATGATCTTCCCATAGGAATCTGGTTGGCTACTCTGAAAACCAGATGCTGGACTAGTTGGGAATTTTGTCTGAACCAGCAGGGTGCATCATGTGTTCTTATTATTGTAAAAGAGATTTAAAACGGCAAATAATAATAAGGAAATGACAGAGGACTTCAGAAGTGGGCAAAGGAAGTAGGTGGTTGAAAGAAGGGGGCAGTGAGCAAGAGGGGGCGCTGTTTAAAAATAATTTAGGGGGCATGTAGATAGGAGAGGCTTTGCGCTACTTACAGAAGAAGTGAGGGAGGCATAGTGTGCAGAACATTCAAGATTTTGATGCCACGGTGCTATTTTCTGCATAACTGCTCACATAAGCTATTTCTATGCCGCAGTCAAGAGAAGTCATAGTCACCTAGTTAACTGTGGAACATATTAGTAAAGAACAGAAATAAAAAATCTCTGCTATTATTTAGATTTAATTAGGCCAGCCTGGCAAAAAAAAAAAGCTTATAAAAGTCAAACACAGTGTGAAATTTCCAGCACCCTATCAAATTCTACTGGGAAAGGGAAGCTATGCAAAGTTGCAAATATCACCGTGGAAGCCGTGTAAAATACCTATTTTTCTTGCAATTTAATGTACTTTTCCAGGTGGCATCAAGAGTTTATCTCGACACTTCGCAGATAAATGGGTCAAATGCTCCTATCTCACACTTGAGGCTGCCTGTATGCACATTCCCTACTTCATAAAATATTGCAGGGTGGGACAGATCGTATAGTCCCTGACGAGAATTAGTGGGGTTTTTTTTTATTATTTTGCTATAGTAGTAAATTGTATTGTACTGAGTCCACTTTGTGTTCGCTTTCCCCAACTATCCATTCCCCATATATTCTGTAAGAATGATTTTTCTTATGCCTGTTTCAAACTACAGGCATAGTATTTTTATTTTTATTTTCTAGAATCCTGCTAGCTTCAAATTTCTAAAGCTTAAGACTGATTTCATCAATGATGACCTCAAAGAGATGGTGGAGGTCAAACAACAGATAATCATATTCTGGTGACAGGAGGTCAACATGACATCTGCCTTCCCTATTTGTCGTTTGCCTACATGATTGAGCACACTTTTCTACCCCTTTAGAAGCTCTGAAGCATTTATGGTAGTAATTAGGAGCGTTCCAGTGCGTTTAAATTGCCGACTTCGATGATCATTTTGAAAGGAGTCTCCACTTCTGTTCCAGTTCTGCATCAGGACCAACTCAAGTAACTGAAGGGGCTTTTCATAATCTTTGTTATGAATCTTGACTCAAGATTGTTGCAGCTACTAATTTTTTTGTCCTGTTTTTGTTTTTTCCCCTGTAATTGCCTGAGCATTGTCATTCAAAGGAACAGCATCACAGCCGTGCAAACAATAAATACATTTGGCAATGTCAGGCTAGGGCAGCTGTGCATGGAAAAGGCATGCATACACTAGTATTCCCCATGCCCCAGAGCATTTTCTACTGAAAAGAAAAGGAAACCCCACACTGCAAACTCTTCTGAAGTGCATCTTGATGCTTCACGTCTGCTGAAGCTGAGAAGCCAGAGTAGCGTTATATAGCAAATCATTCTTATTCAACAAAATAATCGCAATCAGTGATGACATCATCACCTTTACAATAATGAAGAATCCTAATCAACTGGGAACGTATGCCTTGGATGAGCTAAATCATAATTTGCTTTATGGCTTTTCTCATACAGTATTACTCATAAGCCTGCAATTCCTCCTATGGCTGTCATATTGATGGGTGGTGGGTGGGAATCACTCTAAAACCTTCATTTCCCTGGTGACTGTAAATTTCTAATTGCTAGCTTCGAATGGCAATGGTCACATATCCCTGCCCGCACTATTACGCTTTCTTCTTTTTCAGGTTTACCCCAATAATAGCCTTGCAGTCCAAATACATTATGACTCCTCTCAGTGTTCTGTTTAGCCTAGCAGAAATGTCCCTGCAAAGTGTCTCCTTGCACTTGTGCCAGCTTTAAATTTCAGAACAGTGCAGAGCATTCTCAATTACGTCAATCTGTATTCCATACAGAGGCAGTGCCGCCGCCGCCGCCTCCTCCTCTCCCACATTTTCTCTCTGTTGCCTTCTTTTTTTCATCCTCACGAACACTGTATTTTGCTTCTGTGCAGATTCATCACATTTAGCGGTTCAGAAACCACCTCCCGCCTTCTCAAAATCACAAACTTTTACGAATGCCAGAATGAGACCCTGGCATAAAGCAAAGTTCATTAGGGGTATAAATAACCCCAAATGAATGTTACATGCTGGTGCAAACTAAATGTTCTCCCGAAGCATAACCTAGCTGTACAATAGTACGTAAGCAGAGAGGGATTTAATTTACATCATCTTTCATAGAACTGTAGAGTTGGAAGGGACCCTGAGCATCACTTTGACGTCTTTCATGTAAAACAAAATCAAATGTTCAGAAATGGACAGAAGTTGCAAAATCCTTAATTTTTGGAGCAATCTTTCACACACACACAGAGAGAGAGAGAGAGAGAGAGAGAGAAAGAGAGAAAGAAAGAGTATTATACATATAAGCCTGCCAAAATTTGAGAGGCTTGTTCAAGTTATTTCCACCCCAATCAGAACAAGTAGTCACTAATCTCATCTAGAAATGTTTTTGTACTTTGGCTAGGTTTCCTGCTGAATAGCTTATACTGGTGTTCTTCAGCTGTGACCTGTGCAAAACAGATTCTGCTGTGCAAAACCTTATATAATAACTAGCCTTCATGCAGCTTAACTTGCTTTACTGACATAGTGGACAAATGTACAGTGTATACAGTAGCCGCTCTACTGAATGACATATATCTTGCTCAGAGTCAGTATTTTCAAAGGTGCATGTGCAGCAGGATATTTCCAGAAAGGTTTGCTCTCTATTGTTTTTAAAATGTTGGTATTGTCACCTTAGATTAACAGAGAGCCTTTCCCTACAGGTCTCAAAAAAACAACTACAGTGGTGCCCCGCAAGACGAATGCCTCGCAAGACGGAAAAACCGCTAGACGAAAGGGTTTTCCGTTTTGAAGTTGCTTCGCAGGACGAATTCCCCTATGGGCTTGCTTCGCAAGACAAAAAATACCTTGCGAGTCTTGAGATTTTTTTCGCTTTTCCCCCTTTATCTAATCTGCTAAGCCTTTAATAGCCTTTAATAGCCTTTTAGCAGCTAATCCCCTAAGCCTTTAAGCCTTTAATAGCCGCTAAACAGCTGATAGCGCTAATAGCGCTAATCCGTCAATGGGCTTGCTTCGCAAGACGAAAAAACCGCTAGACGAAGACTCTTGCGGAACGGATTAATTTCGTCTTGCGAGGCACCACTGTAATTTTAAAAACAGACTGTGGTCAGGACTTGCAAACAAAATTTGCAGCGCCCACTTTCAGTTTACAAGCATAGATACAATAAAGCCTTCTAGCGCCCCTTTACAACCATTATGGTAATACAAGATTTAGAGCTTTCTCTGTAGATAACATGTTATTTGATTTGCTATTTACCCAGTGCTAGAAACTGAGATATGAAAGCTAGGAGCTAAATGGCACTTTAAACCTAGGTAATGGGTGCAACAACAGAATGATTAGGTGCACTTTTTAAAAAACAAGAATGATAGCTGAAAATGAATGAACTGCAGCTAAAATCTTATGTTCATTTTTCACATGGTCTAGTCCTCATCTGAAGACTTCAAAAAACAAAGCCATGTTTCTTCACCTGCCAGCTCCCTAATATTCTTAAGAGCATGGGTAGGAAAACTAAGGCCTGAGGGCTGGATCAGGCCCAATTGCCTTCTGGATCCAGCCCACGGAGGGTCCGGGAATTGCTATGTGGATCGCCAGCACGCGTGTTCTTTCCCTCTCTCTTCCTCTCCCTCACATGGGCAGCGGCGCCTCCTCCCTCCCTCCTCTTGGCTTCTCCCCGCCCTGCCTAGAGGAGGAAGGGGGCTGGGCTTTGTTGGTGCCAGCAGCAGCAGTGCTTGAGTGACCGCCATTTTAAGCAGCCCCTTTCCGGAGCCCTTTTGCGCCCCACTCATCGTCCCACCACCGCCACCAGCCCCTGCCGCTCACAAGACACAGGTAAGCAGCCACCAGGGCTCGTATATAAAAAAATATACATTTGGAAAAGGTAAAGGTAAAGGAGCCTTGAACAGTTAAGTCCAGGCAAAGGCGACTATGGGGTGTGGCGTTCATCTCACTTTTCAGGCTGAGGGAGCCGCCATTTGTCCACAGACAGCTTTCCAGGTCATGTGACCAGCATGACTAAACCACTTCTGCCGCAACGGAACACCGTGACTGGTGACAGAGTGCACAGAAATGCCATTTACCTTCCCGTTGCAGTGGTATCTGTTTATTTATTTGCACTGGTATGCTTTTGAACTGCAAGGTTGGCAGAAGATGGGACAGAGCAACGGGAGCTCACCACTGCCACGCAGATTCAAACCACCGACGTTCCAATTGGCAAGCCCAATTTGGCTCTGATTATTCCTCTTAAAAGTTATCACGTAAGGACTATCAAATGTAAACTTCAGAAAACCTTAAACTGAAAGAATGAATTTCCTTTTTCTATTTAACCCAGATGTGGATTTTGGAACCACAACACAATCTTTCCCCCCTTTTTCTTTCAATGTGACAACTCAAAGCTTTAGTTATATTCAAATCAGTTTCAGACAATGCCATTATTTTGCCCACAGTATTGGAAGTAGATGGATGAAGAGTTCAGGGCGGCTGATATCTTGTATTAGTGTAAACATAAAACGTTCACTTTAACAGAATAGAAAAGAAGTGGGTTACCAATTTGCTAATATGGATATGTGCCCTACTCAGGACACAGAGGAAAAAACTCTTAACTTACCTTAGAAAAGGACTCTCATAGGCTGCATTTACCTCAATGTAAAAACCAGGGAAAGGGCAATCTTTGTACTGGAGGACAATGCTTGCCCCAATGTAAAACAGATAAGCACCCTATCCCTAACTTCAGATGTTTTAACACAAACTTTTTGGGTAAGCCCATCTTTAAAACATTGAAACTACAATATAAAAGAGCCTCTGTTTCCAGAGAGGAATCCAATACCTGAACTACTGGTAGAGGAGAATCAGGCACATGCAAGGCCTAGGTCAGATGAAACCAAAGATGAAAGATTCTGTTATTAGATCTGATTCACATTCATAGATGAATGGTGTAATGTTCCATGGAGCCAGGAGGGATTTGTCGTTAATAAATTATCCTGTTATTTAAAACCTGTTTAATAGCTAGAAAAGAAGGATAGTATTCTCAAAACCCATAGTCTGATGGGCACAGCAATATTCAACTGTTCAAAATCGTACATTCGTTTCATTTCACCAATAGCTCTCTAAATCTGGCATGCACCCTGTAAACTAGACATTTTGCAGCAATTGAGGTGCATATAGACTGGTTTGCACCACCAAGAGCTCCCGTGGATTGTCAAGCTGCCAAATCCATTCGGCCATGATGCCTGTGAACTGCAGTCCAATGATAACAGAGGACTAGTAAATATAATCTCTAGTTGCTCAGATGCAACTACCACAGTTGGTGATGTGTTGAAACCCATCAGAAGTTGACTTTTCTGGCACCAGGGTGACATATTTTTTGGACTATGCTAACAAAATCATGATTCTTGGGGAGGGGGAAGGATAGGAAAGAACTGCTCCCAGCATTGCAGAATCTATAAGCTTTAGAAAAGTAGAATGTGCAGAGAAAAGACCCATATCGTGAAAGGTGCCCTCCCCAAAGGAAAAAGTATATACAGACTGCATGGGAAACAATGAAATGCTTTTGTAATGCATGGAACCTTTGGGGAGGAAATAATAATAATAATAATAATAATTTTTTTAAAAATTATTTATATCCCGCCCTCCCCAGCCGAAGCCGGGCTCAGGGCGGCTAACAACAATAAAACAGTGCAAAAGTACAACACAACACTCTAAAATCATTCATTATAAAATTAATTCAAATCAAGCCACTGGCAACCATTGGGCCAGAGCTCCGCGAAGATTGCCGAGGGAGGGAGTCAGGCTGTGCCCTGGCCAAAGGCCTGGTGGAACAGCTCTGTCTTGCAGGCCCTGCGGAAAGATGTCAAGTCCCGCAGGGCCCTAGTCTCTTGTGACAGAGTGTTCCACCAGATCGGAGCCACAGCCGAAAAAGCCCTGGCTCTAGTTGAGGCCAGCCTAACCTCTCTGTGGCCTGGGACCTTCAAGATGTTTTTATTTGAAGACCGTAATTTTCTCTGTGGGACACACCAGGAGAGGCAGCCCCGTAGGTACGAGGGTCCTAGGCAGAAAGGGGTTCAGAAATTAAGTGGCCAATTGTTTGCACAGAGCAAAGGCAGAGAAGAGGAAGACGCTAAAGGTATTTTCAGAGGATAAAGATAGTGAACAGCCTGTGTTCTAACTATATCATTTCTAGCGGAAAGCTACTGGGAAGTTAGTCTGTTTCTCAATCACTTTTGAGTTGTCTCTGCTGCTACTGTTCACATCACAAAACAATTATAGATTGGTAAAGGGTCTGTAAAATTGAACAGGGTTCTTTTGCCATCCTCTCTCTAACGTTCTGGATCACAATATTGTAAACTAGCAAATATAAGGCTTCTGAGGTTAAGGCAGCTTTTACAAGAAACTTTTGTTTCTGCAAGAAATACTCCTACAAATCGCTTTGCTATATAATGCAAAGCTCTATAAAACTGACTGCTGATCGCTACATAACTTGACTTTTCAACAATGATGAGCACGTATATTTTATTGCAACTGAAAGAAATATTGTTGCTAACATATCTTTTCTTAAACGTTAGCAAAAAAAGGGGGGGGAGATATATTCCTTTTCATCCGGATGAATAGAGACAGAAGCAAAAACAGCAAGCTGCATTTTGTTTCCCCTGCTCAGAGCTTCTTTTCCGTGTGCTACACTGAGACAAAACAGGTTATGCCCTAGGAAAGCATAAAGAAACATTTTGTCATAGAGCCTCTGGTTAGGAAACACTGCCAAAGCCACAGATATCAAGGTACACAGCTGAACGTACTGCAAGGGGCCATGACCTGGTGGCGGGTGGGGGGTACCATGTGGCCAGACATTGTAACCCTCCCCCAACAGAATGTCCTGAATATAAATAGCAGGTTGGGGTCAGACAATCTCATCACTCGCTTTAAGCATCAACAATGCTTTTCGTAATGCACCGCCTGTGACCTATTCCACTTCCAGTCTTGCTTTCACTGCTCCAGTCTTCAGACGTGCTGTTATAATCTCCAAGACGTACGCCTAAAAACGTACACCTTGGACAGCTATCGCATTCAGAGCTCAGCAACTCTTACGCAATGAACTGGTCGTGCGCTGTGTGTCTTCTTGCATTAATTCATTCATTTCAACAGGAAGCACGTTCAAGTGCAAGCACCCTCGATCCATATTTCCAAGCAGCAACATGGCTTGGGCATTAGTTTAGGAAGGAAGTGCAAAGTTATCGGCTGCAACATACAACTGAGCTAGCAATGACTTTGCTTTATTTTAACCTCTTCTCTCTAATTCCATGGTTTTAGGGCAATACACCAGAGAGGGAAAGGGTTTACATTTGTTTTTGCTAATTGGAATGAAAACAAACGAACTGAGACATTTTTCAAATCCACCGTTTTAAGCCACCTTGAATCCCAAAAGGCATATATGGATAACTGCCCTCCCGCTCACTCCACTGGCCAGCCCCCAAAGAACCCCTCCACAAGACACTTTGCTTAGTTGTCTGCAAGCAACCACCCCAGCTTCTCCCTTCTGTTCCACAGCCCCATTCTGCAACCATTCACCTGCCCTGGCTATACCTTCTTCTTCCTGCTGGGTGAGACTCCAGAGGTAAGAGACCCTAGAGAAATTCCACTCTGCCATCAACCTGAGCCTCAACCTGTCTATGCAGCAGGTTAACTTTCTGACTATGCAATGGGCATACAGTGGTACCTCGGGTTAAGTACTTAATTCGTTCCGGAGGTCTGTTCTTAACCTGAAACTGTTCTTAACCTGAAGCACCACTTTAGCTAATGGGGCCTCCCGCTGCCGCCGCACCACTGGAGCACAATTTCTGTTCTCATCCTGAAGCAAAGCTCTTAACCCAAGGTACTATTTCTGGGTTAGCGGAGTCTGTAACCTGAAGCGTATGTAACCTGAAGCATATGTAACCCAAGGTGCCACTTTATAAACACCTCTTTATACTGGAAGCCTGCAGAACACTATAAATATGTATGCTTCTAGCTGACACCTGCAATACACCATGAGTTCCAATGCCTATAGCAAAGTCCTATGATTCAACCAAAGATAGCTGTACTTGGCTACTACCCAAACTATTCCACTGTATTATTATCTATATCCCATCTTGCATGAAGATAATCCGCTCACACAGGCCTTGGGGTGTAGACCTGTGCTTGCATGCAGATAGCCCTCTAAACTAAAGCTCACAAACTCACAAACAACAAACAGAGAATAGAAGAGAGAGGCAAATGGAAGGGCTGGATGCAGCAGAAATCCCCTGATGCCAACTCCGCCTCTGTATTCACCGAGGACACACCATGACAGGACACAGCAACATCAGCCCTGACTTGGGGCGCTTGTTCACATGCTTGTTTCTCAACATCATACAGCCTAGGACAAGCCAGCAATGCTCTTCATCTTTTTGCACAAGGAAAACAGGTCAGCTTATGCAAAATAATGAATGGCCACGAATCTGACATTGGAAATGGAGCTCAGCATTTTATGAAATAGACAAGACAAACTTCAGTTCGTGTTAATTTTTGCTACAATACATCTCTTAGTCTTTAGGGGGCCACAAGACTGTAACTGTCACCAGCTATGTGTGTAAGTGGACCATATGTATAGAATACATGTTACAACTGAGGTCCCCAATGTGGTGCTCATGGGCACCAGGGTGCCCTCAGACACTTTGGCCTTGGCACACCTTCCACTTTTTGGAGTAGGGCTTTTTAAAAATTCTTTTTGGTTAGGAAGGGTGTCTGATTTTGGTGATGTTGCCTACTTCTTGTTTTTCATTGTGAAGGTGTGTGTAGTTGTTTTGCCCAATTTGTGTGGGGGTATGTGTGTATCTGAGTATGTGGATGTTTTGTAGTGCCCACAACAGTTTCTTAGATTTCCAAATATGCCTCCAGTCCGCAGGACCCTATGCTACAACACACAACCTGTGTTGTGACTACAACCTGAAGATGTAGTCAATAATGACTAGCTTTGTTTCTTTGGGGAGGGGGCAGGAGGAGGAAGATGGGTTTTCGTCTTTATTCTTCCTGAAATGTGGAATAAAATAAATGAAGGAATCCCGTAATAGTGCAACCATGAAGAAGTCTCCTGATTGTGCTCGCTGACATACTTCAGGCAGTAGGAGTAAAGAATTCTGTGGATGTTAGCTGGCAAGCAACGCGCTGCCCTAAACTTAAACTGCTTTGATCAGAACAGCCTGGGATCAGAAACTGGCAGTTGCATTTGGAACCCAAAATTTGCTCCCAGCATTCTAAACAATGACACTGTTGCCGCAGAAAATGGATTAGTCTGTCTATATGACAGATTATAGCTACTGAGATACCATTACTAAAACAGCTGATTCCGTTTCCAGTAGCAGCATAGAAAGGCACACATGTTTAAAAAGAATCAATAAGGGAAAACAACAGCAGTAGTTAGCAGCAGGTAATAATGGTTCCAATTGTAAGAGGTCAGGAGAAAGGGGCAACAGAGTCATTATGCAAGACGAAGACTTTAGCGCTCGTCATTCGAAGAAAGCTAACCAGAAAAAGCAAATGTAAGAAAAACTAATGTGGATCTCTTTTATAGCAGCAAGACAGAAACAGCCAGATTATTTATGCATCGTTGTGTGTGGAACCAAATTTATTAGGCATAACATTTCCAAGGAATTCTGAACTGCAAAGCTGGAAAAACTTGGCTAGCTTCAAAATTAACAGGTTCTCGGTGTATTGAACAATTTTGTTTCCTTTGAAGAGATGTTTATAATACTAAATATATTGGAAATCATAGTTTTCTTTATCAAATTCCACCCAAACACAATGGGACTATGCAGATGTAGTGTCAAATCTTGGCTTAGTTTTAGAAAACAAACAGGCATAAGCACTGCTCTGTTTTTATAGAAAAAAGAGGTGCTGGAACTCACCTTGTTCTCTTATAATGGCAATGGTGCCCACCTGAGAGAGGTGCCAGAACTGAGTTCCAGCAAGTTCCGGCTGGAAAATAGCCCTGGGCATAAGCATGCTAAACCATGTGGTAGTAGTGGTACCTTGGTTCTCGAATTTAATCTGTTCCGGAGTCGGTTCGACTCCCGAAACCGTTCGGCTTCCAAAAAACATTCGCAAACCAGAACACTTACTTCTGGGTTTGCGGCGTTCGGGAGCCGATTTGTTCAGGAGCCAAGCTGTTCGAGTACCAATGTACCACTGTATATGAATGGGGAACCTGTAGCCCTCCAGATGTTGTTGGGACTCCCAGCTCCTATCAGTTAGTGGTCGGAGATTATGAGCGCTGTAGTCTGACTGTATTTGGAAGGTCACAGGTTCATCATTACTGGTGCAGTGCTATGAGAGAGGAGGAGGAAATGGGCAGACCTACTAATTCTTGCAAAAAGGGTTAAACCACAGAGCCTAGGACTTGCCGATCAGAAGGTTGGCGGTTCGAATCCCTACGACAGGGTGAGCTCCCGTTGCTTGGTCCCTGCTCCTACCAACATAGCAGTTCAAAAGCACGTCAAAGTGCAAGTAGATAAATAGGTACCGCTCCGGCGGGAAGGTAAACGGCGTTTCCGTGCGCTGCTCTGGTTCGCCAGAAGCGGCTTAGTCATGCTGGCCACATGACCTGGAAGCTGTACGCCGGCTCCCTCAGCCAATAAAGCGAGATGAGCGCCACAACCCCAGAGTCGGCCATGACTGGACCTAATGGTCAGGGGTCCCTTTACCTTTACTAATTCTTGCAGCATTAAGCCACTGCTTAGCATTACATCTGAAAAGCCCCAATGAGAGCAATCCAAGACCATTGCAATCAGTGGGAGCTCTGACACTGACTTCAATAGGACATGGATTCCATTCCAATTACCAGTAGCTGCTTTCCTCTAAATTATTATGGACAAGGCCAAATGAACACTGAAATTACTCATGAACATCTGCTCCTGCAGATAAAAGAGGCCCATAGCATCAGCCTATAAATTTATGTGATTCCCTCAAGACAAGTGTCTCTCCTTGGACTTTATTTTTATAAATCTATGGCTGAGTCAGAAATTAGTCATCCGAGATTATGGCTTCAACTGTCAATAAAAATTGCATGAAATACTCAAAAGGGTTTCAAAAACAACTTTGCACTGGGCTTCTCAATGCCATTTTCAGCTGTGTCTTTACCTTGTTAACCGTTTCCTGCCATATGAACATTGGTTCAAAACCCATTAACACACAGCTCCATTATTATCTACATGTCTATACATAGCTATAAGACGAGAGATGGCCTGTGCAGAAAAGTCTGATATAATCCTACCATAAGTACAATCCTACTTTAAAACTGCTGGGTCATATATGGTCTTCCAACATCATGATATATCACCAGCTAAACATCGTGATATACCAATATATCACAATGTTTGAAATAAGGGTGGGACTATGTAGAAGCAAACAGTAGGGCTGGGCAATATCTGGTTTTCAACCAGATAAACCAGATAAACATTGCAATATACTGATATTTCACAATGTCTGAAATAAGGATGGAGCTACGTAAAGCCATTGGTTGGCTTCACAGTTTTCCCCATGTTGTGATTTTTGCATAGCACACACACACAAACATCATGATTCACAATATATTGCCAGGTCAAAAATTATGAAACCAATATTGTGATAGGGACTTGAAACCGGTTTTGGATTATATATATCGCCCAACCCTGGCACACATCATGATTTGCGATATATTGCCATGAAGCTGATATCAAAATATGGATTTCAAACTTGTTTTGGACGCTGTATCGATATATCACCCAGCCCTAAAAGCCACAGAAGTTGAGTACAAGCGTTTGAATAAAACTTTGAAATATACAGCATAAGAAGAGCGCTGCTGGATCAGGCCCATGGCCCATCTAGTCCAGCATCCTGTTCTCTCAGTGGCCAAAGAGATGTTCTTGGGAAGCCCAGAAGAAGGACCCAAGCACAAGACCCCTCTACCCTCCAGCTGTCTCCAGCAACTCGTGAATATATTTTTTAACAACGAACTTTTAAAAGTTGTGCATTCAACATGCATTATTTCATCAATTCCTAGGGCCATTCTATACATTAATTACATTTTTCCTGGGTACAAACTTTTTCCAGGCAGGGAAGCAAGTGTGCACAATAATGTCTGACAGCCAGTGCTAATGTTCTTCCTGACATTTATATGCTGTCCTTATAGCAAGCAGTGCAAAGAGTTAAAGACTGCTGCTGCTGCTGCTGCTGCTGCTGCTGCTGCTGTTGTAGTAGTAGCTCAGCTGTTACAAAACCCAATATAAATATAGGATTATCAGGACGGAGAGACACTGATTCAGGACAGAATTGAGTCATTGCGTTATTTTCGCTTTGTAAGGGGGAGTAAAATAACCATTTTGCAAATGCATTGCTAAGTATAGCAGTGAGTGAAGAGCTGACAGGATCTTTTAAGCACATAGTTATGGAGAAGAAATAACTAACTGAACAAAAAAGTGGCTTTCCAAGAAGGCTGGCCTTTTGGCAGTGCAGCCTAGTAATGAAGTGTTTAAACAAAAAGGAATTGCTGGAATGAACACACTGCAGCTGTTGAATAGGACGCCCATCAGCTGCTTGCCCTGCTTCTTTGTTCCAAAGACTTGCATCCATCCTATTTCATGAAATTTAATCCCTGTCTCCCACAAAATAAAGTCTGGCTATATTTTTAAGAAGGGACCCAGGTGGCGCTGTGGGTAAAAGCCTCAGCGCCTAGGACTTGCCGATCGAAAGGTCGGCAGTTCAAATCCCCGCGGCAGGGTGCGCTCCCGTCGCTCGGTCCCAGCGCCTGCCAACCTAGCAGTTCGAAAGCACCCCCGGGTGCAAGTAGATAAATAGGGACCGCTTACTAGCGGGAAGGTAAACGGCGTTCTGTGTGCTGCGCTGGCTCGCCAGATGCAGCTTGTCACGCTGGCCACGTGACCCGGAAGTGTCTGCAGACAGCGCTGGCTCCCGGCCTCTAGAGTGAGATGAGCGCACAACCCTAGAGTCTGTCAAGACTGGCCCGTACGGGCAGGGGTACCTTTACCTTTACCTTATATTTTTAAGAACATTAAGAAGATCCTGCTGGATCAGGCCAAAGGCCCATCTAGCATAAACCATCAAGAATCCTAACTGGGTGCGTCTAACACAGGGATCGGCAACCTAAGGCCCAGGGTCGTTTAAGCTCGTGCAGCCAATGGGAAGCTGCGCACGCCTCCTCTGGGCCGGAAGGAGCGCTGGAAATAGCGTTTGCGCGTGCGCACACACTCCAGTCCCCCACGGTGTCTGTGGGACCGTGAACTGGCCCAAGCCACAAAAACTTTGCCGACCCCTGTTCTAACAGCAGTGGGCTGCCTGTGTTTGAACTGCTGTACATGAGCATTGGCCCACATTTCCCTGACAAGACACACACAAATGGATTAACAGTCAAGTGTTTGAAGAGAAGCGGTGACCAGGATGCAGTCTTACAGTCTACGTTGGCTGTACCAATTATGTGTTAGTACAACCAATCCAGCGTGGATATTCTGTGGCTTCTTGAGAGTTGTGAGATCCTTGTCCCACACATTACCCACAAATAAGCAAGGGCTCTATGTGTCAACATCTTCTGCCCATTATGTTACAATTCTTGCAGGACTGAGTGATATTTTACTATTTCACAACTTTTCTATAATCCACTTGGCACACCTTTCTTAAACATTTGACATTTGACATTACCCCATGCTTCCTCCCTAAGGAGGAAATAAGCAATACTATAACCAAATTTATCAGAGTAATATCATAGAATCGTTTAATTGTAAGAGTTGGAAGGTGGGACCATGGGGTAATACAGTCTAACCCTTTGCAATGCATGTATATTTTGCCCAATATGGGGTACGAGTCCCTGAAATTAAGAGACTCATGCTCTACCAACTGTTTTAAAAATAAAACCACACAACAAGCCAGTGGCTTGATTCGAATTAATTTTATAATGAATGATTTTAGAGTGTTGTTTGTGCTGTACTTTTGTACTGTTTTATTGCTGTTAGCCGCCCTGAGCCCGGCTTCGGCTGGGGAGGGCGGGATATAAATAAAATTTATTATAAATAAAATTTATTATTATTATAATTTATTATTGATATATGTCTGCAGGCTTAACACGCAAACTTATGCTGATGTTCGGCCCCTACTAGAATGGACTACTAAATCATAAAAAGTAATCTGACTATTATTAACAATTAAAAGGCTGTGGGGAAGTCTCGGGAAAGGTCAAGGATAAGGAGAAAGAAATGAATTTCTCCCTCAAGGTTAGGACAAAGTTATCGTTCAGTGACACAGTACAGCAGTGCTGCTGAAAGCAATATGGCTGTCAAATATTCTCACAAGATTCCAGTTTCACAATCCTAGTGAAATTCACACCAGCAGAACCTCCTTGCAGTACTATTACACTGGTACCTGATGCGTACGAAATTCAGAAATAACTTAAGGGCACTTTCATTCCTGCGAAGTTCCAAATAGATTTCTACTCACGTGGGTTGCTTGCAATATGATGCATAATGTTAGTTGCTGCATTCTAAGCCCTGTCTCTTACTCCATCAATATTATGGAACAAAATACATGATCCAACCAAAATTAAGCACTTTTAGGTTCCACTGGTTTCAATAGAAAAAAATAAGCATGTTAATCCTCTGCCACTGAAATTAAGGTGCTTGACTTTAACTGGACCATGCCATAGAGTTGTACAAATTACCGTATTTTTCGCTCTATAGGACGCACTTTTTCCTCTCCAAAAATTAAGGGGAAATGTGTGTGCGTCCTATGGAGTGAATGCAGGCTCCTTGGCTTCAGGGATAGCAGCGCGGAGCCTCCAAAGCGCCGAGGAGCGCTCCCACCTCGCTCCGAAGGCTTCGGGTTCCTTTTGCTGAAGCCGGGAGAGCAAGACTTTCCTGGCTTCAGCAGAGAGGGAGAGCTGCACAGCGCCCCTTCAGCGAAGCGGGAGGAGAAATGGAAGGGGCTCCGTTTCTCCTGCCGCTTCGCTGAAGGGGTGCTGAGCAGAGAGGGGGAGAATTTTTTTTTCTTGTTCTCCCCCTCTAAAACAAGGTGCGTCATATGGTCGGGTGCGTCCTATAGAGTGAAAAATACGGTGCTAGGCCTAATCGCCTGAAGTCTCGAAATATTTAATAAAGACAAGGCTGAAGCACTTTTACAGGCTATATAGGTCAATAACCTGGTTTAAACTTACTGACTTTTTCAAGAGAGAGAAGGGGAGATTTACACACAAACACACACGTGAATATATACACACAGAAGAAAATGAAGCACTATCTTCCAGTGCTCTTCAATCAAGTGAATGCTGCAGCATGCAAAATATCAAGGCCCATCTCAGGAAATACACAGCGCTTATCTCATCACTATGTTGACAAGTCCTCAAGTACGTAAAGGTGGCAATTCTATGTAAATTAACTGGTATCAAAAGTTCATCATAATTAACCCCTCACAACAGAAAAGTCCTGACCCTTTTTAAAGCAAACCTGTAGACGTATAACATTATTCAAGGAGGTTTACATGAACTGTAATGGAGTCAACTGCAAAACCGACTCGGAAAGTTAGGTCAACTTAGGGCTCTTCCACACTTCTGTTTGCTCCGCCACTCCGCCCCCCACAAGAAAACCTGCGGTTTACCATTGAATCAGAAGAAATGGCAATCAGGTTTCCAAGGATTGTCATTTGTTCTAGTTTTAATGGCAGGTTTTTCAGGGGAAAGCAGTGGCGCAAAGCCAAACTGCTCAGACTCATGCCTGGAGAGACAATCCAAAGTGTGGCAAGCCCTTATACTCATGCAAGCGTTATTAAATAATAAGATGCACTGAGATGTAGATGTAACATGCAAACTGACTGCAGGGGTTAACCTCATTAAGATTAGGCAAGTCTCACCCCTCAATATTTTTAAAGGTCCACCTTTTTGTCACGACCTTCAGTGACTAATTCTAAACTGAGCTGCAGAAATGGTGTCTTCTCTCTTTCTGCGGTTAGGTTATGCAGGCCTACTTTATACTGGCTTAAGTTGTTTTTAAATTATGCTTCACTGTTTTGTTGTGCATCTTGTAATCTACCGTATTTTTCGCTCTATAGGACGCACTTTTTCCCTCCTAAAAAGCAAGGGAAAATGTGTGTGCGTCCTATGGAGCGAATGCAAGGGGGAGGCAGGCGGGAAAAGCCCCCAAGAGCCGCACACAAGCTTCGTGCGCTCTTGCGGGCTTTTCCCCAGGAGGGAGAAGGGACTGACTGGCTGCATTAGTCCCTTCTCCTACCTCCCAGAAAAGCCAGGAGAAGCCGCGCAGCCCCTTTAAAGAGCTGGCGGCTTCTGCCGGTTTTGCGGGAGGTGGGGGAATCCCCCCACCTCCCAGAAAAGCCAGGAGAAGCCGCGCAGCCCCTTTAAAGAGCTGGCGGCTTCTGCCGGTTTTGCGGGAGGTGGGGGAATCCCCCCCACCTCCCAGAAAAGCCAGGAGAAGCCACGCAGCCCCTTTAAAGGCCGCAAGCAGAGGATCCATGGTCCCCTTCCTTCCCTCCTCCGTAGTTGCTTTGAAGCAGGAAGGTGGGAGAGGAGCTGCTTACACTCCTGTAAGCAGCTCCTCTCCCACCTTCCTGCTTCAAAGCAACCACGGAGGAGGGAAGAAGGACCATGGATCCTCCACTGCTGGCTGCAGCGGATTCCCTCCTCCCGGCTCCCTTTGAAGCAGCAAAGTGGGAGGGAGCAGCTTACACTCGTGTAAGCAGCTCCTCTCCCACTTTCCTGCTTCAAAGCAACCAGGAGGAGGGAAGGAAGGGGATCCATGCAGCTGCGGATTCCCTTCTCCTGGGCTCCTTTGAAGCAGGAAAGTGGGAGAGGAGCTGCTTACACGAGTGTAAGCTGCTCCCCTCCCACTTTCCTGCTTCAAAGTGGATGGAATCCACTGCAGTTGCGAGCAGAGGATCCATGGCTCCGCTTCCTTCCCTGGAAGCAGGGTGCGGGGGTGCAGGGGAGAAAGAGGGCAGGAAATAGATGCCGGGCAGGAAGACACAACCACACTTTGACCACTGGAATGTCCACCCCAGCCTCCCCAGATTTCCACTGAGACGGCCAGGCTAATCTCGATGGCCATAAGTCAGGCTCAGCATTATTAACTGGACTTAGATAAGCCATGGTTCCCCTTCCTACCCTCCTCTGAGGCTCAATTTAAAGCAGCAAATGGACAGGAGCCGCCCGCTTTGCTGCTTTAAATAGTTTAGTGCAACATTTGATTCAGAATATTTTTTTGTGTGTTTTCCTCCTCTAAAAACTAGGTGCGCCCTATGGTCAGGTGCGCCCTATGGTGCGAAAAATACGGTACTTTGTCAAGATTTGTCTCTTAAAATGTGGATTATAAAACTGTTAAATAATGAGCAAATAAAATAATAAGAGTTATCTGGCCAATTTTGCTATTGACATTAGCTGGAGCATCCTAAAACAGGCACACAAGGATGAGTTGGCAACTTTAAGTCGGCAATAAAGGAAATGAACATCAGGGGCGATACTTGAAATGTTCTGGACAAAAAAAAGGAAATGAAGGGGGTTATATATAAAATCATCTTATTTCAATACTGGATTTATTAATCTCTAGTATCTAACCTTCCATTGGTTCTCTGCTCACAAGCATTAACATGAATTAGAATCAGCATGGGTATCATGCTTTGAAAGGATAATGGGAAAGGAATCTCTTCTGTGCTGCTGTTAGAGGTTATGTAAAGCGCATTGTGCGATAGGACTAATCTACATAAACTGAACCTGAAGGAGCTCGGCCTGTGGGATGAGCTGCAATGATAGCTTCCCAGCATCGGCATTGCTACTGATTACCGGGAGGAGAAGGGGAAGGGATGTGTTGGCAGAAAGGTCAGGGCTGTGGAGATGCACTGATGGAGCAATGGATTGACTCCCCCAGTGTGCTTACATCAGCCGTAATCTCACCTCCACCTTGTTCTCCCTCTTTCTCTCTCAGTAAGGCATCAGCAAGGCTGCTTCCAGGAAACTAGAACTGTGGCCCCACACCACGGAGAGACTCACGTCTGCATTTTAATTTGGGTATAGGAAGTTCCCTGTCTTGATGTAACTAGTCGGTTATTGGGAAGTGAACACACACACAGAGAAAGACTCCCACAGAATTAAATGCACATGCTAGAGAGAAGCTAGAAATAAACTGTGCTAGGAAAACATTTTGCATTTTCTAGGAGAGATAATGAAACCACGACAAGAACATTAGAATACGAGTACTACAGAAGTGGTCCATTGATAAAAGTGGGTGGCACCCATCATTGCTTAGCTTTCAAAACAAAGATTGGGGTTTTGATCACAGACTGCATTCCATTTCATCTTCAAGACACACTTCTTCAACTTCCCTTTGCTAATGTAAGCTCTTTAACGGCATGTCAACTGTTTCCCACTCTCTCCCAAACCTCAACCAAAGAAACCCTATTGGATATACACACAAGTATTCACAGTGCTTTAACACTATCTGGAGGTGTTAAGAAAATACCATACTGAGCATCAAGGAAATGCTGGCGCCTAAGCAGTATGCATGCAGCAGTTTCCATTACTATAAAATTCTGAGAAGGCAGTAGCAATCCTAATTAAATTGACTTATTCACGAATGCAAATTGATGCACACTCTGGCCTTGCTTTTGTTCTTTTTAAAGGACCCAGGCTACTGTTCCACCCTTAATTAATTGGAATTGCCCTTGAAGATAATGATAAAGAGACATTGTGACAAAATTACTACAAGTCAGATAGGTTGAGATTTGAGGGTGTTGAATTTAGTGATATCGTGCACTCTGTGAAAATACATATAGACTGAGCAGACCTTTCTAAAATAAAAAATGCATGCACACATTGCATAAGCAGAGAATAAGCAATAAGGGTCTTTGTTTCCTTTACTCTTGTGGCAGCTAAATGATAAGATCAATATAAGCCCTGCAAACATACAAATGTCTCTGAGTTTGTGTCTTCCGTCCGCTTAAATCTCACCAAATCAATAATATTACTTTGCCTTACATAGCTGGGCTGATAGAATGTGCTGCTTTGCATTAGTTCAGGCTAACTACATGATGAAATTAACAAAATATTTTCATGTACCATATTACAGTGGTACCTTGGTTTACGAACCTAATCCGTTCCGGAAACCCGTTCTTAAACCAAAGCATTTTTAAACCAAGGGGTGCTTTCCCATAGCAGCAGGGGGACTCAATTTACAAATGGAACACACTCAACAGGAAGCGGAACATGTTCTTATCCCAAGGCAAAGTTCACAAACCAAAACACCTACTTCTGGGTTTGCAACCTTCTTAATCCAAGTTGTTCATAAACTAAGCTGTTTTTAAACCAAGGTACCACTGTACTGGTAAAATATAGGTATGCTTTCACTAAATTATCAGCTACAAGTGCTATAGAGACATGCCTGCATCTAGCATAGGTGTGTGTGCAAAACCTGCTTATGCATGTGGATTCCCTTGCTGAATCGTCAACAATGCACACCCACGCACAAAGAAGATTTGCCTCTACCTTTTGCACATTTGGACATGAGCTATCTGATGCATTTGGTGCTTGCTCTAAACCAAGGTTTTCCAAACTTGGGTCTCCAGCTGTTTTTGGACTACAATTCCCATCATCCCTAGCTTGCAGGACTAGTGGTCAGGGATGATGGGTACTGTAGTCCAAAAACAGCTGGAGAGCTAAGTTTGGAAAACCCTGCTTGAAACCAAGGGTGGCTAATCTGTGGCCCTCCAGATGTTGCTTGACTCCAGCTGCCAGTAAGCCTGAACAAAGACCATGCTGACCGGTGCTGATGGAAGCTGGAGACCAACATCTGGAGGTCAAAATTAGCCACCGTGTCTTTACACATTATGGGGAGAATCGGGCATTTCTCTCTGCGTCACAACACAACCATAGCCTTGGCTTGCACACATTACCGTGCACACTTATGCCATGATCAGAACCACACTCTTCTGCTGAAGATTTCTTAATGCCATATAACGTTTGATTTCCAAGCAGCGAAAATGTGATATTCATAACAAGTTTGTTCTACCTGTCATGGTTTACTTCAGGTTTCCTGAAGAATCATCCGGACCTAAAGCAAAAAAGAAGAAGAAGCAAGAAATGAAATATTAGCCATTTTAAAACTGTATTAGTTTGAATTTAGTGTTTAATAAACATTTCATTTGAGTTGTTTTTGTTTGGAGGATGACTCTTTATTTACAGGATAAAAGGCAACTGGAAGGCAAGCTGGTGTAAGGCATGGGAGGAAGGGTTTTCAACTAGAGCGTATAGCAACTAGTCTCCCACCATTTGCCTCTTATACAACATCTAGAACACACCAGGCTTCATAAAAGTCATTACCATAAAGGTCTTACATCCAAGTCAATTCCCCAGTCTGCCCAACTCACCAAGCAGGCACAGACTCCCTTGATCTGGAAGAAGGCGATTTGCATAGGAAATATTTATGTTTGCATCAAAAGACTTTCTGGTGGCACCACAGAATTAACTAATTTAGCATATTCATTTTACTTGTATTTTAGTAAACCAAGCTAAAAACCTTGGAACTGCCAAGTTTGCCTAATATTGCATTTGCAATTTGCATCGGTTCATTGTTACCAATGAACTTAGCAGGGCAGGTGGCCGAATAATGCCCTGGGAAAATGTTCCTACCTACCTACTTTTGACCTTGTCTTGCTTTTGGCTCTTTGGATTTCTGCCTTTCTGGTCCAGAACTTAATCCCTGGCCGTGGTCTCAGAGCACAGATCAGGCCTGACAGCTACACAAACTGGCACAACCTTTACTACAGGGTGCAAATTTAGCTGTCACTTTTTGCACAACTACAGCATCAGTGTGCGCCCATTTCGCATGCTGAACAATGACTTGTAGCGCACTGCTATTATGCTGTACCACAAGTACAGCAGAATCCAGTAGGTGCCAAGGCACAATTTTTAATACTAACAAGCCATAAAACGATGGGTAAGGCTGCATCCTGAATCATTACCCGTAACGAAACACTGGAAGTGGAATTTATTAATGGAGCATTTTGTGAGAGAGCTAATAAGATTTTAGAGCTGCACAAAGTTATTTTTGTCAATGATGTAAGCAGAAGTGACTCAGAACAAGACAGTATTTGTGTAAGATGTTGGATCACTTCTCTGCTGTTGTTTCTTTCTTTCTTTCTTTCTTTCTTTCTTTCTTTTTTTACTATACCTCAGGAAGACAGTGACTCACCAATGCACTTGCTTTGCATACAGAATGATGACTAAGTGCCTAAAAAACATGGTCAGAATCCTGGCTCACGGAGTCCGTTTTCCATTACAGTAATAGGAAAAGGCAAGTAAAGTGCTCTGCAGAAATTTTTTATTGCAGTCTAATAATAACGACCATGATACAATACCAAAAATAACGTCGTGATTTTCTAACAAACTCTTAGAAAATATGGTAGATCTGAACACGGATCACCAAAATCAAAAGACAATTAAGTAGGTAGTAGTAGCTGGACTGGATGAGTCGCAACTAAGTAGAGAAGAAGAAAAATCTCTAAAACGGTCATTTTCTCCATTTCAAAAGAGGATTACAATTATTTCTACCTCCTCCTAGTACTGTTCTGAAATGAGTTATCTACATCAAATGTAAAAGAGGTAGAATTCACTAAGTCACATTAAGGGTGAGCACAACAGAATAAATGTCAAGCAGCCATCAAGTAATGATATGAAAGTAAGTCAACCCTGGATGTTTTAACACTTAACTCAAAAAGTGGACAGAAACTACGACGCGTCAAAAATCATTACAAGCAGACACTAACTCTGTGTTGTTGCTACCTTCACTGCTATTTACAATCTCAGGAGTCCCTGTAGACTTTAGGAGTTTCATGAATAAGATCCAAAGGAAACAAAGAACAGCACAAGGAATAGCTCTTGAAATGCGAGCACTGTTTTACATTTTAGTTTGTAATATACCAATACGAAACATCCAGGTCCCCCATAGGGATGCAATGGTAAACACACTTACCAGGAGTTTTGCATGCTTTGTTCAGAGCTCGAACAAACTGCACACTCTGCAAACACAGCTAGGTAAGGCGCTAGAACAAACCGCAGGAAAATGTCTTAAACCAAGTCAGATCCATCTAGCCTCTTATTATCAGCTCTGACTGGCTTTCCAACCAGGCTCTCTGCCAGAGAACACTTTCTCATCTTCTCATCTTTCTCATCTCCTCTTCTGCTTACAAGGTGTGTGCTCTACCATGGGGCTATGACTCTACCCCACATAGGGACAAAAAATTATCCACCATGGGGTATAATAACTGCCTCAACCTCACCATGTTGGGTTGAGCATGTGCAAGTTCTAGGCAAAAGTTGTAACTTTTGCAAAAATTAAAGAGGACTTCTTCCTATCTTCTCATGATTTCTATTTCTATTTATTTTTATTTAAAAAAAAACACCTGGTGGCAGAGCATGAGACTGTAAATCTCAGGGGTTCAAGCCCAAAAGATCCCTACAAACTGCTAGACAATTATGTTTAATAAGTCAACTTTAGAGATCTCTATAGGATCCTCCATTAATTTCCAAAATAATTGGTAAAGGCTGAACACAAATTAACAGGGACTGAAGAAGCTTATTGACTGGGTATGAGCTTTAGTCATAAGCCCCACAATTAAATGTGCCCAGAATTTCAACCTCTTTGTTTTCAAAAGCACGGCCCTATTTCAGACTTTCTGGCTATACAGATCATTGTCCACCATGCTGATTTGCTATATTATATACACAAATATTTTAATTTATTTTTTTGCCACTGGATCTTGTAAGGAAAAATGAATATAAAGTAAGAACTCATGTTTTTCAAAAGCCTGCAGCAGCATCTGCTCAGCATTCAAGGCAAACAGAAAACTTTTTACCTCAGGAAAAATAGCTTCAGGGAGGGCTGATCTTCTTAACCCAGTGAGAATTGGTGCTGTGTATAAAAAAAGGATGAGTGCAGTTTTATAGATCATACAGAATCAACGACTTATCTTGGGAAATCATCTGGCAACGTGACTGGCACCACAGTAAAAGGACAACAGCATGAGGAAATATAATTATTATGAGCCTATGAAAAAGAGTATTTGTTCTCTATTTACCATACAACATGCCTAAATATACTAAATGCAAAGATGCTTAAGGTTTCAGAGATGCCATCATTTGTTGCTTTGACAGAATGAATGAGAAGCAGTTGTTATTTACAGTACACATGTGTACTGTATAATTTAACCATAGTGTCTGTGAACTTGTCATTAAAGATTACCAGGAAAGACTCCTGTCGGTATAATAGACACTATAAATTACAGAGCCAAGTCCTGACTCAAATAAAGGCAGCGAGGGAGGAAAATTGGAAGGGCATGTTCAAATCCGAGCATTATTTAGTTGTTAATCCAGTTTTCCCCCTTTTGAATTAGACCAGTTTAGTCCACACTTGCATGTATTTGAATTTGTACATAAGAAGCGACTTCAGTCTTTTCCATTAATACTAGTAAGGTAAAAAGGTGAAGGACCCCTGGACGGTTAAGTCCAGTTGAATTCAACTACAGGGTGCAGTGCTCATCTCGCTTTTCAGGCTGAGGGAGCCGTCATTTGTCCACAGACAGCTTTCTGGGTCATGACTAAACTGCTTCTGACACAACAAGACACCGTGACGGGTCCCAGAGCACACAGAAATGCCATTTACCTTCCCACCGCAGCGGTACCTATTTCTCCACTTGCACTAGTATGCTTTTCGAACTGCAAGGTTCGCAGAAGCTGGGACAGAGCAATGGGAGCTCACCCCGTCGCGCAGATTCGAACTGCCAACCTTCCGATTGGCAAGCCCAAGAGGCTCAGTGCTTTAGACCACAGTGCCACCCATGTCCCTATTCATACTAGTAAATGTTCCCTTTCCCCCCCTCTTCGCCTTCTAATGTGTTGATTTGATTATGCCAATTAAGCAACATGGACACTTTGTTTTTTTTTTAAATCCCCCCCCCCCAGGAGTACACAAAAGCACACCATCAGGCCACTGTAAATTCTCAGCACACGCTTTTGCCATTTTTTTGTTTTTGTACAAATATGAGGGATGGAAACAATTCTCTCTCTCTTCTGCTCAGGAGCATACCAAAAAATGGTTGCAAGCACAGCAGCTAGATAAAGGAAATAAAGGAAAGCATTGAGGAAGTAGTGGACATAGAAAGGAGAGTAGCAAAAAAGTGACAATTGATCCACCCACCCAAAAGCACTGAAATAAATTATCTGTGATGCTGAGTGGAGCAGTTTGGATTATCTCCATATCTGAATGTACAGGACGAAAGCATTAAAACTGGCCTTGATTTGAGGGTAACGTCATGTGGATGATACAAATGAAGTGGGAATGCAAACAGCTGCAAATACACTTTAATCTCTCCAGTGTGGAGAAGCCCTAAGACAGGCGCTTGCTTTTATATACACTGGGAGGTAAGAACCATCTCATCAACTGATTCGTCATAAATCACCCTTGCAACACTACAGTGGCTCTTCTTCTCTTATCTCCTTTGACTGCAGTCACACTTGAAGAAGTGAAGAAGAGTAAGTGCTGATGGCTGGATTGTATCATGGGAAGCAATATTCTCCTGGGACTCACATGTCTTGCAAAAAGAAAGACATTACAAATCCTCCCACCATTTTCTGGAGAGAGCCAGTGTGGTGTAGTGGTTAAGAGCGGTGGACTCGTAATCTGGGGAACCGGGTTCGCGTCCCCGCTCCTCCACATGCAGCTGCTGGGTGACTTTGGGCCAGTCACACTTCTCTGAAGTCTCTCAGCCCCACTCACCTCACAGAGTATTTGTTGTGGGAGAGAAAGAGAAAAGAAGATTGTTAGCCACTTTGAGACTCCTTAGGGTAGTGATAAAGCGGGATACCAAATCCAAACTCCTCTTCTTCTTCCCGCACCAAACTTCATAAATTTATCAACAACCAAGTACAACTGAATTTGTCTTAATAATAATTATGATTATGATTTGTGTTTGTAATAAGGCATGGACCTTGTTTTGCACACCACAGTCATCAAGCAACCAAAATCAGCTGCTGATAACTGGATCAGCAAGCCCCATTTTGGATCCATGCCCAAAAATATATCAAATTATATTTGATAGCTGTCTGAAGCAACTATCAGAGTTGCAAACTACTTCCTAGCCTGTGTCTCTCCCACGTGATTTGTTATTAAACATGCTTCAGGTTTTTAGTTGGAAGCCCTATGCACACTTACGCTACGGTGAAATTATTAAGATTTACTTGCAAGTAGACTTGTACTTCCTCCTCCCCTTTGTTTGCTGTTTCTGTTTCTTAATTCAGCAGCCAGGGGGAAGGAGGAAGTGACTGTAACTGGTAAAAAGTATTTGATTCCTGAAGCTGTTTACCAATTTAGCTGCAATCCTCCAACTGGCATCTTGGTTGCCCCTTTGGTATTTTCTGAGGATGCTATGTTGCTCCAGCAACCATTCCTAATTATCCTGGGACACTGGGCAAACAAGATTTCCTTCCCAGGCTCTGTGAAGGTCACCCTTGAATTGTGACGCTTGAGCACAGGTTATCGCTGCAGCAAGCCAAATGATCAAGAGCACAGAGTTCCGCTAACATTTCTCTCATTGTCCAGAAATCCTTATGCGCTACAATTAGGACAATATTGGGAAAACTGCTTACAATGCAGTTGTTACTGCCTAAGCTGATCACTGAAACTGCAGTTTCAGATCTTGCCAAATCCCTCATCTTTTAGGTAGAGTGCAGACGGATATCTCCATTAACAATCTATTCTCAATCACTCACTGGCAATGCTAGTTTTCTGGCAAGTACAATTAACTATCTGAGGAGACGGATGAGACTCCAAAAACCGATGAGGCCGACAGTAGGCGGAAGGAAGAATTTTGCAGCCAAAAAACTGCAGTAAGATTTTCTAAAACTGTGATGGTCCAGCATAATTCTGTTCCTATGAAGACCGGATCTACAATCTTTTCTGCTGTGATTGTGGTTTTTGTTTTAATTAGTAAGAGACCTTATTAGGCTTTTGAGTTGGACAAAATCTTCAAATAAGCAGAGTGCGGATTTTCTTGCAGCTGATTTTATCATTTGAAATAGAGCCCCAAAGTAACATACAGATGCACGCTGATCTCAACAACGCATCTTTGCTGCAGTGATACAAAACAGGGCTGATTTACAATGGGGAACATCAAGATTTAGCAAACAAGAGCATGGTGTTGCTACACTTGGCAAATGAGACAGAACCCTTCAGCTCTGATCCACTTACTACTGGCAACTTTTAAATTCCCCTCAGAGGATATCGAAGTGCAGTAGAGCGAGACTACATAGGCTCTGGCATTGCTCTTAGGATACTGGATAAGGGGTTTTCTCTATTCTGCCTCACCGCTAACAGCTGTGACACAGCCAAATAGGAAGCGACTATTCTAACCCGCATTGATACAAGCGGCTTTTGTACTAAACCCTCTGAAATGCTGCACTCCAAACTGGTTCAGCTAGTAAATTTACCTCCAGAGGATTTACACTGGTTGGAGATATTACCATGGTTCTGTTACACACAGTCAACAAGTATTTTGCCTCCTACTTTAGGAACTCTTAGGGACGCGGGTGGCGCTGTGGGTTAAACCACGGAGCCTAGGACTTGCCGATCAGAAGGTCAGCGGTTCGAATCCCCGTGACGGGGTGAGCTCCTGTTGCTCGGTCCCTGCTCCTGCCAACCTAGCAGTTCGAAAGCACATCAAAGTGCAAGTAGATAAATAGGTACCGCTCCAGCGGGAAGGTAAATGGCGTTTCTGTGCGCTGCTCTGGTTCACCAGAAGTGGCTTAGTCATGCTGGCCACATGACCCGGAAGCTGTACGCCGGCTCCCTCAGCCAATAAAGCGAGATGAGCACCGCAACCCCAGAGTCGGCCACGAGTGGACCTAATGGTCAAGGGTCCCTTTACCTTTACCTGAGGAACTCTTAGAATGAGCCATGAAGGGGGAAGAAAGGCTTTTCACATGTTGTACTCCTAGAGTCATAGAATGTAGCATTGGGAAGGACCACGAGGGTCATGTAGTAGTCCAGCCCCCTGTGCAATGCTAGAATCTTCTGCCCAATGTGGGCTCGAATTCACAGCGCTGTGATTAATAGTCTCATGCTCTACCAGCTGAGCTCCTGTGATTATTTTCAAACAAGTAAAGGAAAAGAGAATACAAAGGGCATGGAATGTATGCTCATGATCATATTTATCAGGCACCATTGGTTCAGTAGACGTGCCAATTGGACACTGAATCACCTAACAACACTGGGGAAACGTCAAGATTATTGAACAGATGCCTTTTCTTCAGACCAGGGTTTTATATTCAGGTCAGAGTCCTCTCCGAACAAACAGAACTCAAAAAGTGTGGAAAGCAAAACCAAGTTATTTCCCAAGGTGAAGAGTCCCTCTAGTAATTTTAAACAACGAAGAATCTTGTGGAGTCTTTAAAGACCAATGAATTTTATTGCAGCTAATGTTTTTCTGGAGAAGAATCTACCATAATTTCATCCTACTCTTCTTCCAAAGAAATCCTCTTTTATCTGCACAACAGTCAAGTGTGGTGGTTGTGAGATGATGAATGTGAACCCAGGGTTCAATGAAGACTTCTTGGTCTGCAGGCCCTGTGTCCTAACCTGCTATCCCTCAAAGAATAGATTTTCTTATGTTAGTGAGATATCAGACTCTTAATTTCAAGGAAGAGAACAATTTCTAAGAGACAGTGTGTCATAATGAATAGTGCTGAACTGACTGAGAAAGATCTGGTTCAAACCTCCCTATACCATGAAGTTCACAGCGTGACTGTAGGGTGATTACATTCTCTTAACCCCAGCCTTCCTCACAGGTTTGCTTTGAGAAAAAAACCAAGGGAAGGGGAAATTATGCACAATGCCTTGATTAATTAAATCGAATAATAATTTAAAGGACACCCCAATTAAGTATTTTTAATGCACACGTACGAAGACGTTGTTTTGCTTCAGTCTGCAGTAAAGAGGATTTCACAAATCGTGCTTGGCTGGAGAAAGAGAATTTTTTTTTAATATAAGCTGAGTAATCAACAGCTAGAGGAAATAAAGGAAAGGAAACCTAGGCTATTGATTGAACAGGAGGCGATCGTATGCCATGAATATGATGCAGTGGCAAAGAGTTGCATTAAGGAAAGGCATTTTGTTTGCTTGCTTAAGTGTAATTTATACACTGCTTTACAGGTGATCTTCAAAAAATGTTTTACCGTATTTTTCCATGTAGAACACGCCCCCGCGTAGAACACGCACCCAATTTTGGGGGACTCCAAATAAAGAAATCCCCCATATGCACTATCCATGTATAAGACGACCCCCAATTTTAAACTTGAAAAAATAGGGGGGAAATATAGTCTTATATACGGAAAAATACGGTACATGGGATTTTTACAACAAGGCAACTTGTTTGTACAAAATCTGCTACTGCTTCTTCTCCCCAATGCTCAGGGCAAGATGGTTCTGCAGAAGCCCACGGGGCAACATCTGGTGGAGGAAGGAGCCACTGTGGGAACTGGATGGTCACAATCCTCCAAGCTGCTTTTTTCTCCACCTCCCTTCAGACCCCTCTGTGGTGGCAGTTGCATCCATAGTGTGGCTGGAGAAGTGGTGCATTTTACAAGGCAATGCCAAGCTAGGTAATAATTTTGTCGTCAACCTTGAAAGGAACTCCAGCAAGACCTATAGCTGGGAATGCACCTCACCCACCAGAGCACAGGTAGGCCACGCGGCACAGTATGGTTCTGCTCATTTCCAGTGCGAAGTCTCAAGCATCCTATGCTGAAGACAGAAGGCGACATTCAGCACATGGAAAGTATATTCCGTTCACAGAAAATGCTTTTTTGTACCTCACACTAGAGTACTGCAAGAGGGAAAAGATACAAAATCTACGTGTTGAGCAAGAGTGTGTATAACCACTTGCAGAAGAAGCAAGAGAGCTGCTATTCATATTTTGCGATAGATGGTAGACCTAACCTTGGGGAACATGAATTCCTCCTCTGCTCTTACTAAATCTTATTTAATTTCAATGCCTCGCATCTTGGGAACAGCAAGAAGACAACAAGGAGTCTCATTAGTGAAAAGTCCTGCACAAGGACTTTTGCTTACGTAGCAGGGGAACATTTCGTCTGGCAGACGAGAACGACACAGAAATCCTCCCTGAAGTTTATCTGATTATTAACTGTTATAACATGTTACTATCATACATTTCCGCCGCCCCCATACATTCATTTTTATTTGTATGCCTCTTTTCCACGTGCAAAATCATGCTCAAAGCAGCTTACAGCAAAGTAGCAGGGTGCATTTGAAACAAACGCTACAAAAACCATTTCATAACACAGCAAAACACTAGCACAGTAACAAATTCATAATAACACAGCAAAGCAAAAAAACACAACGAAAACATACAAAAAGGCCACATCTCCAAAATATGGGACTGATGTGTGCAAGTCCTGAGCAAGCAATTATTTTTTGGCATTTGAAGTTGCAGCTAGCTTGCAGAAGGTTTCAAGAGATTCAGTCCCAACCCTTTCCCGACAGTGCAATCCTACACAGGTTTACTCAGAAGCAAGTGCCACTGAGGTCAATATAAGGCTTGTTCTCAAGTAAGAGGAATGTTAGCAACCACCTGATATACCAGTATTGGCAAGACAGCTCTACCCTAGTAATGACTACCGCACATCATTCTCTGCTCAATTCAGGATGCATTCAATCATTCTACTGTTCTATTTTCAGGGTCAGAAGGATGCTTTCAAAAATAGTTGGATTTCAAGAAAATGCTTTTGTCCTTCAACCTTTATGCGTTGAGAAAGATCAGTCATATTCTTCCATTTCACAGTGCAATGAGCATCCCAATTCTCACAACATGGGCATAATGGTCGGAAATAATAAAGCCCATTTTGTAAGGGTGCAATAAAGAGAGAACATTTCATATCTTACAAATGAGTTACTAACCTGGAAAATAATCTGTTTCCCCCCCTGAATATACTCTATGGCTACAATGGCAACATCGGGTTTTTTTTTCACACACTTCCTCGAATTATCACAGAATTTAGTCCCTTTTTATGAGATGTGCTTATAAGGGACCACTGGTTACAGAAATCTACCAATTACTGAGGAAATTGATATCTTGATAGAAGTAATTTAGATTGTGCCTGCAATCCTATACCCACTTCCCTGGGACTAAGGCCTATTAGCACAATTAGACTTACTCAAGAGTAGACACTGTATAGTACTTGCACTTTGATGTGCTTTCAAACTGCTAGGTTGGCAGGAGCAGGGACCGAGCAACAGGAGCTCACCCCGTTATGGGGATTCGAACCGCCGACCTTCTGATCGGCAAGCCCTAGGCTCTGTGGTTTAACCCACAGCGCCACCCGCGTCCCATTCAAAATGTACCACAAACTTAAGATTGTATAGATCCCACACTTGAGTCAATATGTGCCAAAGAACAAGAATTGTTTCAGGAACATATGCTACCGAGTTAGGGGCGCCCTCTCGTAGGCACCATTCTCCCTCTCCAAAAAATGGGGGTGCCCCCAGTGTTCCAAACAATCAGGGGGCAGAGGAGGCTTCTCTGGCCAACTCCTCCTGCTGTGAAAGCTTCCTCTGGTACGCCAAAGAAAAAGTTATCCAATGTTTCATTCCAAACTCAGCCCAGTTCTTTTATGGTAAAATACTGATGTGCATGTTAATACCATTTTGTATACCTTAATTCACATTATTTCAGCTGCAAAATTGGTTTGACTTTTTTTTCTAAATAAGAGTGAGAATTATTGTTTGCACTTTATTGTCGGCATATTGTAGGAAATGAGAAATGGGACTTGGAACACTGGGAGCCACAATCATAGGGCAGAGAAAACAGAACGCAGGAGGGGGAACGGGGGTCCCGTTTTCTGACTGTGCTGATTAATTGGAAAAAGCCAGCGTTACGCGTTGCAAATTTGTGCATGCATCAATTACAAAGGCTACCACTGAGATTCGCAAAACTGTCAACTAGGAAACAGAATACAGCAGAACTAGCCTCACAAACAGGAATGAGCAACTGACAGTCACTATATAACTATATCTACCCAGAGGTAGAAGTCATCTGTCTTTTGAAGCTATCAAGTCCTTCTACTATTCTGCAATTTAATTTGAAGTTACAATGCTTCCTGGGGGATTTCCTGGCATTATCTGACAGCATTATCTGCATAGCAAGCGCCTGTCAGGAATTTATTGCATGCGAGAAAGAACTAAAAATATTCATGATAAAATGTTAGTTCATTACCAGTAGCGACCGATAGGACAAAAATTGGAAGCACGGTTGTAATTCACTTCACTTTCTGCTACAGATCTAACTTACAAACATGCCACTTTAGACAAGCAAAATCTTTAGAGAGAAACTACATGACGGCTTCACTTTGAGCCATCTGTTACCTAATCTGTAGCTGGGAGAGTGTGACAGAGTCAGTAATCAAACACCAGTATCTGCTTTAGGCATGGGTGAAAAAAGAAAAGCACCATATTATGAAGCCATTTATAACCGTTTCACTTGAATAGCAGTCACCTGTTAGATAAAAACGTAATACTGAAAAAATAGGAGGCCTTGGAGGAAAATTATTTCTGAATTCCATTGTAAAAAAAAAAAGAAAAAAAAAGAATGGGTAAAACCATGACCTTTCTAGCTAGTATTTCAAAATGAATCATATATTTCCTTTTCACTGAAATTTAAACGATTGTATTTAGCCACTATTTTATTAAAGGAAAGCGGGGTGGGGAATCCATTGGCAGGCGTGCCAGATTGGCTCTACTGGTGAACACGCACTGCGCTAACCACACCACTGCCTCCCCTTGGCATGAGTAATTCAGCTGTTGGGGAGTCAGGTAAATACTGCTACTGTTTGGAATCCCATCTAAGAACCTACTTTATCCAGAAATTGCTTAAACTCCCATACCCATGCAGCAGCTAGAGTGTTGGCCCTGTCTCTATGAGAGCCTTCTTCAACCTGATTCCCTCTAGAAATTTACAGGTGGTACATAACCCCAGTCAAGCTTGCGAAAATCTATCACTTGCCCGATAACAAATGTTGGAAATGTAAAGAAACTGAAGGTACATTTTTTCACCTTTGGTGGACGTGCCCAAAGATTAAGGTTTCTGGGAAATGATATATAATGAATTAAAAGGTATTTAAGTATACCTTCCCAAAAGCTCAGGAGCCTTTCTCCCCTGAGCACAGACCACCCATAAATTTATGCCCAAGGTGCACAAATTTCCTTTCCTTTCTTATTGCCACTCACAACCTCTCTTCAGCTAACGAAGGGATATGATCTCTTCTGATCAACTGCTCTGGAGAACAATAGTGAGATGTTATATCTCGCTGGCCGGAAGTGTCAGACAGGGCATTGCAGAAGTGCTCTTAACAAGGAAGCTGCCATCAGCTTTCAATAAAGAAGCTGCTGCTTTCGGTGACACGTAAGGGAGACAAGCACACCCACAAAACACAAAGGCTCAAGCAAGGAACGGCAAAGCTTCTGCCACAGCTGCCAAAATTTAGAGAGTCTCTGGGAGGCATTCTGGGAGTGCAGACACAGCCCATGGGTTAGCCACTCCTGCCAAAGGGGAATATCCTCCCAAATGTCTCCAATGAAAACTGGGGCATCCTTCTTCTTCTTCCTCTACCCCACCCACCTGACTGGGTTGCTCCAGCCACTCTGGGCTGCTTCCAATATATATAAAAACATAATAAAACATTAAAGATTTAAAAAAACCCTCCCTATACATGGCTGCCTTCAGATGTCTTCTAAAGGCTGTAGAGTTACTTATCTCCTTGGCTCAGGGGTTGCATAATTCCATATTCTCCAACATTTATTTGATGAAAATAGGAACGTCCTGAGGAAAAGTGGAACATTCCAGGATCAATCAGAAACCAGGATGGCTTCTGTAAATCTGGATCTGTGTAATAAACTAGTGTTAGAAGTAACATGAACCAAGGCTCTGCTCGATATATTGTGCTCGGGGAAAAGCACTGGATATTAGTTTGGGTATACACAAGCGAGAAGGAAATGAAAAACCACTTGGGGGAGGGGAGACATCAAGGAAGATGCATCCCTGCATGGGGTGAAGGCTCTGCCTGGACCCAAAAAACAGTAGGAATAAGGAAGGATTCAGGTATATGCTCCAATTTAACTCCCAGCTGAGGCCACACACATACCATCACCACAATTCCCACCTTAAAATAACTACTTGGAAAATACTGGCTCTATTTTAAAACACTCCACCTATTATGGCGCCTAATAACAAGATGTGTTCTGTTTTCTCAGTTTGTTTACACTGTTGTGTTTTACAATAATGTAGTCTGTGAAGGGTGGTCCTTCTAATTAGACCAAACTCCTACTTCTACAAAGCAACATGGGGGAAAGAAAATTAATGACGAATTCGGACATAAAAGTCAAGATTTTGGCACGGAGAATGGGCAAGCCTAATATATGTTCCAATGGCCATTTTGAAAATAATTTATAGAAGTGGACAATACCCTTCAGTATCTGCTACTTATCTGAAGATGGAACTCGGGGCATGAGCAGACTGAAGATCTGTCGTATGCCTAACCAGTCTAGGTGGCGCTGTGGTCTAAACCACTGAGCCTCTTGGACTTGCTGATCAGAAGGTCAGTGGTTTGAATCCCTGTGATGGGGTGAGCTCCCGTTGCTCAGTCCCAGCTCCTGACAACCTAGCAGTTTGAAAGCACGCCAAAAAGTGCAAGTAGATAAATAGGTACTGCTCCGGGAGGAAGGTAAACTGTGTTTCCGTGCGCTGCTCTGGTTTTGGTGTTCCATTGCGCCATGCTGACCACATGACCCGGAAAAACTGTCTGCAGACAAACGCTGACTCCCTTGGCCTGTAAAGCGAGATGAGCGCCGCAACCCCAGAATCATCTGCGACTGAACTTAACTGTCAGGGGTCCTTTACCTTTAACTATTTATAAGCGCCTTTCCTGCCAAAAGGTACCCAAAGAACTGCAAAGCAATATAATGAAAAATCAATCTGAAACAATGAAATGGGACAAAATGTGGAAGAGCAGCACTAGCCAACACTAAACATATCTTTTTACTAGCATTCTGAAACTCAAACACAAGTGCATTCTGAAACTCAGATACTCCATAATTGTAAGGGAAGTGTCCAAACTCCTGCTCACCACCAAATTAATATACCTAAAGTACGCACAAAAAGCAGAGGAAGCTGTATCGGTCCATTAGAAAAATTCCAAATTCCAGAGTCAGTTAATGCCTTTATTAAATCTAAACAAAATGTTGCCAGAGTAAGAAAGCTTTCCAGTTCTCCATAACTCTTCAGTGGGATGGATGTTCAGCAAAGTTGGAGTGAGGGGAAACAATTTACTATAATTATTTACTTCGCCCTCTATCTTGCAAGGAACATTTTCCCTTTGCTTACAACTGGAGGCATATCCAGGCAACTGGGAGATCAGTCATTTCTTGATTCTGTGTCCTGGTTAATCCTAGACCCAGCCTCAAACCTGTGTTGCACCTGTTGTTGTTTAGTCATTTAGTCGTGTCTGACTCTTCGTGACCCCATGGACCAGAGCATGCCAGGCACTCCTGTCTTCCACTGCCTCCCACAGTTTGGTCACCTAGTTGGTTTGCACCTAGTTGGTTGGTCACCAGTTTGGTTGCTCCTAGTAAAGCCTAATAAAATTGTGTACAGTCTACATTAAAACTATCAATAAATGCAGGTTTTTTTGTCTTCAACAGCAACCCAATTTTTACTCTCACCAGCCCCCTCTTAACATCCAACCTGATGAGAACGCTCAAAAGTTTGGCCACTATTTTACGGCATTTGTGGTTGGCTCTAATAAAGTTATTGTCCAGCCTGAGAGATGGTAATGCTCAGCCGAACTTAATTGCTGGGAGTGTTCTATTAAGTAATAATTACTTAATATTGAAGAAAGGGTTGTTTTTTGTTTTTGTTTGAAGAAGAAGAAGAGGAGGAGGAAGAAGAAGTTGTTGTGAAATGGAAGGAAATTGGTTCTACAAACGTAGGATACTTTCAGTGCAACATGCTGGTGGCAAACACAAAAAGACCAGGAATTCATAAACTAATGAAACTCAGGCCAAAGCACAAGTAAATACTGTCATTTCAGTCACTGTAATATTAGTTGCCAGTTACCGTCCACCTTGCTTGGGCTCAGGGCTATTCTGAATAGCACTGAAATTGTTTAATTGCCCTCACAAAATTGGTAGCGAACAGATAAGGAGTGCTCCAACAAAGAGATTGTGAAAGAGACAAAACTCCACGGTAAGCAAGGTGGGCGGGGGGCGGTGGTTCTCCACTAAACTCATTCTTTCATCTCACATTGATGGAATGTTGCCCTCAACAATAGATGTTCTGTCCTTACAGAAGAGCTGTTAACTGTACACATTTCAATTATTATTCAATTACGTTTATTTCTCAGCAGGACGACACTTTTTGTCTTTGCAGACAAAAGATTAAATGTACCGCACCAGGATATGCTCAAGTGTAGTGTTCAGTTAACAATCAGATTATCTGAATACACTAGTTTAAAGGTAATAAAGCTGTTGATTGTATTAACCAAGGTTATTTCTCGAAAATATGATTTACATACTAACAAATATGGATAATTTTTACTTTTAGGTATCAAAGATGGTAAAAAAACCCCCCACAAATAGCTGGAGTTAAATGCTTCAATGAGTAACAGACTAGGTCTCCATAGTCAAAATTTAACAAAGTTTATACATACGTATATATTTAGATTAGCCCGTCTCAGGTTCATTCATCTTTCTGGATGCCACCACTGAAGTGTAGTGAAATGTCACTGGAAATCATCCTGCACTCAAAGTAGCTAACTTTTAACCAATGGAACTTGCATTATTACTGCTGCAATGCATCAATGCCACAAGCAACGTGATGTAAACACAATGTGCTATAAACCAAGTATTGCTATGATGTATTGATTGCAATAGTAAGGTAAAGGTAAAGGACCCCTGCACAGTTAAGTCCAGTGGAATTCAACCATGGGATGCTGCGCTCATCTCTGCTTTCAGGCCAAGGGAGCCGGCGTTTGTCTGCAGACAGCTTTTCCAGGTCATGTGGCCAGCATGACTAAAGACTAAACCACTTCTGATGCACGGGACACCGTGATGAGTGCTAGAGCACACAGAAACACTGTTTACCTTCCCACCACAGCAGTACCTATTTATCAATAGTAGCAGCAGTCAGAAGCAGACCACCATCCTCACTTCTCAAATCTCACCCTATGCATGATGTAAAAGTACCTTCCATTTGTGCTGCTGGTCATGCACAGGGCAGGGCTTCAGTAGTTACAAAAGCGCTCTTCCATTCAGAAAACTATGGTTTGTGAAGTTGCAAACAAACAAGTCTCTAGTTACGGCAAAGAACAACTTATAAGAAAACTGAACAATCTTGACAACAGAGATTCAGTACAATGTAAAGCCTAGGACAGGCATGTCCAAAGTCCATTTTGGGGGCCTAATCCTGTGGCAGTTTATTTATTGCTGTCAAATCCTAAAAAAAAGCTCAACAACTTTGGTCGGCCCTCATGCACGTTTACTTCATCAATTCTGGCCCTGGCCTAGGAGTATGGGCTGGGAAGTACACAATTTAACATTCATTTAACAAAAAAACCCTTTCGATTTAACATGGTAAGATGGTAAGGACTTTTGATGTTCATGCAAGCTTCCTTGTTAAGTGTACTTCTGCAGGGCTCAAGTCCAAAGCCAGCCCAGCAAAGCCTATGGAAGGAAAACAGCACAGTGATTGTGAGCTTGGTGAAGCTTCTACTCAAACAGGCAACTCGATCAAAATAAGCTACTTCTTATCCTTTCTGACATAAAATTGGCATGGACCGTCCGCAGAACTGTCTCCTCTACACTGCCAAGTTTCAAGACAGTCGGCAGAACCATTTTCTAGCAATATTATTGCCTGATTTTTAAATTATGGTAAGATGAGATTCTGCTGGTTCACCTTCAAGACCACACATAAGATAAGACAACTGTGGTCCTATAATCGCTTTGGGTGGGATTCACCTCAAGAACCCTGTCAGTGGAAGACCTGTACAATCTGTTCACAAAGACTGAAATCCTAAACACTCATATGGAAAGAAGACTTGTTAAACTCAGTGGGTCTTATTAAGTAGTAGATGAGCATTGGGTTGCACTGACAGTTTTGGTAAGTGACTGAGTAAGAAGTCTGTTTCAAAAGTTTCAGAATCAGGCCCTAAGCACTTTGAACAGCTGGCACACATAACCCTCTTGTTTACATGTAACGGATTGTGGCCATTTACCTCCCCCCCCCAGTCATTTTGCCACTGCCCTACACTGAGCCAAGTAATGTCATCCGAATCCAGGCTTGTGATTTATATCTCTCCAGAACCACCAGGAGCTGTTGTCTTGATTTACAGCTTGTGATTTGTCTGAAGAGAACTACGCCACATTCCCAGTTCCAGACAACATGCTAAGTCACCCCATGACTTAGTTCAGTGCATCACAGCAGCAAAGCAGCCAGGGAGAAACAAAGCAGCCACCATCTCTTCTCTGGGAATCCACGTTTGCTTGTTCACATTGAGCTATGGTTTGGCTTAATCTTATATGTGAATCAGGTCAACCAAATTGCTCAGACAAGAGCTTGCTACTGTTTAAACAGGAAAGCCTTCAAAATACTGATCCAATTGCCATAATGTTATGGTCGCATCCATAAAATAATTCAATATTTCCTGCTCTTTATGGTTGTACTGTACTTCTGCTTCTCTCCAAATATCTTAATTTTTTCCTGCTTATTCCCTTCAACTGAATGCATTCTTGTTCCAAGTGAGGATCATCTCTAGTCCAACTCCTTGCAATGCAGGAAAATGCAGTTGTCCTATATGGGGATCAAACCTGCAACCTTGGCATTATCAGCACCATGCTCTAACTGAGCTATCCACTGACTGCTAACCAACTGAGCTATCCACTTGTGTAACAAGCTCTGTCTTCCATGTTCCATGGCAAAGCCAAGCCAGAGTTAATACTGTCCTTACTCACCAAAAGGTAGGCATTTATATAGTGGCCTCTTTCTCCCACGCATATCCCTAGTGGCAAAATAAGCCTGAGAGCTCGTTCACAGGAAGGCTGCACAAAGGAGAGCGAGGGTTTGTGGGCCTTTTCAGAATAAGGTAGAAAGAGATGGGTAGAGTAAGAAACAAAGCTGATCACTGCTGCCATTTTTTTCTTCTGTGCAGAAAGCTTACAATCCATAACACTATGGAGGAGGCCATTATATTCTTAGTTCACATAGTGGTTCAAGCACTGGACTAACACCTGGGAGACCTAAGGGTTCAAAGTCGCACTTGGTCATTAAGTTCCCTGGGTGACCTCCAGCCAGTCACTGCCTCTCAGCCTAACCTACCTCACAGGGTTGTTGTGAGGGTTAACTGAGGGAGAGGAACCATGTATGTACGCCTCCTTAAGCTCCATGGAGGGAAAAGGTGGGATAGAAATACAATGAAACAAATGAATAAACAAACAAACAAGCCCGACAGAGGTCACCAGCACCTGAGAGTGCATCATAGAATACAACCCAAAATATTGTGCAACTTATGTTGTGCATTAGCAAATGATTCTTCCTATCTTACAACAGGAAGTCTGAATCACAACAGCTGGAATCCAAAGGCATCATTGTGCAAGTAGGAGACACTATCACCAGGTTAAAATAATAAAAAATTAAAAATCACTGATCTTTCCTTTCTGCTGCAAGCCTTGATGGTCCCCCATGCTGAAGAAGCAGTTTTGGGGTACATACAAGAGGCTGCAGCAGAAAAGGGGAAAGCCACATTCTCTAAGTTGAACTCAGCTTAGAAAACAGGATCCAAGCCAGCACATTAGCCCTCCTGAGAAAAAGAAGGATATACACAATTCGAAAGTTATTCCACATGGGTTGGACATTGCCCGTACATAATTCTGAAATGGCAGCCATTCATCCAATAAAGTGAAAGGATTTTATTTTTAATTTGTATTTTAGTTTCATTCCACCTCAAGATCAGTCCTGCAGTTAATTCAGCTTAATAAATGTTGTCCTTCATATTAGATTGCCCGACTGAATTCTACACAGGGCTACATTTCAGTTCGTCCGTCATTCAATACTTTTTTGTCAAGGTTGCTACTTGTTTAGAGGGTAGCATTTGGCATAACAAAACTTTTCACCGTTGTGGGGGGGGAAGGTTAAAAAAAAAGCTTTCTTTGAGTAAGACTTCAGGAAACTGCAAACTGAAGCCAACTTCAAATAGAACTGAGGCAAATGAGTGACTTAAGTGGGTAACTCATACTGTGTGTGTGTATGTGTGTGTTGAAAAGGAACTGCATTGGAAACATAAATATTTGCTCTAACTTACATTGAATTAATGAGCTATACATCCAGGCAACTAGGCAATGCAACATGGCAATGAAAGCACATCAATTTATCCTGAAATACAACCAGCGTTAGAAATTCAGATACATAAAAGAGGTGCCAAACAGCTCCTTAAACCAAGGTGACAGTTGCCAAAATGGAATGTCTTGCTGCCATTTTGGGGCAAGACAGCTCTAACAAGTCTTTTTCTTCTTCTTCAAACGATGGACTGACTTTGACTGATTATCAGTTAAACATCTGGCTAGTTCTGATGACAACCTTGAGCTAGGTTAAGAATTCTGAGAACTTAAAAGAAGAAAAGTCACTTGATCCAGGGACAGTCTACATATATATTGGCCTATTCCTACTTTCTTTTCCCCTTAATGTGGACACAGACCATTCATAACATAAGAATATTCTTCACAACTGTGAACAGGGCAGTGGGGTGGAGTTAAGTGAAAACAAGCTACAACAATTAAAACCAGAACGTTGTTCACCGCTCCTGCTCAGGCTGCACAGAAAAAGCATTTTGGTTCCTGAAATTCATTCCAATGGTGCAGATAAAATATAACGGATAGAATTATACAGGATGTGTTGCTGGTGTGTGAAAAAAGACAAGATCCGATGATCCGCAGGCATGCACGTCCAGATGTTGGAGATGTCAGGCGCCATCCTGGTGCCCAGGCATCTTCAGTTGGTTGCAAAATGCACCTGGCTAATTTCTATCACTGAATACAACAAACTTCAGGCTACATCGTTTTATCCTATCCTGTTTCTTTGCGGTTCCTCAGCAGCCTCTAAAAGACAAGGTCATATCATGTGGACAAACTAAAATCAAATTAAGGTAGGCATGGATATACGAGTGAAGGATGGTTGTTACATAAGAGAATGATATCCAGTCCCAAGAGATTATGCCATGGAAGCGGGAGGAAACCCTGCTCAAATCTCTGAGCCAGTGACATCCAGTTAAGATTTAGGTGTTCCCAAGATTATGAACTAACGATCAATCATATAATGAGAAGCTAGTGCCACCAGGGCTCAGCAGCTACTGAAAATTTTATTGGTGGACACATTAACTGGTTTCTTGCACTTGTGACTCATTGTTAGTACATTAGAAATTATAATGCGAAAGAGAAGCTATTTATTTAATTATTTCCAAGCAGGAATGAGTGCACAACCTTCTAAAGAGGCTCAGGCACATTTCCTGACAGATGACAGATTGTTAAATTCAAGTTACACTGCAGGTTGGTGTTCGACCTTGGAAATGTGTTTCACTACAAGAAATACAAATGAGGTATTCTGGCTTTATTTCCTGATGGTGAAAGGCTTTTTATTAATCAACAAGAACACCCACAGTGTTAAGCAGCCTCACAACAATTTGATTGTCAAATGAAATTAAAGAGATGGGAAGCCTTAAAGATTATAACATTGCGCATTAGAAAGGGTGAGCCTGTCAAAGCAGTCTTTCCCAAAGAGCCTTAAATAACAGCAAGGATAAACAAATGTTTCACAGCATCTTGAGCAAACTAAAATTAAAACACAATTCATCTAAGAAACCTAGCTGAGAAAAAAAGAAAGGTGATGGTTTAGTGTGCCAACTTTTCCATCAAAATTTTAAAGCTCGTCTTCTCCAACATGCAGGAGCAATTAATTAAGCACAGATGTGAAATTGTACTTTTGCAATGAGGAGAATGTCCCAATTTCTCTTACAAGGCGAAAATAAGCAAACTGAGCTTTCAAAACGGTTTTACTTCATTGCTACCGAGTTATGTTATATAACATCATGCCCCCACGCCAGTTCTGGGTGTTTAAGCTTCATCTGGAGGTTTATTACAGCACAGTATCAGCATCGGATTACAACTTTTTAAGCATGCACACGCAGCTTCTTTTATCATGATACGAGGAAGGTATCGCATCCCAGGCCCAGCTTTTCTGATGACATCGTTAATGCAGAGAAAATGCTCCCGCTATGCAGGAAACACACATCTTGACTGCAAAGGAAAGGAAAGGGATGGGGGGGGAGAAACAATCCCTTCTGTATTAGTATGATCATCCATTCGTGTGCCAGCGAAGAAATGCAGGGATAACAACCCTGTTAAGGCAACAACTCCCCTCTAAAATAAAACAACGCAGCATCTTTTACCACTCTAGTTTGAAAAGGCAGACTTGCCCCAATGGGCATTTAAGGTCGTGAGAGGGGGGTACGGGGACGCAAGCATGTGCATCTTCCCGTGTGCGCGCACCTGCACAATCCAAGTCATTGGAGAGTGTGCCCACGAATACAGACCTGCTCTTCTTCCTATGCCTGTCTGGCCGAATCCGAGTTGGTGGGTGGGTGCAGGCAGAGCGAGAGGGAGAGGCCTGCGCGTGCCTGCATGCCTAGCTCTCTGCTTTATCTATCCCACCCGGAGAGCCGGCCAGACAGAGACCGGTTCTCCCACCCTGCGCGCAGTTTCGTCCCGGCGCACGCAGCCATTGTCCCCCCGCGCCAACGCATCGCTCGCAGCATGTGATGCGGCGCGAAGCTGACACGGGCAACTTGGCGGGCTCCTCGCCGGCTCTGCGGCGGCGACGTGCCGCTCCTGCGTGGCACGCGTCCGTGAGGGGCCCTCGGGGTCTATCCAAGAGGCTGGCAGCGGGGCGTGTGGGGGGAAGAGCGGGGAGGCTCCATCCTCCTCCGCCGACCCACCGCCGCTGCCGGCCTGCGAAATCCCCTCAGACGCGGAGGGAGCAGGGCACAAAGGCAACCCCCGGCGTTACGCCGCTGCCAGCCCGAGCTAGAAGGAGAGGAAGGGAGCAGCACCTTACCTGGGCTGGGCGCAAAAGGCGCGCGCTCGGGCCGCTGCAGCAGGAGGATGCGGGCGCTTGGAGATGGATGAGGGCGCATGGAGAGCGGCGCGCTCCTCCTGCCAAGGGAACGCGTGTGGCGTCGTCGGCTCTTCCTCCTCGGTGGAGAAGGAGCTGCTCCTGCTGCGGGCGGCTGGAGGGGGTCCCCCTCCTCCTCCGTGCAGCCTCGCTCGCTCGCTCGCCCGCCCGCCCTCAGCCTCGACGACTCCCGCCCCTCTCCGCACGGAGCAGGCTGGCCTGTGCCAAGACCCGGACGCGTGGAGCCAGCCGGAGCGGGAGTCAGTGCCAAGTCATCCTCCCGCCCAGCTTGGAAGAGGCAGCAGCGCGGACTGGAGAGCAGAAGGGCGGCGGCGGCGCGGGCAACCCACCCATCCAGGCGCCCGCCCTCCCGCCCCGCTCCGTCCAGCCCCCCGCGCTTTCCCCTCACTTCGCCTCAGGCTGGAGACCCGGCACGCGCCGCCGAGAAATGCCAGCCGAGGACCCCGCGGCGCCCGCTGCTCGCTTGGAGAGGGGGCTGCCTCTTCTCTCTCCGCCCCCCTCCGCGAATCAGCTCAAGTCTTCGGAAGGGAAGCAGTCGAGGGAACCCTTTTCGGAAGACTGTGTGACGCACGTATGAATGTGAAATCTGCATGCACACCTACATGCAAGCATAGGGGCATGTTTATATTTGCCAGGTGGCTGCGGGGAGCGGGAGGGGGGAGTGGAGGAGAAATTCGATTTGGCCTGCGTTCCAGTGAGAAGCTGCCCACTTCTCCAACCCATACAAAATCACCAAAACAATACTCTCCCTTCAGATTTTGAGATGCAACCAAATAATGTTGTTAGGAGTTTGTGGGTGCCAGACAACACCCCCCCCCACGTGTTAGGAGTTTCAGACTCCCTTGTGTTAGGAGTTTCTGGAGGCCGGACACTGGACCCATGGAATCAGCAAATGTTAAAATATAAGCCAGGCTGGTTTCCTGATGGGCCAGTAGGGGAACAAAAGGAAGGTGATGAGCCATTAGGAAAGCCAAAGGGGGGGGGGCGGCTTTGTGCCAGACTGCAAAATGGGAGGGCCCCTCCTTCAACTCAGAAGACAAAGGCACTAAGGCAGAGTTTCAAGTTGAGCTTAAGGGTTGGTGGAGTTTTTGGTTTTGTGACCTAGAGGGGGAAAGGTTGCAGGCTGCTAAAGGCAGAGAGCTGGAGGGAGGGTCACATCACCATGGCCGATGTCTGTTCCAACCCCTCTGTCACAGGCTCAGGTCGTATATATATGTAAATAAACCATATATCCTAAAGACACCACGATCTGTGTTGTGCCTAATTCCCAGAGGGAAATACAAACCCTGGGTGACATAGGCGTAGCCAAGGGAGGGGCAGCTGCCCCCCAAAATCCTCAAAAAGCAGTACAAACATTTAACAAACTGAGCTTCTGCCCCCCCAACAATAGCCTGCCCCCCAACAAAAGCCTTTACATTTGAAAGGAAATGTGCATTTTTAAAGGACGTCAGCCAAAAAAAATCTCAACTTTTTGTGACCCACCCCCCCCCAATCAAAAATCGTGGCTATACCCTTGCTGGGTGATCATTTTATTTCCCTGGAATCTCGCATCACTCGGAGATTGGAGTGGTATGCAACAAAATGCAACCAAAATACATGTTTTGGGGGAAGTATACGTTCATAAAAATGCATATGTCAGTAACACAAATACATTATGTTAAGGGAAATTGCTTGCCAAAAAGACGTTGTTTCTTAGGCAAAGCCACATACAACAAAATGTACATTAAGAGAAATTTGCACCAAGATATACATTTTCATGAGGATTTTAAAACAAAACTATAAACTGCAGGAACTAAATCTAAGATTTCTTAAAAAACGAGGAACCGAGAGAAATGGAAATTGACAGATTCATCTATCTGTACTTGGAGGTTATATGTAAGGTGCAGGGGGAGGAGGCTAAGGGAGGAGTATATACCAGTGGTTTTCAACCAGAGTGCTGTGGCACCCTGGGGTGCCTTGAATGATGGTCAGGGGTGCTGCAGGCAACATTGGCCTCTGTCCCTCTTTCCTTCCCTCCCTCTTCTGATGCCCTCTCACATCTCTGCCTCCCAAAGGCTTACACAGCTGTTTGTTGCAGCAGCCCTGACTACAAGCTCCCCAGGCAAATGGTACCTCTGGGACTGGCCAGGGAGTGCTCCCCAGGCCCCTGTGGGGCAGTGTGAGGAGGCACCTCTCTTTGGGGCTGTGGGGGGGCAGCTCAGAAACCAGGGGCGGCAGTTGCGGCTGCTCTGAAGACTCCCAAGGAGAGGGGAGAAGAGAAGACACTGAGGGAACACTCCCCAAGGGAGGGTGTTCAAAAAGGGGTGAGTGGCTGCCGGCTCTGCAGGCAAGGGGTGACATAACGGGACTCCTGAGCCCCACAAAATGTAGTTGGTCAATGCTATTTTTCTAGAAAAAGATGCACCGGAACTCACCATGAACGCCTCCCTTGTTCTCTTTTGATGGCAAAGGCGCCCACCTGAGAGATGCTGGAACTCAGTTCCAGTGAATTCCGGCTGGGGGGGAAAGGCCCTGAGAGGGCTTATGAAAAAGAAGGTAAATGAAAACAACAACAAAAGCCCATTAAAAAGTAAAGCGTCAGCATCATGGTGAACTAGGAGTCAAAATAATTAAAATGTTTTCACCTGCCACCCAAGTCATGGGACTGGACGAGTATGGCAGAGGAACATTCCAAAGTCAGGATACTACAAGCTAGAGGGTTAGCCACCAATCTGACTTCTGGAGGCATGGCTTCCAGAGCTGAACCAACCATTGTGAAAGCAATACAAAGGCATTCTTGTATTTTTGCTCTCTGCAAACATGAAGTGAATATAAGCAATCTCCATAAAAGCAACCATATTGGAAAACCTTGACCTACCAACCTTGAGAAGAGCAACAGGCTGGGGTTTAAGATGCTGTGAATTTCCTGTGCTGTAATTTGGCACTTCAGTACTGGGGAATGCCCACCAGACTACAGATACATGGACAAAGAAATGCCACATCAGGATCAGACCTCAGGTGGTACTAGTTCCATAGCCAGGGAAATTGTGAAGAGGATTGAACAGTACGCCAGAAAAGGGGTGGGTGGGGAGAGAAGGGAATCAATGCAGAATAGCTGGAAGCTTAATATTGATAACCTGATGCTCATCCTTTGCTCCTTTGTACTTGGTTAAACAGCTCTGGTGGGTGGCATTTTGACAAAGCAAACACTTCCAAACGACCTGCATTGCAACAGCATCTTGCATATACAGTTAATAAGACTATACAGATCTAGAGGATAACACAATTAGAGAGCAGTAATAATCAAAAAGTGTGCATCATGCAGGAGAAGACTGTAGGACACTCTTGGCAGAAGATTGTCAGATGACACTGGCAAGGCAACTGCGTCACACATTCTAGAGGGACGGTAAATCAGAGCTGGCCAACCATTATATCTGCCATCTGCATCTGAAATAATTTTCTCATTATGCGTTCAAGGTGGTTTGCCTAGTATATCAAACATATACAGTCGTACCTCGGCTCCCAAACGCCTTGGGAGTCGGACGTTTTAGCTCCCGAACGATCGAAAACCATAAGTTGTTTCGGAAGCTGAACATCCGACAGGGCTTCCGCGGCTTCCAATTGGCTACAATAGCTTCCTGCAGCCAATCAGAAGCCGCGCTTTGGAAGTCGAACGTTTTGGAAGTTGAACAGACTTCTGGAAGAGATTCTGTTCAATTTCCAAGGTACTTGAATACTGAAGGTTCTTCTCCAATTTCACTTATCAGAGTCCGCAACATTCACCTTCACCGTACCGGTCTTACATCAGAACTAGCACGCACAAAATGCTGGCTTTGGAAATTCCAGCATTTGAGAATGCAGGATGTTGCCAATGGCTCCTGGCATGTTCTGGGACATAGCCCAGGGGAAACAGCTGGTGCTGTCATGGCCTTAGGGCTTCTCTGCTTCCTGCACTATTGATTTAGGGTAGTCACGCAAAACTGGAAGTGCAGAAACCAAGGACTGTGGGAAATGCAGGTAGCTTTCTTAGAATTAATGCATACCATTCATTAAGTAATACATGTTCTATGCAAACTGGTTGACATGTTCTGGCTATATAGTTCGTGATGGAGATGGGAAGGAATGGCAAGGAACCAGCTGACTGATGTTTTAGTGCACGTGAATTGCAACATGTTCTTGACACAATAGCATTGCATTTGTGGTTAATTTATTCCGCTTTATCAGTCACTCCACAATGCTTCCCCTATGCTACCACATTATTGCTGATCGGAGGAGCTACAGGGCAATCAAACTGGGTCAAAAAACAACACCACCCCAGAACCTTTGTGGTATGAAATGTCACAGGAAGTTATGAGATATGCAACCAATTGGGAATGAAGCAATATGGTCACCCCAAAACTATTTTGCCAATACAAATAGTTTGGAAAGCAGGATCACATATGGCTATCCTGATAGCATCATGAGCACAAATAATAATAAATGTGCAATGAAAAAGACATCTGCAGTGGCCCCTAGAAGCAAATCTTATTGATCCATACCCAACCTTTCGGCTGTTTCCCCTTCCATGTCTTGCAAACTCCCAGGGAAGAATTTGACATCATTTCGAATTTTGGCTTGCCAGGGAGGTCAGTCTCCGCTCTCCTTCACCTGTGCGCAATTCTAGGGATTCTCCCAGCCCCACTCAGAGCCAAGTGGGGTGGGGGATGTGCAGGAAAGGGGCGGGCAGGAGGCCCCATTGCACAACTGAAAGTTATTGCACACTGATGCAACTAATTTTTTGACTCTCACTCCCATTTTATTATTCCGTTGGTCCACATATATTGTAGTTATGTCAGCCATAGTATTTAGACTTCAGCAATTGGCATATCCCTGAATGTCATTTGCAAGTTAAAGTTCATATTACTTATTATTTGCCTAATTTTAGAAAGCAGTGATTACACGATGCCTTAGCCCTGTAAGCTACCCCTGAAAGCACAGGCTATTTAGTGGCAAACTAAAAAAAGATCTTATGCTATATGACTTGCATGCCACCGACCTGACAAGCCAATCAAAAGCAATTACATTTCGCAGGGTTAGGAGAACAAGACAAGCGAACCCTAACAACAGCTTGTGCAGCTGTCATTAATGCGGCAGAGAATGACAAGTACAAGCAACACACAAGAAGGGGGAAATGCTTAGTAACCCAGTTTTAAAATGCAAGTGTGACAAAGGTTAGTGCAGCTGCAAATAGTGACTTTTTAATCTAAAAAGACATGAAAGTTTTGCAGTGAAAACCAGCTGCTTTTTCACTATTTGGTGCAAGTG